CATGTCCTACTCTAGGTCTTCCTATGAAGTGAATCTACGTATACCAGATGTCAACCCCTTACTATGTTCTCAAAAGAGCAGTACTGCCAAAGTTCCACTGAGATGACATATGAACCACAGAGATAGAAACTCCAACTCAAAAGAAGCATATATTTTAGAATTTTCAATGTAATTCTTCTGGTACTCCTGCATCATCCCTTATCCCTCGAATGTCCATGTCCTTTCTACTTTCCACTAAATAATCACGGCCTGCGTGGTCGCGGAGGCGCTCCAGGATGATAGTAAGGATTTGGTGCATCATATGCACCTCCGGAGCTCTGTTCGACGATTTTTCCGTGGCTGACCTACTCTTCAGAGAAGCGTGCGTTGGGCCTTGTAACGGACAATTACTATTGAAATATGGTCAGTTGAGGAGTACATAAAAATATGCTTATACATCTCCGAACTGTACCACATCTAGCGCTGCTCTTCTACTTTTACTTTTCAAAGAACTAAGGTCTGGAGGATACCCCATATCCTGGAAACGCAAGGGTGTACTGTGGCAAGGGGTCTGAATAAGCACTACCCCCACCAACACCGGCAGGAACTACAGCCGAACGATCGATAAGACTTTGCGAATAAGCGAACCTTATTTGATTCCACATACAGTGAAGTACACGTGGCCCGACGCCCAGGTAAGACAGCACATCGAGCAGAAAAGAAAAAAGGGAAAGCAGAACGGGTATCTATGCATACATGGGGATCTTAACCGTCAATCATTACATGGCGTTATGCGGACCAGCCCAAAGAGGAAACTCCGACAGATGGCTCCCTCATATACCTCTACCGCAAACCAGACGCTTAGGCCATGGATGCCTTGCGCGAAATGGTAACCTGACTGGACCGACGGACGGCTGCGTGCCGCTGCCGATCCGCTTCCAGGGTCTGGGCGAACTTACTTCGAGCCCGAATCTCAGGTCCCTTCCAGTAGAAAATGTATATGGGGACCGTCACCAGAACGGACAGACAGCCAAGAATGGTGCTTGCCCATTGTAGATGAAATCTGCCACCGATGTTGGTGTACATGGGTGTTGCGTACATGGCTGAGAGTCCGGCAAGCAGATCTCGTGCAAAGCCATTGCCTCCCGTTGCGGACGCGGAGTATTCTCCATATGCAGCGACCATGTAGTCAATTGTCGCCATGTAGATGCCGTAATTGGCAATGGCAATCAGGAACACGAATACCAACGGCACGATCCAATGGGTGTACTCAGGGCCCATTGAGGTCCAGGCAAATCCAAACAATCCAATTGTTTCGAGAGGCGCAATGAAGAGCAGAAGCAGGAGGCGTCGCTCAGCGTATCGAGATGCATTTCCCTCACGGCGTCTCACGACTTGTTGACGGTAGATGTCGGGTAGGAAGATGCCGTAGGCAAACAAGTAGCCGATCACGATGGCAACGAAGCACAGACCAATTTGGACGGCATTGAAACCCCACTGTGCGAAGACTAAAGAGAACGACTCGATGCAGGTGAAGATGAGCGCATCAGAGAAACCAGAGAGCAAAGACAGGAAGAGCACAATAGGTTCACAGAGAAACATCTCGAAGGGTCGGCGCCAAATGTGTAGAACCTCCTTGATATCCAGTCGAGAAGGCTTGAGCTCATTCGGCCCATACACATTGGGATCCTCGCCGGTTTGCCGTCGGCGTTTGGCCTCTCTATCAAGAAGGATGGTCGATCGAGTCTCACAAACAAGGAAAAAGTGCAGGAGCTGAGTAATACCACCAAAGATAAGCTGGATCCAGAAGTTCCACCGCCAGCTCAACCATTGCTGCATCATTCCGCCAAAGATTGGTCCAATGGTGGTGCCTCCCACGGAGGACAAGACCACGTAAGCGACAGCGAAGCCCTGGTCATCGGGCTCCCACATGTCAGCCGTCATTCCGAGAGTGACAGAGCCGCCTGCTGAGCTAATACCACCAAGGCCACGACAGACAACCATCGTTGCGAAGTTAGGAGCAAGCGCACACGGTATCTGCCAGATATTCACGAACAGAAGGCTGAGCTGCATTATCGGCCACCGGCCATATTCCTCACTCCATGGGGCCCAAAGTTCACAGCCGAAAGCATATGCGACAAGGAAAATCATTTGGCCTACTCGGGCCGCCTGTTCACTGATATGAAAGTGTTCGGAGAGTTGCGGGACGGCGTTGGAGTAGGTGCTGCTGTTGAAATTCATGGACATTTGCACAACGAAGATGACCGTAAGTATGGTCCATTTCTTGTGCCAGGGAAAGCAGAAGCCCAGCTTCTCGTAGCAGTCGTCTTCGGTAAGTTCTCGTTTCACGGGGCCGTGGAACTTCCCTTGGATTTCACTATCGTCATCTGGCTGTGTGGCATGCTCCGCATGCATATTTTCCGGTTGGCGATCCGGACTCAAGGCGCCCTCCTTTCCCGAAGGCTTCTCTAGAAGTTCTTTTGTATCCATGATGAGCAATTTGTTTCTTAGGCGATCCAAAGAAACACTGCTGTTATGGGGTTCATGAAATCTTTCACGAACAGGACAACGACCAAAGTCGTAAGGCCAATTTAGAGGTTAGGCGAGGATTGAAGTCCTGTACCAGCAGAACGGAGCTCCAGACATGGACAAGGAACGGGAAGGTGGGTGGATGTAGTATAGAAGGAGAGCGCCAAACCAGGAACAAGGCGGGCGTCTTATATAGTAAATATCGCATACCTCAGCCCTGCAGAGCCAACATCGGAGAAGAGTGCTAGATTGCACCGCTCTAGGAAAGCAATGGTGGCACGACGTCATGAACATCGGAGTATCCGAGGGAACGATTGTAGTGTGTAGCAGTAGGCGTGCGGAGGGTGCAGCTCCGATATCGATCAATTGCCGTGGGGCCATGGCCGGGACGATCAATGAGAATGCCTGGAACGCTCTGGATTAACTTTCATTGCTTCTCTCCACCATTCCTGCGTGGATGAGGGATAGCCGCACATGGCACACTCAAGTGACACAATGCACTGCGCCTTGTACCCAAAGCCTGCAAAGTCCCGCCCTTGAAAAAAGAAAGGAAGAATTTGAACAATTCTATGACAAATGGATCCGAGCTACACACCATCATCGGCATTACCCCAAGAGAAAGCCAATGCCGAAGCCATGAAAGACCTTCGATACTCATTGGGGTGTCGCGCCAATCAGCGGCTCAAGCGCTTGTCGGGGTGCCCAAAGCGGTAGTCCGAGGAGCGACCGCATCCAAAACCGTGAGCATTGTTTGGTCCATCCACCTTCACTAATCACCCATGACGCCATCCCAGAGGCAAAACGCTTGACAAATCCGGTTTGCAATGGGATGATATCCACGTTCTTACTGCATGTAACCCTGCGGCATGGCCATCCATGGACAGGTGAAGCGACCTATCACTTGACATGAACTAGTTTTGCTTGAACCAGCCGGGCATGGCCAACGTCGAGAATGGTAATGCCTGGTGGAAGCGGAATAGAATCACCTCATGGGGCGACCAAATGGCATCGCTGGCTCTAGAACATTGCATCTTCGAGAAAAACCGAGCACCGCCACATTCCTGGGGGCTGCTTCTAGACAATCTACATCCAAAAACTCCTTACCGTGCACATTGTGTAGAGTACACCCTGTTTGATGCCGTCTATCCCTTGCTTTGAGAACGGGCACTGGTCACGGCGCATTGCCGCCGTCGCGTGGCTGTCGGAAAAGAGACCGAGGGAGTGTCATTGACAACCGAACAGCAAGACGACATATAGCCTTCGATAACGGAAGTCAACGGCCAATAGCGTCCAAGGCTGCATTCACAATGTCCTTTGACAGGTCAGTGACTCTACCTTTCACGGCACCTTCTTGGCGTTACCACTACATTCATGAGATGATGCATCTGGTAGTACGATAAACATCCCGAGATTGCCAAGATGTTGACCGAGCCGAAAACGTCTCGGGTCGGCATCGGTAGGGCTGGTGAAACGCTTTTCGTACGGAATGTAACCCTTTTGAACTGGCCGTACTGGTCGTCCAATCAATCGCCCATAGAAGATAACAGGATGGGTGAGTCGAACACCGAATAACTATATCAAATGTTCCAGTCTCACATATCCTTGTATCATGCACGCGGAGGGGTCTAGGCTCAGGAAGAGGCGAAGGCGGATAGACTGAGGTATCCTTGTGTAGCTCGACCACTATGCTGTTTGCCAGGAGTTTTCACGATAACGAGCCAGGTATGGAAGCGTTGTTGATATGGAGTACCGGACTGGTCCCTCGTGGCTATCCGTGGAACATGTGCCATTGATGCAATTCCATTGGCCGTGCTTGCATGGGTTGGACAAGATGTTACATTCCTGGCATGTAACCCTGGCGGTGCTAGCAGGCATGAAGGGAGAAATGGGGAGAAATGGGCGAGGAATGAGGAAGGAAAGGAAAAGAAAGGGTCACTCCCTTGCGCACTCGGCAAGTGTTGCCCCCCGTATCCGGGGACGCCGAAACATTCCCCATCGGGAAGGCAGAACAGCAGTCCACCATCTGCCATCTCGCACCATATCTATCTACATTCTGCATGACTCTACACAACTGGCCCCTTGCTGATCCCCCACACTGTCTTCTGATTAAGCTGCATCGTTTAGCCCATCGCCTTGACATGAAGATGAAGCCCAATTCTTGCCCATTGTAAGGAAAAGCAAGCAGAAATCTCCAATCCACAACGCCCCGCAGACGGGAGATCGGTTAGAGTATGCCGGACCCGCAATCTGGCCTTCAGCCAGCCCCTCAAAAACTCAAATGCCGGGTGCTAATCATCGTCGTTCAGAGGTTGATCTAGATCGCGATCCAACTCCACTCCCCTCCCATCCCTCTTATCGTGACTCGGATACCGCTCTGTATGGACACCCCATGACAAGCTTACTGCCCACTTGTCCTATCGATCCTGTAATCTAGACAGGCCTAAACAACCCCTTTGTTGATCTGCAGCGATGGTTAATTGGGTAAGAAGCCATCATGGAAATACAGACTGGCCTAGACTAGTGAAGACTGGCGCGTGATAAAGTAAAGGTACTCGGCAGACATGGCAGAACAAGTTGGCAAGGTCTAATGCGCCCTAAGGACCAAACCGCTTGTAGATCTGCACGAGTGGGGTGACTGTTCAACCGAGTACATCAATCACTCTCCAGGGAAACTGGCCTTTGCTTTCCAGGTCCTGAAAAAAAAGCCAGGCCTTGTCTTCTGTCCCAATTCCGCCTGCCGGGGATTATCACAGAAGATCTGGCACAAACATTGTGTCCTGACCGAGGCACTACCTATTGGTTTTCGTGGAGAGGCGGTATGTCGCCCATGGGCTCATAGCTCTCGCATACCTCCTCCCATAACGAGCCCTCAATGACATCATCAAAGATGAGCTGGTCGTTCAGAGGCAGCTGAAGCCAATCGAAAGCATTCTCCATGGGATCTAAGTGGCCGGAAATGTTCATTGATTCAAGTGTTGTGGTTGGTGTTCCTGTTTGTCCCGCGGAAACGGAACCATCACATTCAGCTCCGCGGCGCCACACAGATGACTTCATGGTATTCGGGTGGACTGATACGTTCCCTTCACGTTCTAAGAATGTAAGAGCTTTGATTGCGCGATGGCTGCTGTTGTTCGTTGAACCTAATTGGCCCAAGAAGCGGAGGTTGAGGCGGTAAAGGTGTGTTGTTCGTTGAGACAAAGTGGCATCAGTCGACTTGGCATTCAAGAGATGCATGAGAGATGAAATTGCCAAGCTATGGACAGCCAATGGGGACAGGGCTTCCTAAATCATAGTTCGACATTTCAGGTTAGACTTCATTCTAGGCAAATTTGCACACAAAAGAGACAAAAAGAGAGGGCGCTGCCGGTTATTCATCAAGTGGGCATACCAATGGATAGAAGTTTCTATACGCATTTACAATGGAAGTTATGCGAATGGCGGAAAACGTTGCTGATTGGATATGTACCATATCCGGGCACTTCATTTCCTCCAAGTCATGCATCGATGGGACCGCCTTGATGAAGGGACGATGAAGCATAATTTTTAGAGTGTGATATAGTAAGCTGGACATACGTTAGAAATTCAACATCCAACATCGTGCTCTTTTGGGAGTATATACTTGAATTGGTAAACAGGTGGGCTTGGCTGCGTCGTGGCGGTGGCAGGGAGTCTGAGAGTACTAGGTAAATTGTTGTAAAATTCGGACATGGCAACATGAATTTTCGTGGCTTTCTCTTCCCTTTCTTGAATGCTGAGGGGTGATGTGAATGCATAACTTGATGAGTGGTTAGTTTGGATCTTTGCAGAAGGCTGACACTGCCAGTTCTATGCAGTAGCCACTCACATTTCATCTAGGACAGGCGATACCATCCGTAATAGGTTACACGCATATTGAAAGTTTGACATACTGGAATACATCAGTTCAGGGGCTGAACTGTCAGATGTCGGCCACATGCGGTATTCGACGCTCGGAATGATTGGGACTGGTCCTGGATACATGTCACCTTCTCGTACAGCGCTTGGTTGCCCAAGAATCTGGGCTATATGCCTTCTACAATGTCAGCCATGTGGTTATGTTGATCTCAAGACGAAGCTAACTTTTCCAGCAACCAGACACCCCACCAAGCAAGTGATTTGGCTTCTTGGACCTCTTTTGACCCTTGGGTCAGATCATTCATAGTAGACAACACATGAAGTCCAAGAGTCAAAGATTGTCGAAAGGCGATCCCTGAAACCTATGTGAGTATCTGGACCAAGGTGATGTCAGACAAGCTTACCGATATACTGCGAAGCAGATGAAAGTCTATCGAGTGCTAATTCCCTCAGAGCCATAAGAGCTGCGGCCAGAACAAGGGACAAACTTGGATATTCCAGTTGTGCGAGTATTTTTCCCTTTGCATGCTTAGCAAGGGCCTCGGCTGATATGCCCCATGTGTGAAGCTGTGTTTCACCGGCATAATGGGCACTGTAAGCTAGTATTGCTGCGAATAACGTTGGGGTGGCATAGCTGCCGACTCCACCATTGGTCAAATCTTGCTGGAACAGAGGCTCATGGACAAGAACTGGCCATGTATTTCTCCAGGTCCAGAATTCCTCCAGCAGATGGGCTTGTAGATCATAGGGAACGAGGAATGGATCGTCCGACAGTGATATATCATGTTTCGAGGTGCTTACTGGGCTAGAATTTCGCATTTGTTCATCAAGCTCTCCAGAGCAGAACAGCCCGTACGCCCCTGACAGTCGGAAATCAAGTCTGAAGCCTGAAAGAGCTTGAGATGTATGCTCTACACTGGGCGGCTTTAGTGCTTCCTCGGGATTATCCAACCCGAATGTTGAAAAGGTACTATTATCCGTAACATTTCGGGCTGTTGCCAGCTGATGTTCCAGAAAAGCAATGCGCGAGTGGAGTGCATGAATATAGCACTTAGTAGGAGGCCTGGGACTGTATCAGCAATAATACCAAACAAAGCCTCTAGAGCACATACTTTCGCTTCTCGAGGTGATAGGTATATCCACAGTCGCGGTCCTCTCTTTCACAGACCTGGCAAATAGGCTTCTGGCCATCGCACTATGTTCCGGGTCAGATCCGCAGCCAGCTGCTATCAGCCTTGAGACTCACCCGACGTTTCTTCTTTCTACATGGTATACAGGCAATGGAGACACGCTTTCTTCTTTCTGTAGCTGGCATTTTCAAAGTAGCGAGATGATGAGGTATTAAACCGATGTGCATGAAAGGATTGATTGAAAATGGGTGACCCTGAGACTGTGGGCCCTGAGCGGGGTGGTTTGTCAGCAGAAAAACGGGGCGCAACTCAATTAAAGTTGAGGATCCTGTAATCCTAATTATTAATGTTAGTCTGATTGATATGAGCATCTACTACCATACGGTCATTCTCGTCGAACAATATCATACAACTGAAAGTATGGTCCAGAAATGTTGTTGTCGACAAAATGGTAAGTATCTTTCATACAACAATTCTAAGTCATCCAATTGAATTAGAAAGATTTTATTCCGGGTATTCCCCTTTGGATACTTCTCAACCACCTCAACCATTGTTATATTCTAAGCCTTGTTTTCTCCGTCTTTTCGTGCATTCCACTCCCGATCAAACCGAGTAAGCGCTCTCTGCGCGGTAGGCACGCAATCTAGCGCCTTAATTGTGGTCCTCTCAGGGCAGCTGACCATATACCATACTGCTTCTGCAAGATCTTCCGGTACCAGGGGTTCATAGCCGTAGAAAAATTCATCCATTGCGTTCTGATCATACTTGACGCGCTGAAGATGGAAATGGCTGACCACACAGCCCGGTCTGAGGACTGAGACACGGATGTTCGATCCAGCCGTTTCCATACGCAAGCTATTGGTAAATGCCTCAAGACAGGCCTTGTTTGCGTGATAGACAGCTTCGCCATCGAAAGGAGGGCATTCAAGCCCCGTAACGGACGAGACATTTATGATAGTGCCGCGCTTTCTGGGCCACATGCTCTGGTTCAGCACGCTGTGAGTCATATACATCACTCCAGTAATGTTGGTGCCATTCATTTGCTCCACCATCTCAATAGGGAGTTCCCAGAACCTTCCTGGTGCACCAAGAGCGAGACCAGCCTTTGACAAGAGTCAATTGTCACATCTTCAATCTCGAACAGCGGGAGCAAACTTACATTGTTGATCAAAACCTCAATATCTCCTAAAGCGGATACGATAAGTTTCACAACCGCATTGACCTCCGCATGGCTTTGAATATCAACACTATAGGCACGGACATTGATATCGGGGCATTTTCTCTCAATTCGAGCCCTCACAGCCTCCAGCTTGTCCTGAAACTGTGTCAACAACTGCTGCATAATTGACGTTCTTTAAAAGAATTACCCCGCTTCTTGCTAATAGAGCGACATTCATACCCTTCTCTGCCAAAGTCATAGCAATTGCTTCACCGATGCCCATCGAGGCGCCAGTCTTGAGATGGGTAGCAATGTGTTAGCACCGGACAGGAAAAGGACGCCAAATGAGGCACTCACTATCACCGCCGTGCGACCTTTCAAATAAGACTCCATTATAAAGCCGTTCATTACTCTAGCAATTCACAATTCCTTTCCAAAGGATGTTACAGCCAGTTCTGCTGTCTTGCTATGCGCACCTTCAGTCGCGGCCGGGGGGGTCAATCATATTTGGTGGGGTGAACGGGTAATGCCATTCCGAAGTGGAGAACCCCGACTTGGCCAACTCTGGTTATGATATCAGCGTAGATTTAGGCCCAGTATATACTATGATTCTATTCTAAAGGGTACAAAGACGTATAAATTAACCTAATGTTGATAATGCGATTTTGAACTTTGCAACATATTGTAGCCTTCTCCCTGATCCGCAGAATTTTCATTCCCCTGTCCCCATCAACCGAGAATAAACCCAAACATGGCAAACGTCAGACCATTTACTGTAAGTTAGCTGATGGCTAGCGTGGTTAATCATACTGAAAAGGAATAACTGAAGGTCCATATCTCCGAGGCCCTCCTTGAAGAAGTCAAAGCGAAGCTCAAGCTCGCCCGTCTAGATGAGCGTATGGGTGAAGTGGAATGGAACGACCTGGAGATTGGACACACGAACATCAAACAGCTAGTAGAATTTTGGCGCGATGAGTACGACTGGAGAATGTTTGAAGTTTTCCTGAATACGTTTCATCACTTCAAAACGTTGATACAAGTTCCTGGTTTCGATGTCTTGGACATTCATTTTCTGCACCATCGCTCATCACGGACGAATGCGATTCCTCTACTATTTGTTCATGGATGGTATGGTAACATACTGCATCTGGATTGCTGTTTAACGTGCTAATACGGCTTTGTTAGGCCAGGGTCCTTTCTGGAATCTTTGAAGATCATACCATTGCTGACGGAACCTCCAGAAGGACGGCAGGCGTTTCATGTCGTTGCGCCATCTTTACCCGGATATGGTTTCAGCGATTTTTCTCGAAAGAGGGGATTTGGATTGGAGCAATATGCCGATTGCTTTGCTCGACTGATGACCACGCTCAAATACGATAAATTCGTTTGTCAGGTAGATCATTACTCTCCTTGAGTGATCCGTTACCGAGGAGCTAATCGACCGTTCAGGGTGGCGACTGGGGTTCGTCCATCGTTCGATACATGGCATTGGGGCATCCAGATAAAGTGCTCGGGATCCACATCAACATGTTCTTAGCACTTCCCCCAAGTCCAGAGAGCTCGCCTGAGAAATTCCGGCGGTACCAGGATATGGCTTATGATACGCAAGAGTTGAAGAACCTGGAGAGGACAAGATGGTTTGCACACAATGAAGTTAGTGAACCCACTAGATATCTGACTGTGCTCTTTGAATCTGACTAAAATCATTTGCAGCGCGGGTATCAGCGGGTTCAGGAGACAAAGAACGTGACGCTCGGTTACGCGTTACATGACTCCCCCGTTGGCATGCTGGCTTGGTTAGTGGGCAAATTAAAGGCATGGACTGACGACTACCCTTGGACAAAAGAAGAACTCATCCATTGGACATTCATACATTATCAAGGAAGTCCGAGTGCCGCAATGCAAATCTACAAGGAAGCAGAAGCAGTTCTTAATGAAGACAGAAACAGTATGCTGGGCAAATATATATCCCAGCCTGTCGGCTGTTCAATTTTTCCGAAGGAGGTATGTTGGCTGCTGTTGTGTTAATGTGTCGTGAGCTGACAATTCATTCATGGTGAAAGCTGTGGTTATATCCTCGTGACTGGATGAGCGAGACATGCAACATTCAGTTTTGGAGGCAACATAGATCTGGGGGTCATTTCATTGCGTGGGAACGACCAGAGGCGTTGGTGGAGGATGTTGCAGAATTCTTCGACAAGGAAGGACCAGTAATTAAGAATGTTGTAAGCCATGGCTGAAAGAATAAGAGGGTACCAAGAGAAGATCAGACCACTACTTTGGGTCGGTCGATGAAGTATGAATAATATCTCATGACGTGCCCTGCTCTACTTTCCTGGTTATCGCTTTGTCATGCTCCTCTACGTTATGCGCAGAACACCTTGAAGAATTGGGGTTAAGATTTAGACGAGGATTGTCAATTTCGAGTCCACAATCCACGCCATGCATCCTGGAATCTGCCTATATAGGCCCCCCTCTCCTCCATTAACTCTCGCTTCCTCGGAATTGAACCGAAGTGCGAGAATCTAATCCTGTGTACTGCCGAGCACTACTGCCGACTAATCCACAAAGCGTTGTTAGAAGATTGCTACTCGAGCATTTGGCTCATGTGCCTCAGTGGCTAATCTTAGTATGTCGGTTTCTCTAACAATCCCTACCTGGGATCCTGGGAAGTTTTCATTCCGACAAGGAGATCTTCATGGTATGGGTACATACAAAGGTCTTCTAAAAGAGCATTGTTGGTGTGGTTTGTTTACTAGTAGTATCCTAACTATATATATGAATATATCAAACATTCAGCTTACCACGACAGTTATGAAACGCAGAATGGGACTGTAGATATAATATACGACGCGATATGTTCTTTATAGGAATTGGTGATGTTGGAATAATGTATAAGCAATGAGGAGGACCAAAGTTTCGGAAGCTCACAGTACCACTGGCCTCCGGGTGCGTCGTTGATTATCAGTCCCGTCCATGTAGAATGCTTCTGGATCCGAGTAGGTAAGCGAGGACATCTTTCCGGGACATAAATTTTCTCATATCGTATGAGGGCTCACCGAATGGTTCTGTGTGCCCTGTACAGGGTATAGATATACACAATTTTACCGGATATAGAGCCAGCAGTCCCAAAAGTCAGTCAGAGCGAAGCTTAAGCCAAGCCCGCGGCAGGGCTTCTTCTGGAAGGGAAACCTGGTACCGCTGGCGATGGGGACTGCTTATTGGCTCGCAGTCCCGACTTGTTCTTGGCATTTATTGCGCTAAGCCTTTCCTGGGGTGAGTTTGCGAGTGGCCCCATAGGGCGACGACAGCGCTAGTCCATAAAGAGTCGGGGGTCCAGAGCACGTGACATCCACGGAGCGTCGATCCCGCCCGATATCCGATTGGTGGCGGAAGAGCCGTCGGACTTCCCCTCTTCGAGACGGGGAACCTGAAACCTGCAGTCGCTGCCAGCTTGCTATCCTTTTTTCGCACTGGAATCAATCACGACGTCCGCTCTCGCAAGCACTGCCTATTCCTGTTCCATGCAAATCACAGCCTCTTCTATTCTCCGAGCTGACCTGCATCTGTCCTTGCCTGCATCTGGTAGCTTCGTCTCCGCCGCTTATACACATGGTGTTCCCTGGAAGGCTTAGCACCGGCTGCTATGTATGCCGGAGGCGTAAAGTTAAGGTATGTTCGGTAACCAAGACAAACACTGTCCTGTCTGTCCATCTACGTGCTACTTAACTGACCTGGGACAGTGTGATGGGGCTCGACCAGCATGCCGTCGCTGTGTCACACAGGGAAGGCAGTGCACGGGTTATCCAGATGCCTTCGCCTTTCGTGAATACAAAGCCACGAAAGGACCTCAAACAGGCAAGGCAGTAGCCAGGAAACGAGGCAAAAAGACGGCAGACGGTGAACAGCCCTCGAGTGGTTCAGCATCACCGTCTGCAGCAGTATCAGACCAGGATGGAACTGACACACGTCTGATTGCCATTAAATCCCCATCTACACCACCTAGCCCTCCTGCTGCGATAACTCCATGTCTGGAGTGGCAGTCGCTTTGTTATTTCTTTCACCAGCATGTTCTGCCCACAGAAAAGTCTCCGTGTGAAGGTCATCTTGCGTTTCTTCCTGAGCTATATCAAGAGAAAGGGAACGACCCTTCCCTGAGACATGCTATCCTTAGCGTATCCTACCTCTCGTTATTCAACACCGCTCGCGTGAATGAGCTTTATGTGAATGCTAGGAAGCACTATGGCGTGGCCTTGAAATCTCTCACAGCGTCACTCAGCAACAAGGAGACCTCGACTCAAGACGAGACGTTTGCAGCTGCACTTTTCCTGAGTATGTTCATGGTAAGTCTACCAACATCATCCGGAATAACCGGATACGCTTGCTTACCAATCATCAGGACCTAAGCGGCGAGAGACAGGGGGCAGTAAATCCTCACATCCCTGGAATCTGCTCCCTAATGCATCTTCGGGGCAGGCCGCAGCGCAGTAGCAAATATGCCCGCAAGCTGTTCGGTTGGGCATTCACTCAAATAGTAAGTCGACCCACTGTAATCACAGTACCGATTGTTGACCGAGACCCTGCGTTGCAGCAAATACAAGCGGTAGCCAATAATCAGTTTGCGTATGCCTGCTTGCCAGCGTCTATCAACATGGCGTACAATCCCGACTACGTGCTACGCTCGGGCATTATCACCAGTATGATCTCCGGGTTCTGTCAGGGGGCCAGCGAGTTCCGAAGAACCGAACACAACTATCCACCCACCGCCAGGGCCCGGTTACTGCATTCCCTGCTAGGACGGGCGTACTTCATTATGGAGCAAATCAGCATCTGGGACGAAGCAGTCCCTCAGCATTGGAAACGACAATTCGCCACGCCGGCTATGGGCCATTTGAATCATGCAGAGCAGGCTGCTTCACGAGATCCATGGACCCCCTGCTTTTTGGCCGTTGTCCAGGCCGCCCAAATCCTCTATTTCATCCACGTGTTCGAGTGCTGGGAGAAGTTCGTTCCACTCGCATCTGCGATAAAGGATGAGCATCTTGAAAATTTCCCTGTAGAAACATTCAGCGGGATAGACGATCGGATCAGGGGCCTGATAGACGTGATTTGCAACACTGTGACTTGCACGTTAGGACATATCACCCCGAAGCATGAATTCCAGCTGCACCCCAACAGCAAGCTGGCGAATGGATACACGCTTCTATGGCCGATGTGGGTGGTTGTAAATTCTGGACTTGCGACACCAGATCAATTGGACCTCTGCCGGCTTGCTCTCGAGTGTGTTGGTTCCACCATGGGTTACCGGCTGGCCTCTGTCCTGTGCGCGGATGGTAGACCGGAAGAACCTCGTTCGAGCATACTTGAGCAATCCCCAATGACTCGCAGCCTCACCGTTGTACAATAAGCTGCACCTTATGAACATTTCATGCCGTGTTATGAGACGCGATGACCATTGTGACTTTATACCCTCCAGGCGAAAGCAGTTCCAGTGACTGTATGCCTCACCTTATTTCCATGTCGCATTTCCTGTTAGAGCTGAATACCTTCTGACGAATTAATATTTCCGTTACCTCTTTATTGATGGAAATGGCCATTTTCTTACCTGTATCTATTCCACTCAAACGACTTGTATCCGCGCTGGGTAACTCACCCCTATCTTAGAGAGCAGGGAGCAAAGCAACTTAAATACTTCTCAGGGGGTATTCTCCAGGACGCGGATTGAAAAGCAGCAACTCCTACTGGACAATAGGCAAATAGAAAAGTCTACTAGAGCGAGAAAAGGACAAACCGACTCCCGAAATCCCCCACTGCTTGTTCGCAAAGGGACCCCAGAAAGGGTTAGTGGGGTGATCTTCGTAGGGCTGTACAGCATCAGCCGGGGGCTGAAGTGCCATCCACTCGGACACATAAAGTCTAGGCCAGCAATTGTGACACGGGTTAATTTGCATGTGTTTGCAGGATATCGCCCGTGTTAGTATTGCAGGCGGAATTGGTCGGTTCGGGCCCGACTTGGGCGATGCCGACGGACTTCGGGGAAGACTGCGGTCGGGGCCAACTGCCGAATGTGGAAATCGGTGGCGAGGACCCAGATTGACCAGCAAAGATCTGTGTGGGACTCATCGCAGCACCAATACGGTGTCAAGAGAAAATACCACTGTCTTCAGTGCTCAGAAACTTTGTTCGGGCATACGACATTGTCTACCCAGATGATATGTAATGGATGTAGAATATGTAGTCTCAGACTCAACAGGCTATGCAAACCCAACGCCGTAGCATCATTCGATTAAAACATGATGGAAAACCGGTTCAAGAAAAGTGTTGCCATTCAGTGCCATACAGGACCCCAGTAGTCATTGTCCCCTTGAAATGCACTGTCAAACTTCTGGCATCGTGGATGATCATAATCTTCCTGTGATCCCTGCGGCCAGATAGGAACAGCGCAAAATTCATCATCCTGGCATCCAGAACAATCTTTCCAAACACTCCAGTCAAGATAATGCATTAGTTCCTGCAAAGTATTTGTCGCTGTACTGTAATCCTTAGTCTCCATGACTGCCATAAGACTGCTGCAGATCCTGCTGCTAACAGTATAGACAGACCGGTAGCCCAGAGAATTCTTAGGCGCATGAACTGGAATGAACTGGCTAGCGCAGCGGTCAATCTCCGCGTAGTAATCACGATTGTCGCGATCGACAAAAGGAGACAATATACGCTCCGCAGCCTCCACAACAAACTCCAGATGAGCAGCCTGATCATCATGTTGAGCGGTTACTAATCCGCGGAGAATGCGACCGTATTTCTCAACCACCATGTCCGCCACTGCTTGCCAGTTTATCACCCGTATTGTTGGATCGTGAGTCATTACCAGGGCCGTCAAATCATCTCTAATAGGCGCAAGCGACGAAGCAGGGAGATGCGCAAGCCGCGGATGCTTGCTACCGCCGGGGAACAGATCAAGACCATAGTCATAGGCAGTGACGAAAGCGTCATAGTTGACAATGACTCGGTCGCCGCCAATGCCATGATACCTGGACGTGACAGTCCGGAGCAAGTCACTAGGTTTGCCGCTCTTCTTTCCGGGATCCCGGCTGGGAAGAGTGACTCGTGCGATGTTGACTGTCTCCAGGTTCTGTTCAGGATTGCACAGAATGATCTCAAACCCAGCTGCCATGCGGATCACACCGTCGATACGTCCATTCCATTCCTCTTGGGCAATCTCGCAGATTGCCTGAGCGCGCGCTGACTCTTGGCTTACGCCTCCTGGCTCCAGTTTATCTTCGAAAAGGACTCTGTCCTGCAGGTCCAGGGTGCCTATTTGGGACTTTCCTGCCGAGGTACCATCGATGTAAACGAGTCGAAGGTCTTCCGTGGTCGCGTAGGTATGAAGCCAACCAGTCTCAGCTGGGGTGATCATTACTTGCTGGGACTCGGAGTCCATGCCGTGAGATGGTAATTTGGAAGGAGGGCGAGCGAATACCATCGCATGCTCGGGGTCGAAAGCCATCCAGCCTATCCTGGAGATAGGGTCTGAGCGTGCATCCCCGTGGTAGAGTTTGACTCCCTTCGGAACGGAGGCAAGAAAAAAAGACATTCCGTTATGATGGAGTGAAGATCCCCATTGTCGCATGGAGGAGTGGATGGCGTTGAAGATGTGGTTGGCGTTGTGCATGGGTTGCGGTTCCCCGATGGCGAGGGCTGTGGTGGCTGTAGTCATGATGAAGGCTGTTAGACACGTTAATAGGAATGAATGAAACATGATCATGGCAGTGTCTGAGATTCGATGGATCTCACCTTCTTCTTAGTTTGATGGACTATCGTATAGTTAAATATCGGCTGGGTATGTTGTTGTCCGCAGCTCGGGGGATCCACATCGATCTTAAGCCGCGAGCGCTTATCCCCGAGGCTTGCTCGCCACCTAGTTCATCTTTCTTTCCCTGCTGATTGACGCGTACTACAATTTTCGTCATGCAGGATTGAAGGTGAAGACGTGATTGTTTCTTGCAATTGTTCTCTTTACCCTCATGTCCCAGATCCAGATCGGATGATCCAATAAGCCCTACAAAGATGCATGCTTGTCAGCCGAAGGTGGGAAAAATAGTTGCATTTTTAATTCACGAATATAATTAGTTCCTCTAGTGTTCCACCGTAGTAGCATTATGAGGCGGGAAATAACATTTCCAGCCTGTTGAACCGCATACAGACATCACCATCACCAGCTGTTGCCTGGCCGTGCGCGGTAGGCAACAGCTTTTTCAATGTCCCCATCTTTTCTGGCCGCCTTCCAACCTCATTAACGGTGTTCACCACAACACCGACAGTACAACATTCAACCACATGCTCAGGCGTTGACTTCTCTGGTAATAATCTGCGAGGGCATCATATCGACCTCCTTGCTCTTCTCAATCACCCCCTCACTGCTGGACCGGCTGGCAGCCTTTCCTGGGCGGATTCTGCGCATGCAGGCTGAGAAGAACGGGATGTATCCGTAGCGCTCATTGTACCACATGCAAACGTAGCCAGTGATGATGCAGATCCAGTACAGATTGTATCCCAGCACGGATCCATATGTGGCAGAGTTGGTCCAACCGAAAAGAGCGTTGAAGATACCCCATCCACCACCGCTACCCAGTTCGGGGTTGCAGCAGTTTACGTGCCAGACACTCTGGCGAATATCGTAAGAACCGGCTCCAGAACCCGTTTCGGAGGCGTCACCGCCGATGATGTTGTTCCAGGCGTTGTTCTGGAGGTACCAGATGGCACGGGAGAAGAGACCAGCGGAGACGAGGTAGAGGAAGCAAGTCGAGATGATCAGGAAATATTGTAGAGAGGCGGTGTTACCACATCTATTGGAAGGGAGGATGTTAGTCTGGGCTGCAAGAGCCTCTTAACACGAGGGGAGAAACTAACCTGTACAGAAGATATCCGACAGCAATACCAGCAGCAAGACCACAAACGACGGCGAGAGGGAACGAAGTCGCAGGGAGACCAAGACCGACACCACCAACATACACGACGGCTTCAAGACCCTCACGAAGAACAGTCACGAACGGAAGAAGGAACATGACATATTTCTTGGACCAGTCTTTGAACCGCTGGTAGATACCGATCTTGGTCTTCTCTTTCTCTTCGAGAGCCTGGGCCAGCTTGTCGCGCCACTTGTCCTGCAGCTTGGAGACACGCAGAAGACCAGCACCCATGCTACTGATAATGATAGAAGCGATGAAACCGAAGATACCTTCCCAGATATCCTCACTACCGGTGAAGACATCCTTGTTGAGGCCGTAGAAGGCACCAATCATACCACCACCGACGCAGAGACATATGAAAAGACCCAATGCCACACCACACCATACCTGGATCGTGTAAGAGGGGAGAAAAGATGTCTGTATGGGGAAGGAAACGTACATGTCGATTTAATCGTTTTAATGTTTTTACATCGCCTTCTCCTCCTAGCGTCTGCTTCAGGAAAGACAGAAGCACGGACACGATAATGACACTCTCGAGACATTCACGAAAGCAGATGAAGAACACTGTAGAGTGTGAGCACTGGATCGGGGAGCGAATGTCTTGCAATACTGGGATGCAAAAGTCAGAGGAATCATACCCGTCACTGCAAATACCTTGTTGGCCATCTTGTCGACAGTAAGCCTTGTCAAAGGCAACCCCAAGAGACAGTGGAAAGGGTCAAAAGTGAATAAGAGTCCAAGCCAAAGGTCCTGTCCCAGTCCCTGAGATGACCGAGGGAGATGAATGCAACATATACCCCAAGGGATCAACGAAAGATTCCTCTAAGTCTTCTCCGATTCCCGCAACCCATTCGGATGCGTCTTTTCAGCGGCTCAGGTGCCACTCCATCAATCCATAGAGGCACTTCACCGAAATTGCCATGGCACTAGGAACAATTTCGACCGGGACTCCAGCGTCCGGGTGTATACGATGTTGAATTACCTACGTAACAAGAATGGCCACTCCGGTTCTCGCTTATCAATCTTCACAGGGAATAATCTCTGGTCGTATGGCTAAATTATGGCTATCGCGGCATGTAAAGGGTCTCAAGAGGCGTGGCCTTGGTAACTAGAAGCGGGTCAAGGATGTTTGCCAAGCCTTAGGAAAAAAATCTGATAGCGAGGAGTCAGAAGCGATTGGTTCACGGGAGTCATGGGCATGGATCAGATAAATCCTACCCAGCCAAAAAAATGGTGCCCCATCGGCGGATGGTTGAAGTTTGGGTTGATAGTCGGGTGTAACGATACAGTTACCGTATTCCGGATACTCCATCGTCTTGCCAAGAGATGCGCCAAGACATGGCATTTTCACGGTTTTACTATGGACAGTGCTCCTTCAACAACAACAACCACATACACAGAGGCATGTGCTGCAGTTGTCTCAAGGTCCCATGAATCCCCTCTTACATAAAAAAAGCCTTTTTGAAATTGGCATCACGTCCTAATATCATTACTATGCAACAATCGCAAAGCAACAGCGCATATGGGAATCCCTACTAGGGCACCTGAACCAAGACGGTGGGTATGGTGAGAGATGGCTATAGTACTAGGGCTTAGTGAAAATGCTAGGCTAGACAGATTGCGGTTGCGTGATGTGGGACCCCGATGTTGGAAATTATAACTTCATAGTTGGGAGGACTAAGGTTTTGGAGGGGAGCCATCTAGAGGGACGCCAGAGTACCCAAGGGAGAAATCTTTTCCATCGAGGCTACTCACACTAACCAGCAGTATACTCACTTGGCTAGTGCCCTACCTTTAAGCCTTGAGGCGCCAGTACGGTCATACAATCACTCGTTTTCATCCTCAATAAAGAATTGTACACTAAGTTAACCAATGCCAAAGTACACAGGACAGCTTCAACCATACATGATACCGCCATTCAATATATGCTTCACTAGCCACCTATGAAACGCTCCCCAGTACCCCTGTATAACGGTGATGTGCATCGAACCAAAGGAGATTCTTTGGAGGATCGTCAGGCACGATAGACGTAAAATTACCACCGTTCCATACAAGTATCATTGATTGATAAGATGACCCAGAGAAAACGGGACTGCCGTGAGAACTCGGTTGCACCATGCAATCCTAGCGTTGTCGCTAATTAAGCTTTAGGTTAGGCTCGCAAACTAATTCCTTTCTTTCTCATAACTTTCCCTCGGGATATCAGCGGCGGACCAGTGGGACCGCCATACGGGGAGTTCTCTACTGACTTGCATACCTTTTCTTCCGTGGGTCATGGGTCCATCAATGAATAGGAGACGGGGAGGAACCGACTGTTTGACTCGGACATGGGTGGATACTGGGTGCCAAGGTCATCGGGCGAAATTTGGACTGCCTCCAGACATGGTAGTCACGCCCTCAGATCTTCATTGCAAAACGGCTTACTGGCAGGTAACGACCAGAGATCGATGCAAGATCTGCTGATTGACTCAAGATATATCTATTGTGAAATGTTATGGTCACATCTCTGGTATTGGTTCGATCATGTTGCCCAACGGACAGCCTACGCTTTGAGCCACAATGTCGTGACAGACCAGTCTGAACCTCATACGTCCAACATACAGTCTAACCATGAAAATAACGTCGTGCCAAGGAGCAAAGACCACCACAATCATACAATGCGTACATAATTGCCGCAGAAACACGGACAGGTTACCCTGAAACGTGTATACTTTGCGACAACAAACCTGGAACAACCGCCCCAAACGTGGGGAGGACGCCCAATATGGTAAGAATTTGATGCCAAGATAGACCGTGTCTATCCGCTATCTCGCTTAGAACCACCCCGGGGCTCGGATACAGGGCCCGAGGCAGATACACCAAGTACCATTTCAAAAAGCCATCTACCAAGTCATGAGTTAAAGCCGGGAGATGACCGACGGCCCGTACTTCGCTCTACTATTGCCAAGCATGACCTCCCAGCTGGTGGCATCCTCTAGGTGGGGTAAGTACAGGTGGCCAAGAATTTCTTGTAGGTCATATGGCTGCTGCTTGGGCTGTGGATCTTATCTGATTTAGAAGCTTCGGCGATATTGGTCTTGGCAGCCCACATGGCTGGTGGGCTCCGTCGTCGGTGGCTACCGATACGGGCTCCTGTGAACGGCACAGGGCAGCTTTTAGGACAATTAGGCATACGTATACTTGGTTGGATCGTTATTTCCGACTTATCAATCTCTTTCCTCTTGGCAAATCAACCATATGGGTCAATGGTTCGTGGGCGAAATTCAACGGACCAGTAGATGGAGTATGATACAACGCTTTCCACCATCGGCTGCTCCGGAATTATGCTTCAGGCTTGACTGGAGAAGAATTCTCTGCTAGAGGAACGCCTCTTTCTGGAAATTTCAATTTGTGGGCTCGGATGTATTTGCAATCCAGCAATTAGAATGGGTCCCATTAGGCACCGTATGACAATAGAAGGCGAAAGTCTGGCCAGACATATATACCGGGCAATGGGCTTCCTCACCTTGGTCAGACAGACTTTGAGCTCATCCATCTCACAATGCGTTCCCAGGCTGCCATCCTGCTTGGACTGAGCTGGGCCGTGAGCCCGGTTCTTGCCGGACAGGGCTTGACGATGTCTGCTCCCAATCTTGCTGATTACTGCTTTTACGCTATATATACCTCTATCGGGTCTTATACATTCGAAGGGGCAACTTCGACCTCGTCGAGCTCTAGCTCTGGGCAAGGATCTTCTTCTAGTCAAAGTAACTCTTCCAGTACCTCTTCACATGGCTCGTCCAGCAGCTCAAGTGCCCACCGCCGCAGAGCTTTGCGAGAGAAGCGTGGTCACCACGGTGCGAGTTCGACAGGAGGTTGTACAAGCACCGTGGGCGTCATGTCCTTGTATGCCAGTGCAAAGGCGTGGTGCAATGAGGAGCAATTCAACTCCGCCATTCCAACCTACTGGGAAAGTCTCTGTGAACAGAGCAGTGTGTCCCTGATCAGCCTGACCGAGATCGAGGCCAATGCCACCGATGAGTACATCGCCTCCTTGCCTGTTATCGACCCGGAAACGAATAGTACGACCACGACTGGAACCATTGAATCCCCTGTCCTCTTGAGCCATTCCTATTACAAGCGGGCTTACAAGTCTTACGTGGGTCAACTGCTTGGATATTGCTATTGATGATTTACTAACATATTTCCAGGTTACTCACGACTATGCTTTGATCAAAGACAAACGCTATGGATGGGGTCTCATGGGATACTGGGGCGGTGTCTTGGCACTTGGAATGATAGTCAAGGCCTGGAAGTTTGTCCGATCAAGTATGAGACTTTCTCATTCCGGTGACGCCGAGAAGAACAGCGCAGGCCCTCGAAGCAAGGTATTCGCACCAGTCGCTGCTGTTGCACACTTCATGCGCACATACTTTGTGATTCCTGCCAGCTTCGCTCCCTACCTGTCGAACCACCAACAGCTGTTTCTGTTTCACACCATCCCCAAACGGCTGGATATGCTGATCGTCTTTGGTTTCTGGGCTGTCGCCATCATCTTGTCCTGCGTCAACTACCAGAGTTTTACGGGTAACATTAGGTGCGTTATCACAGAGTACACACAGCTAGTACGCCTCAACTAACGGTTCTACTTCAAGCACGCCGAGTCTGTTCCAGCAGAACTGGCAATACTCGTCCGACCGCACCGGCGTTCTGTCCTACGCTTGCCTGCCGTTCCTTTGGCTCTTTGCTGGACGCAACAACATCTTTCTCTGGGCGACCGACTTTAATGTGCAGTCTTTCAACATCTTCCACCGTCACACGGCCTGGGTGTGTACCCTTCTTGCCATTGTTCACTCGATCGCCTACACTGTAGTCTTCCAGGTTTATGGTTTGTCCCCTCCTTTTCACAACCAGTTTCTACTTTCCACATATAGTTGACAATATATCCGATACACAGATGGCAGATACCACAGCGCGCTGAAGCAGAACTACTTTTACATGGGTATTGTGGTATGTTAGACCTGTTCTGAAAATCAGTGGTGCGCAGCAATCCTAATAACTATGTAGGCTACGGTTGTTATGGCAGTTATGCTCTTCCAGTCTACTACTTGGCTTCGTCAGAAATTCTACGAGACCTTCCTAATCATCCACGTCCTCTTGGCCATTCTGACCATCTACGCCTTGTTCCGGTATGCTCTCCTAAGTAACACAATTCACATTCACTATCTCTAACAGCTAGACTGCAGCCACACTAGCTTCGACGGAACCGTCTACAACGGCTACCTCTGGCCCATGGTCGCCATTTGGGGCTTTGATCGTACAGTCCGCTACGTTCGCATGCTCTACTGCAACCTCCACGTCAAGTTCGGCAAGGGATTCATCTCCACAACCTCTTCCACGGTCACCTACAGCCCCGAAAGCGACTTGATCCGGATCGAGATGTACCCTGCCTCTCAGACCCTGAAGCCTGGCCCGGGTCAACACTACTACCTTTACCAACCCGTCACTCTTCGCGGTTGGGAGAACCATCCCTTCACTCTGGGATGTTACGAGAACGCAAACTCGAAGGAAGACTCCTCGAAGCTTATTTTCTACATCCGTCCTTATGACGGCTGGACTAGACGTCTGCGCGACCAATGCCAGAAGGCTGGCACTGAAATTCGCCCTAAGCTCCTCCTGGAAGGCCCGTACGGACACCAGGCCCCACTCCACACCTTCGACACAGTCCTCATGATCATGGGTGGAACAGGTATTGCCTGTGCTGTACCCTACATTCTGGACCACATCTCGCGTGTTGAGGCCGGCAAGACCAATACCACTCGTATCCAGCTTATCTGGACAGGCCGCCAGAAGAAGATCTTCGACGAAGTCTGCTGCAGAGATCTCTCTGCGGCTTTGGAGCACAGCGACATCACCACTACACTCTTCTGCACTGACAAGTCGGCTGCCGGAAACGTGATTGACTCTGGAGCGACCACGCCGACGAAGGAGAAGGAGGCTGCTGCAGATGCTATGGCTCTCCAGGACAGGTCCAGCGGGTCTATTCGCTCCGTCGAGGACCTGAATGTCGAGCTGCGCTACGGCCGGCCTGCTATTCGCGCTAGTGTCATGACTGCTGTGCGTGAGGCGGAGGCTAGCTCAGCCCGCTTGGCTGTTATTACGTGTGGCCCGGCCGTGATGGCGGATGAGTGCAGGTCTTCGGTGTACGAGGCCATGAAAGGTGGATTCCAAGATATTGAGTACTTCGAGGAGGCATTCGGATGGTAAGGTGGGACTGAAAGAGGCGATGATTCAAGGTGATTGGAAGGGGTTTACGGTTTGGATTGATTATGTTTGCCAATGAGTATATGTAATGCGAGACTGTGCAGGGTTACTGCAGAGTAATGAAAAGTTACTTAATGTTGATTATCTACGGTTGCGAAAATTTTTATTCCTTCTGTACCTGGGGATGGTCTGTATCAGCAGCTCTCGTAAGTGACTGCAAACGGCCCATAAATTGAGCCAGGAGATTCTCATATCAGGGCTGCACTATACCCAGACAAAGGCAAAACATATGAAATCTCACCGGTAATCACCAACCCCGATCAAACTCCGGCCCCAGTGCCCGTTGGCACCAGAACCGCGCCCTCGGGCCAAAATGCCGACTCGGGCTGCCTTGACGGGAGGAACCACCGCCGGTGGATCCCCACCGCGTGGAACCTTCGCAAACTCGTACCCGAAATAAGCTAAAAGGTCAGGTACGACCCGCATTTACAGACTTTGCATCCTTGCGGTGATCGATCTGTGTGTGGGGAGAGGGGCTCTCGCAAGCTTGTACTGGATATGCTGCTCTTGGATATGGATGGAGTGGGGTTGTAGGGCATCGGAGCTCGGTTAGGTACCTCCGCTAGCTTTCGCCCCGGTGGGCGAGGCGTTTGAAGAGAATTGAGAATTCGTTCGCTCCGGGGCTTGGCTGGACTAAGGACCTGGGTGAGGGCTTGGCACGGTCCAGCCTGGCTGGTGGTCAAGATGAGATTTTCGGGCGGAATGCGCGCCAGGTGCCCAGGCCTATTGATTTCCAAGGCTTAGGGCGGTAGTTTATCACCGTTGATTCTCGTGATAAATAGCCGGACAAGAATATAGTCATCATGGTACCGCAAAAAGTGGCGGCAACGTCTTCTCCTGCTCAAGGCAGCCCAAAGCGACTTCTGGTTCCAAAGTTTTGGGGATGACACTGAGGCTACCAGTGATATCTTCTGTCGAATGTGTGGAGTACACTCATAGCCATGTATTCCAGCACAATGGTGGATCTGGACTTTGCCAAGACATTCTTATTCCTTCCACCGTGGTACCAGGCTGTCAGTCAGCAACCCTTCCCATTTTGACATTCCTAGTTTACCAAAAACAAGTTTGTAAGCCTGTTCAGGTAATACTTTGTCATAGAAGGCAATGTTCGTTGGAGGTTCTAGCTACTTGTACTGAAGACTCTTGCCTTTTGCTATTGCTACATGTAAAGTACTTGTACACTCATATATATTTTCCGTGCTGTTTATCACCTGGTAGAGACAATAAAATAGACCTATAAAGATCGGGCTATGTGCAGTAAAAGGTACATACTGACCACGAAGGTCAGATTATGGTTATAAATTAAGTAGTTATTGACAGATACTCACTGTACTTCAAATTCTGGTCTTAACATTTTCAGAGTCTCATCATAAAGTAAAATGTACTACAACTAGAATCATGTTCAAATCAAGATAAGCAGTAAGATATAACAAACTTGGTATTATTGTGAAATGCATCAAACTGTTACCACGGCCATTGAGCGGATATATATTCATTATCGCACATGCTGATCCAAAGCACCTGTCTCTTGCCTGGCAGCATTCAGCTATCCACAGTTTGTTTGGCTAGTGAACATACGAATTCCAGTAGATCACATAAGTCCACTGTGATATATATACCTTGAACACTGCCGTTGCCGTATTATTCTGCCCATATACATACCGGCGACGCAAATGTGTATACTTGAAGACATGAATGAAGATACGTCATGGATCGACCTGAAAGTGGAAGCCGTAAGATAAGATAAGATAAGCGACGTTAAATGTTTCACACTCATCTATTCTGCCAAGATAATGCCTCGTAAGCAATATTTCTTGTCTTATATCGTCCCTCATATCCATTAAGACATACTGGATCCTGAAAACGCGTACGGCTGTATAAATGAAGTAACTTAATCTTTCTTCGTATCTGAATATCCTGAATTCAGGGACACAGTAATTGGCTGAACGCCTAGAAAGCAATCCTCGAATTGCTCATCGACACGCTATGGTCTTGATTAGCAGCCAGACTTGTCCATTATCTTAACACAATCAGGGCTTTAAAGTCTGTTTATAGTTCTTTCTATTCTGGGAAAGATTAAGGGAGCATATTAGATAGTATATGTAACAAGCAGGATACATATTTGATAGAAAAGGTAACAGCTGGCCTACGCCGCCCTTCCCAACTTTCTCTTCCTCTCTCTCTCCAGTCTTAATGCTAGCGAGTATTAGAGACGAATCTTCTTCTTCTTCTTTTCGCCGTTGGCGACCCGACAAGAGAAACCTGGTTGTGCTATATTCGAAGATAAAGCAACAATCAATTAACCAATAATTCATATATAGAGCAACCGCTTGTGACCTAAGAGTAGATCATATAGTATGCGAACGTAATGACACATATGCTAATGTCATTTGGGATAGGGTTTACTACGAGGTAGGCCCATGGATAGATCCGCAGAGATTCTACCACAGATCAACCGTCATTTTCTACAAATCGTACATGAAACATAGGAAATTACTACAAAGAATGTTCACACCTAGCCACATTCCTCTCCGACTGCTCGGTCTCATCCCCAACAGACCCATCCTTCGGATCAACGTACTCGCACCTCACGCTCCACTGATCTGTTCTTTGAATCACCAACGTAGAGTCCCTCCTACCCAATGGCTGACCCGGAGATGTAACAGCAAATGCGGCAGCAGAAGCGCCCAAGCCCTCGATCTCATCCTCCAAATACCGTGACCTAGTGGCTGATTCTTTAACACCCTTGGTCATACTCGTCAACGCATAGGTGTTGCCATATGAGTTGCTATTTCTGCCTCCACCTATGCGCTTATGTAAGGATACATTCAGCATGCCGCTGTCAAAGGCGTCCAGAAACGGTTTCAGGCATGGAATGCAGGCTGTCATGATGCTGACGCAGAGAACGCATTCTGTTGTGATGGTTGTTGCGAACGCAGCGTCGTTCATGTCCGTGGAGGGATAGGGCTTGGAGTAGCGAATAAAGATAAGGCGGATGATGGTGGTTATAACAACGCTGGCCAATCTCATGTTAGTTAAACGTCCATTATGAAGCCCAAATTGGACCTACAAGATGCGGATGAAGAAGGCAACCACAACGGTGACTTTCTTCCCGAAGATGACTTGGACTGGCTTCACGATGTAGATGGGTAGGATGCAGATGACCAGTTCTGTTATTATGTCGATAGGGGAGATGCCGGCCCAGAAGGCGAACTGCGTCAGTATCTGTCAGTTTTGTTGTAGAGAATTGGAAGTATATGAATCTCTCGAATGCATATGACTAGTGTATGTGGGATTTGGGGTGATGGGGAGAAGGATCTGCTAACTCACAATATCTATGCAATGACCATTACTAGCATCCAAAGGTTCAGGCACTCCACATTGAAATGCAAGAGTGAAAACCACCGGCACAGTCCAGATTCCGACCAGAACAGAAGTCCAGAATGAGATTTTCTTATGCCACCTATTCACTGACAATTTGTTCAGAAGCAGCAGTACTGAGATCTTCGCCAAGCTAAGCGCAAGAACGTATAGAATGTTCGACGAGTAGAGAGCCTTATTGGCATCGCGATATCAGTAAGCCTGTGCCATCAACCGCTGGCTGAAACTCACCTTCTCTATTGTATGGACTTCCCTGTCATTGAGACTCAATTTTCGCTTGCCCAACCCGTGCTCCGTTCCAACAAGAATGACAGCACATTGTGCAACAGCGAAGATCTGTTGTCTTGAAAGAACCGCATTAATGAATCGATACACCTGTTGTTTCAAAACGCTGGAGCGGCAAACCTACCAGCGCAAGCGATATTGTTCCATCATCCCACTCCAGTGAGCGAAGCATATGAAGACGGAAGGCAAGTCGTATCAAGACAGCAAGTATCATCATTACCATCAAGTAGATAGTGGCAATGGCTATTTCGTCGACATGGTCCGGCGCATGTTGCGTCGCAGGGTAGATTGCGCGTACGCCAATCTCTCGGAGGTGAAGAACATGATGGATGTGCGGGAGCCGTCGAAAAAGGTCCATTACTGGGGCAGGAGCGCGCACGAAGGCATGGAAAAGCAGAAGTGGGTATGGCAGTGGCGTGAACTACCGATGTGTGAACATAGGGTGTACGACGTCCTGTGCCGGTAGGTATGGAAGGCCATGTACACTGACACCATATGACTCACAAGCAGAGCTACTCTGTAAATTATCACCCAGCACCGGCTGAAAGATCCCCTATTCGAAGCATTGATCAGTTGGGCGGTATAATCCCGAGCAAAGGGCCCGCCGTCATAATAATCCATTCTTTGTGGGAGTGCACACAGGAGCTGGGACGGAGTCGAAAGATAATTCTCCGAGCGAGTAAGCTACACTATCGTCCGCTCTAGGGGAATACCCTTGTGAGATGCAATTTATAATCCCTGCTTAGCTTGAGTCTAAAGTTAGTCCGTGGTACATGACGCACCGTCGTGTAGGTAGCTGAGTGAGCATATTTCCGAAAAAATTACGGTCTCCTATCTGGGATTACCAAAGCTGAGAGATTAGACCAGTATACCGCAGGAAATAATGAGCGGCGCCTGACCTCTGCTCTGAGATGCTATTTGGCTTCTATTGGGGAAGGACGGCTAGGTAATGCCGATTATCTGGAGTGCACCGACTTTTTAGCGCGTGGGAGAGGACGAAGTTTGTAGGAGGTGGTTTCTGATAAAATCTAATACACGTGACGGTAAATGGAAGAATTATCCAAGGGAAGGAGAACTTGGACCCTTGCATTTCACATGTGACCTTAATGTTTTGTTGAATACACAATGACTGTTTGCCAGCCGAAGTCCTCATCCCCACCACGTAGTACCGCTGCGCATGGAAGGCCTCACCCGGGAGCGGAGACCATCCCAAAAGAGGTTCAGGAATAGATTATACCCAATTTAAAAGGCACTACCTTTTCGAAAGCAGCAATTAGAATAACCCAAGTATGCGGAAGGGACAATTGTCTGGACGACGGCTATGAGTGAAACAAAACACGAATGAAGGGCTTGGCGTCTCGGTCTTTCTCGGTCTTTTTCTTATTATTTAATCTCGCACTGATCCTGATTTGCGTCCCATCATTCCAATTCATGTTCCCCGGATAATGTATATGGTTTACGCGAAACCTACTGGCGTGTTTTGCGTGAGATGAGAAGGTGGCGCCAATGGAAGTGGAGCGGAAGAGCCAGCCGTTCGCCCACTCCGAAAGACATTACTATAGTTATTAGAGCGAAGCTAAGAAATAGCTAAGCAACTGAGCTTAGCATCCTGATCCTAATACTCTCAGTCGGACAGGGTTCATCCCGCGCCACGTCAGCGGGTTTGAGGGATTCCCATTACTGGCCAGTTCCGCGACGGGCGCAGCAACCGGTCCGTACCCTAAAGCGCGTGCTAAATGAACGGCGGCGCTACTTTATCAAGATTGAATTAGGCCCGCTATCAACAAGGGAAGTGGCCAATAAAAGGAACTAGAGATTTCAGGTCCTATTCCATTAATAAATAGCTATCAGTGCACTCATTTCCCCTCCTACGGCCTCCGACCGGAAATCCTTTATCCCGGCCGAACCGTCCATCCTTAGAGGATTTCCGAGATCGTATGGCGAATGCTCTCTCGGTCGGCGGCAGAAATGTGGATATTGAACACCCTTTCAAGCGCTAATACCCGCTGCTCGTCGGAGGTAAATTTCTCTAGCACCTTGGATGTCGCTTCCCGGCGCTCTTTGAGGGTGTCGTTAAACAAAGTCAGGTCTCCCACTATTTTGTCACCATCCTCGTCGAGTAACATCCTCACACAGACGACATGGAAAGTAAACCAGCTTTCCCGGCTAGTACTCATGTAGTAGTTAATGATTGTGAAATCCTCGGGGAGGAACTCCATCTCCGTAAAGCAGTAAGCGGGGATCCATTGACTGTCCCCGTTGCGGATTTCGTACTGCCACAGAGATTGGCCTCGGCTAGTGTGTTGGGCGATGGGTCCGTAGACCAGCCTCCCCGACTGTTCGCCAACATTGTGGAACTCATAATGCTGGACCAGTGGGAGGGGCTGATGTGGCCCATTGGAGCCAAATCCAACGTCTACCAGGTACTTTTGCTCATCAATGGTCACGATGTTAACCATATGATTCCTACGATAGAGCTAGTCAGCAAGCGCCTATGGCTAGATTAGACCATTAGCGATTTAGGAAACCTACCATCCATCGTACTTAGGCCCTCTCCAATTCTTCGAAGTGGACATGGGCTGCGCCGCTTCGTTGACTCGCCCCCCTACGGCGGTCACCTCGTATCCCAGGCTTCTCAAGACAGTGCCAAACAAGACACTGTTCTCCATGCAATAGCCCCCACGACGAGAGTTGGAATCAACAATCTTCTCAAAAAGTTTGTGAGGGTCGATTGAGATACTGCGATGAACAGCATAGTGGAGATTCAGGTTTTCGAAAGGCACAGCTGCTAGTTGGTATCGTTGCAGCGCCTTCAGAAAAGCCAACGCAGACTGGGCATTGAGTTCCGCTTCATCCTGCATGAGAAGAAGAGCTTCTCGATACTTGTCGGGGAGTCCTATCCGGTCGAAGTAGCGTCCCAGTTGTTCCAGGGAATATGTGGGACGCGCTGCCCAATCAATTTTGCTGCCCATTTCGGCTCACTAGAAGCTGCAAATATGGGCTGAGTGGCTCGAATAAATCTCAAGTAACAACAGATTCTTGGATTCTGATCGAATTCAAAGACGCCAAATTGAGTTCAGGAGAAGGATCGTGAGGTTTTGGGACAGTAAGCTAAATAAACACGGCTTCTTCTGGTGGTTGACTTCTTTGAGTCGTGTGTGTTGACAGCCGGGATTGCCGTCCGGTGTGTCCACACAGCAGCGCGGGGGATGGGCAGTTGAGAAGCCAAGCAGGCATTGAGAACATCTAGTTTGCTTTTTAGGGGATAGGGCGAGGCTAATGGGGAGCGTTTACCGGCTGGAGCGATAACGCCAGCGATTAGTTGCATACACTACGAACTAGTGCTGACATGACAATGGCCGATTGATCGCATCAGCGTTAGTTCTCGGTCGTGGAGTCTCAGCTTGACCTCTGCGAATCAACGACATTTTCTTCGATTCTGGGTAAGGTTATTATCTGAGCATCTCATGTATATCCCAAAGCTTGTCTGAGGCCCCTGTGGCCGCCTTCACTTCAACCCTTGTCTGACCACTAAGCATTCGCGCAAACGTCTAGGCGAGGAGCTTGCAGTAGCACAAACAAAGCTGCAGATGAGACTAAGTCTAGAGGTCTTCCATGGGCGCATCTAAGGCTTAATAAATGCAATGTCTAGAACCCCGAAACTAATATGCAGCCAACGCCGGCTCTTTCACGGACTGATAGACGGCCTAATATCCTACGGCCACTTATCATACCAGGTCCGAGGCTGGCTTCAGGGGGGTACATATGTTAATTTATTTCGGAAGGTCGAATGTGGACGATTTGATTGAGCATGGAAGACGACCTTCCTGTTCAAGCAATCCCCGTGTGAATATTTCAGGGATAGACCTTATTATCGTGCAACAAGCCACCAACCCCTGCTAGTATTTGTCGGTCGCTCGGTCTTAACAGCTTCCTTCATATTTGTTCACTAATTATTTTTATTCTTTTTCTCCTCTCTCCCCGCATAACCTTTCTTTTTTCCTTGCCTGGTTGACTTCGCTATTGAACGTCCAGTCAAGCAGCAAAATGTCTTTCAAACATGGAGAGATGGCAATCCAGGAGCTGGGCTCCCGGCAATACAAGGATCGTGATGATGAAGACATGGCAAAGTTTGGCAGGAAGCAGCGTTTCGAGGTGAGCACTCATTCTATGTCTGTGTCGCGTAACTAATAGAGGCAGAGAAATTTTGGTTTCCTGTCCATGCTGGGCTTCACAACCACGATGATGTGTACTTGGGAGGCGGTTCTCACGTGGGTATCAACATTTCCATGATCGATGTCACCGGGCTGACTAGTATACAGCGCCAATCCAGCAGCCATGGTTGACGGAGGACCAGCGACCCTCGTCTACGGGTTTATCTTTTGCTGGATTGGAGCTTTGTTAACAGCAGCCTCTCTCGCCGAAATGGCCTCGATGTACAAATCCCCCTACACCACGCTCGAAACACACAACACTAAGTCAATTGTCATACAGGGCTCCCACGTCAGCCGGTCAATACCACTGGGTATCCATACTCGCCCCTAAAGGCCAAGCTGTCTTCCTCAGCTGGGTAACCGGATGGTTGGACATGATCGGATGGTGGGCCAACACTGCATCGGGAGTGTATTTCGCCGCCACCGTCCTGCAGGGTCTTCTGGTGCTGAACTATGACGGGTATGACTTTCAACGCTGGCATGGCACACTTCTCATGTTCGCGGCGCTGGTAATCTGCCTGCTAGTCAACTCCTTTGGGGCACGGCTCCTCCCCAAGATCGAAGGTCTAATCCTCATTCTCCATACCGCCGGCTTCCTAGCCATCCTGATCCCTCTCGTCTATCTGGCCCCACATAAGAACGCCGAATTCGTCTTTGCGAATTTCACCAACACCTCGGGATGGAAGAACTCTGGTCTTACCTGGCTGATTGGGTTGATGGGGACAAATCTTCCTTTTATTGGTACGCTACACAGTCCTCGTGTTGACGCAGTGGATAGACTAACTTGGTAACTCAGGATACGATGGCCCCTGTCATATGTGTAAGCCATTTACACCCACTTCCCGGCCAAAAATAATCTATATCTAACGAAACAACAGCAGAAGAAGTAGTCAACGCCTCCGTCATAGTCCCCTGGTGCATGATCGCGACTATCATGCTAAACGGCACTCTGGGCTTCGCCATGGTCCTAGCCTTCCTCTTCTGCGTAGGCGACCTCGACGCCGCCCTCGACAGCGCCACCGGATACGACTTCATCGAAGTCTTCTTCAATGCGACAAAATCCCACGCCGGAACATCCGTAATGAGTGCCATCGTGATCGCTCTGACAATTTGCGCCTCGTTTGGATTCCTTGCCTCCTCATCGCGCCTTACCTGGGCATTAGCCAAGGACAAGGGAATTCCATTCGCTGATTTCCTGTCGCACGTACGAATACCTCGTACCCCTCCGCACAAATACCATGAATACTAACTTAGATCAAACCAGATAAGCACCAGGACCTCCGGCTCTGCCCTGCCCCTCCGCGCCATCGCTTTCTGCGCCATAATAACAGCCATCACCTGCCTCATCAACATCGGCTCCAGCGCAGCCTTCAACGCCATGATCTCTCTGACAACAGCGGGACTGTTCTCATCATACGAGATTGCCATCGTGCTGATACTCATCAAGAAGCTCAAGAACGAGCCGCTCCAATACGGCCCGTGGAAGATGGGTAGGCTGTGGGGAATCCTGATTAATATCGGGTCGATCTGTTTCTTGACCATTACTATTTTCTTCTCATTCTTTCCCGAGGAGTTGCCTGTTACGCCGACAAATATGAATTGGTCGGTTGTGGTGTTTATGGGCGAATTCCTGCTCGGGTTGGGGTGGTATTTGGTTAGGGGGAGGAAGATCTATCATGGGCCGGTCATGGATGTTCCGGTTGCTGTTGGAGAAGGGGGAGTGGTGGGCGGCGATGGCGGGGATGACGAGTAGTAGTACGCTCTTATAGGTCTCTTGTTTGATCGGTGGATGTCGGGGAGGATTATATATAATTAATTTGTGAGTGTATAGTGGTTTCATCGTGGTCTGTACGCCAGTCTGCATGTAATAGTAGCGCTCCAAACGAACAAAAGCCGAAGATGTTCTTCGTATCCAAAGGATGTCTAGGTACTTCTCGAAACCTACTAGTATTAATTGCAGTATCTAAACCGTAAAACTATATTAATGTATTATATTGTAGCACTAGGCTATGATCGTTTTTTCTTCTATTATATCCATTTTGGTATCGCCTCTTCTGCAACCGTCACCTCGACCAACTTGCTTATTCCATTATGTCCATACCGCCCCAACTCAACATCGCCCAGCATATGCCGCCTGTCCTCGACATCATCTCCCACTGCTACACGGTAGCTTCGCGAGATGGGATAATCGCCCCAGGTGTTCTGCCTTGTCCTCCTACTGTCTGCTTCCCTTCCTGAGCGGGATCGACTGCTGTTAACTAGTAGCCGTACAGAGTCCATCACCAAGGTCCGAATACATGGAATCGATGCCGTAGTGATGACCAAGTAACATTCCATCAAGGCCCAGATGGTCAGGCGGTTCGTTGCGGCAGACTGATCGTCGATGATGGAGAGGGAGGGAAGGCTTATAATTCGCATGATTGATCCTACCATGGCGCTGGATAATCGGTTAGAGTTGTGCTGGGCTCAACGACAGATATGGTACATACACTAGCCCCAGGCCCATTAGTATGATGAGAATTGTCTTCGTCCGCCGCTTGAGATTCAAACTCCACAAGGTGTATGCAGGAAATATTGCGAGATAAAGGTCGGTTGCTGTATTGATAGCTGTGATTTCCGAGATTAGCCTATCCAATGGAACATTATTCGGCATATGGACTTACTGCATTGCACGTAGCTATAAGTTATCAGGATTTTTGGATCCCAGCATTTGCTCTTGACGGTAATGTCCCATATAGCGCGAATGTCAGCGCATCGGGCCAAGATAGTCACAGGACTGACGTAATTGGCAATGAGCTGAAGCGCGAATATAAGCCACAAGATGTGTCCCATGAGATATTTGTGTCGGAATATTGGCAGCAAATATAACACGAAAGCCAGCCTTCCCGTTCCCGTACTGACAATCGAGACGCATTGAAACACCGTATAAAGTTTCGCAGTCAAGACACGGTCTGATCGATCGAGTTCGTAAGCATGTCGTCCGTATCCGTGGGAGATTGCTATAGTGATCAGGACGGAAGACGCAATAGCCAAAGCCTGCCATGGTAAGCTTAGTCGTATAATCTTCCCAAAAGGTTCCATACATAAGCAAGGATCATAATTGCATCGTCCCAAGAAAGGTTGCGAATACGATGCTTCGCAATGAGCCTCAACAGCATGATGATGGTGGCAATTCCAGCTGCTACCCAATTGAGGCCCAGAATGCCAGGGCCAGCATTGTAGGATGCAGAAGCCATGCGTAGTAGCCTAGCCTGTAGGCCTGCTGGCACACCAGGTGCAAGCTTGCATGATGTGTAAGAGAATGGCAGCGCGTGAGGCGGGGATGGTGTTCCCTTTTATTCGGTAGCGGCCTTTTCCTGCTCGTGGTTGACTGGTTCACCCGCACGAACTACCCGACAGCATGGTGCCGCACGAAGCTGGCGGGGGATGGTTTCAGGATGCGTCGATCCACCTTTAAAGTTCCTCTATTCCGAAGCACCTAGAGAACACCAAGGAAAGGGGCCATGTGTGATCGGCGAACGCATGGACTTATTTCCACCGACTAGAAATATGATTTGCGTAGGTCGGCCGTTGTCTGCGAACTAAGAGCCATTGATTGCAGTCACAAAGCAACCATAATGGTGATATTCTGCAGTCCTCTCAAATCCACTTCGTACACCCAGACTGAAGGTCATGGAGATGGATGAACCAGTGGGGCGGGGTTGCTCCCGCTGCAGTTTCATGTTTGTTTGGGATTTTTGTACTTCGAGTTAGAGTTCGCGTTAAAGATTTAGCCATCAAGAGTCCTACTTTCGGGACCCAGCACCAGCTTCTGCCTACAACCATGGGTCTGTAGCCAGCCATGGGACCATAGCGCCGGACCAAGCTCCTTTCCAGTCTAAAAATAACAAAGTATGGCGTTAAAAAGGTGAAAGGCATGTGTTCCGGATGGGCGAAGCCGACACCATGGTTTCAGCTGATCTCCAAAATAAACTTTGGGCAAGTGCCGCCCGTGCAAAATCTGGATTGACCGGCCCTCAGGGTGACCGCACAACCACAGCGGATTTACTTTGGTCACTCCAAAGTGGGAATTAATACCAGACATCACGAGAACGTATGAGCTCACTGTCCCAACAGCCTGGCGATGACTGTGGCCCAGGTAAGCTCACTGGGGGCGCAAATGCATACAGTCGTTCTCGAATCCCAGGACCCATATACATTAAAAGACTTTTTGCTGGGTTCACCGCCAAAGCTTTAGTGGTGATAACTTGTTTACCGGCCAACAATAGCTGGGGTTGGTAAGAAAAAACAATATAGGAAGAGAAAATGGATTTCAGCCTGGCCATACACTGCTGTAGGCTTATCTTACATTGCGCGTATGGCATTCATGCATGTATCTGGTCGCCCAATGGCAATTTATGGGGAAACTGGTTTAGAGTTGAGCGCAAGCTCACTGATGCACATACTCCCATTGGACTCTTTCTACAGTTCCCACATAACAACAGGGTATCAAGCAAGTTATACACAGAACATGGTCACACATCATTAAGCTGCAAATCCCGAAGACGCCTCTCCAGATTCTCGAGACCTACGATAACATCCCGATGAAACGCCTCTTGAAGCGCCGGACTCGAAAAATCACTATTGTGACCAAAGTCACAATGCAGGCATTTCCTAATGATTTCCCGAAAACCATTGCTCACGATCTGGTTGCTATGTTTAACTAACCGGTCTGCGGTGAAATATTCCACAAAGTCTCTCGTCCCCCCGTTGACCTGGTCAACGCGTTCTTCGAGAGCTGTGATGGGAACTTGATGTGCGAGCTCGATGAACATAATGCCAAGGCCGAAGAGTACTGGGTTTCGTATGAGTTGGCGGTAAACAACTGATTCCGTGTTTGTGCTGTCCATGGAGGCTGAGGCTTGGATTGACGTCGTGATGTATGGCAATGCCTGTCGAGTCTGCTGGAGGAGGGACTCGTGGTCCCCCCAAAAATGGACATCGTTGCTTCGCCATGCCTTTTGGAGCCAGGGGGTAGCGTGGTAGTAGAGGACGGCTGTGGCCAGGTGTTTTGCTAGTTGAACGCACTCGTAGGGACCCATGTCTCTGGTAGGCTTTGATGCTGAGCGGGATATTAATTGGGCGAGTGATGAAGTAGATGTGGTGCCGCTGTTTGTTTGAGTGTCGATGTAGGCCAAGTGTTTGCATGTGTCATCGTCTCTGAGCAGTCCGATGCAGCCCCCAGAGCCTCCTTGACAGAGAGACCTCTGAACGAGAGTGCAGAGATTGCGCTGGAAGAAAAGATTGGGAATTGCGATAGTGGTTTTCTCTTGATAGGGTGCTTGCACAGGCCCCGAGATGGCCTCCAATTGTTGAAATTGTACGCGTTTTATCCTCGGTGGACAAGGTCCTTCTTCGCATACTCTCGAACGCTTTTGTGAAGTAGATGTTGTTGAAAATGTCGAGAACGCTGACTGGAAGCTATCATCGCTGGGTTTGATAATTGACTCCACACTAATCCATACTGCCTTTCCCGTAGTCGTGACACTGGGGTCCTGGATTAAGGCTAAGTTGAACCGCACCTGGGTCAAAGTTCCACTGAGGTCCGGTTTGAGAGACAGATGCACATCATGGACAGAGTGGGCATGGCAAGCTGTCCTAAAGGCATCGTAGAGATTGCAAGCAGCTTGTTGAACAATGCGAAAGTGCTGAAATTCGCGGTGCTCTTTGAAAGTCCTGGTCAGTCTCGCTTCATCCGATGATCGAGGAGTTTTTTCTCGAGAAATTTCAGATCGAAGGACTCCAATAATGGAACCTAGGTCTTCCACAGCATCCTGTGAAGATAATGTACCTGATTAGAAAAAGAAATTGAGCGAGGTGTACTGTTAAACTTTTCTCACCTTGAGTGGACTTTCAGACTGGACTTTAGCCTTGGTGGTAGCAGGAAGACTTTTCGTGATGATTTTAATTTCTTCCAGCTTCCTCTCAATTTCCACTACTAGCTGTAGACAAATTTCCTTCGATGAACCAAGATGCTCGTCGACCGAGACTGAGATGTCCGTTTCCAGATATTCCAAGATATCGGTCATAATCAGGCGCTGATTTTTCAATATTCTTTTGAGATCAGTATCTCGAGGTAAAGAATTTCGAAATTCCTTCAGACAGTCGATCGCACTCTTGAAGTTCGATTTAGTTGTGGACAAAACTGCAAGGGTTAGATAAAGGCCAAAGCTCCAAGAGGGAAAAACAATGTTACCTTTCAATATATCTGTACTTGCCTCTTCATGATACCTCTGCGAATTGTTTGCCTCGTCACCATTTGTTGAGGGAGTTTGCGGTAAATTATTGAAACTGCATAGCTCGGCTACCTGTACTGGTACCTTGTGAATCTCATGTCTTTCATCGGGATGATCTACAGCTGCCCATTGTTCAAGCAGAGACTTCATACACGCTGCTGCTGCCCCAGCGGCGTACTCCTGCCAAGCCTTGTCTTTGTGGCTGTCAGCATAGTCACAGACGCTCTTCACCACAATACAAGGCAAGTTATTACAAATGCCTGCGCCCTCCATTTCGAAGGCGATAATAGTATCCCGAGCGGCGATCCTATCTCTATCCACTCCAGACTTCATGACTGTGTCTCCCGAGGCGATCCGCCCGAAGTGGATGCTAATCTGGTTCGGCGATGGACGAAACCGATGAATCAGTTTTGCTGGGTCACATCCTAGAGCCTCGCATGGGGCATCGTGAGCCTTTTTACAATGCTTGTCCTTCTTGCACTTCTTGCATCTTGATGTGTCATAATGCTTGTGTTTGTAGGTTGGTGCGAAGAGTCGATCCTGTTTAGGGCGGCAATAGCCGTTAGCCCGTCCTTGCAGGGTGCTGAGGTGGAAGTGGGTTCTTTCTTTCAGGGTTCCACGACCCCTTTGGCTTGACAACTTGTGCAAGAACGATCGAACTTCAGGATTCACAGCGGGGTCCGTGATTCCTTCTTTGCGGCGGAAACAACCGGGTAGTTTCCTACCCAGATCATGGATCACGATGTCGCTGCCAATAATGATGTCGCCAAGAAAAATGCCGTCCTTGGTCCCGTTTGGAACTCCTCCACATATCCCAAGGATGATGGCTAGTCGAATGCCCTGGAAGCTGGATCGAAAACTAGCCGCGACACTTGCTGCATTACCCTTTCCCATGCCAGGCATATACGCCAACACTACGTTGTGGTTGCCGATTACCCCCGTCCGATACGAATTCTGGTCTCCATCTGCCTTTCCGTATTGGTCTCCATTCCTGTCCCAGAAATGGTCGAAAAGGTTCTCTGCTGCGTCTGCCTCGACCTGTAGTGCACAGATGATTGCGACATCAAAATATCGTCGATGACTGGGTGGCCAAAAGCCGTCCATATTTGGCTGTCGGTTGGAAGCGCCATGCGGCAAATATTGGGCAGGAACAGGAACGACTTAAGAGGAGCGAAGACTCCTGCAGGCGCAAGTCAGCCTCATCAACCCCGCATCAGGTGACCGCGTCCATCTCAGTCTGCTTAGCAGTTAACATTCCGCCTTTCCATGTCACGTCAACCTGGACCTTTGGGCCACGTAAAGGGCTTCATGATCATCCGTTTTGGTTGATATAGTCTGTATTCCTACAAACATGGCGGAGGCGTTTCAAGACTCGACCAAGTTAGCAGAGGATTGGCTCACCTACAGGCCTGATCAGAGCACTCTTGATCCGAATTTGGGCTTCGTTGAACTATTCTATCAAACCTGCTCGGCTGCTCTGGTCCATCTCTGGAGATCGCATTTCCGATCAACTATTCGAGGGTCCCACAGAAACACATTGAAGAAGGATGTTGCCAACATTGATTTGTGGGAAGATAATTTTCCAATTGGGCACCTTGATACTATTCTGGGACGATCACAGCCCTTGAAGTTAAACGTGATCGAGAACCTGAAGGGCATCGGAAACGTCCTAAGGCCATACTTCGCGATTTATGACTCAAGCACACACGCAGGAAACGGGCGCGATGTCGCCCAAGATCTTGGTCAAGAATTGGAGACTCAGCTAGAAAAAGCTGTCATAATCTTGGACAAAGCTGCATCTGACTCGTCTTCAGATGATGATTCCTTTGACAACTCATCTGAGAGCAGCGAGAGTGAGTATAATCGTTTCGGGCGGCTTCACTGCTATGTCAACTGCTTGATGGAGCTGGTTCCAGTGATCGAGAGGAACATTTCGCGCTTGAAAAAGGAGGAGCAGTCACAGCACGTGCCACTCCGGAGCGAATTTCTGTTGTCCCAGTCTGCGCAGCCTTTTGCCCTGCGCATTCGAGATCGGTCGGATCCCTCGCTACCTAATCTTTACTCTTGTAAGCTGACAGATAAGACAGATTCAGATCTGCTTCAACTCTGCTTGTGGAGCGATTAGCAGAAGCCAACCTGGAAAGATCTATTCGCATCAGGGAAAATGAAGTCGACGACGAAGTAGTAGATGCTCTGACTCTATTCAAGCCCTATTCTCAGTTTTGTGATTCCGCCATCGGGACATCTCTCGCCCCAACATCATGCTACGCTGCAACTACAGCGTCACATACCTCATTCCTGTCAGTGACTGGAGATGAAGGGAAAGGTCGACCTCGAGTACCCCCTCTACCAGTAGTAGGTGGTACATTCCGCTGCTACTACTGTGGTGATTATGTATCTATGCCTAACAGAATTTATTGGAAGTAAGTAACTTGGTTCGAAGTGCTATCGCGAGTGGAGGCGCAGCTAACTTATCAGGATGCACGTTTATTCGGATTTGGAGTCATACCTGTGCACACATGAAGATTGCAGAGACTCCTTCAAAACGTTCCGAAGCCGCAAGTCTTGGATGGATCATGAATACATTGCGCACTTCAGTCAGTGTATATGGCGTTGCTGTACATGCAATTACACAGCCTATGCCGAGAGAGAGTTCATTGATCATTTGGTAAAAGTTCACGGCCTTGACAGCGCTGGGAGTCTTTTGAAGACAACAGTATCAAGGGCTGAGGAGAGAGTTTTGAAGCCCCAATTCAAAGATCATAAATGTGCACTGTGCTTAGAATTTGGTTGGAAGTCCCAGAAGGAGTATGCCACACATGTAGGAAGGCACTTGGAAGAAATATCTCTCGCATGTCTTCCAATCGAGGAGGAAGAGGTTAGCGACGTTGACTCAAATGCTGACAGGTGGACCAATGCGACTAAGGGAAGTGAACACGAAGCTGAGATCATCGATGAAATATCGGAAGATGATGACGCTCGAGCCGTTTTAAAGTCGGGCCCGGAGACTTTTGGAGTCAGTCATCCTTCGAAACGTACACCATCCAAGGGAAGTAAGTCTCTAAGCCTCGAGAATCTGCCTTCTATCATCAAGCAGATCCAGTTCAGGTGCAAAGAGCCCGGCTGCAAGGGGCGCTTCAAGAGGCAGGAGCACCTGAGGCGCCACATGAAGAGCCACTCCAAAGAGAAGCCTCATGTTTGCTGGGTGCCCGGCTGCCACCGTGCGTTCTCTCGCAGTGACAACCTAAACGCCCACTACACCAAAACCCACAGCAAGCGGGGAGGACGAAACCGCTACGTCGCTACCCTAGATGAGACCAGTCCGGACTACAACCCGGAATACCGTGGCCCGCTCACCCCTGACGGCCGCCCCATTTGTGGATCCAAGCTGGAGGACCCCAATCCCGATTGTGGCAACCTAAGTGTCGAGGGACAATTACCAGCGGCTGAGCCAGAAACATATGAGATACCGGACGGCAAAAATCTTTTGAATACAGCAAAACCCCCTGTATCCCCCAAGGGGGGAGCATGATTCGAATCCTATGGGTACTCATTCATACGATATACCTGACCCATTGACCCTCGCACAGGTTGTTGATAGTAACATCCTTTACTAAAGTTTACGCTCCTTCCCACGACACGGCCATCAGAATATTGGTCGGGAACATGGCACATGGCAAGTGTGTTGTCTCTGCCTATGACTCGGAAGGCCTCACCTCTTGCAGTCCGGCAGGGAGATTAACTCAGGCTGGGCTCCGAAAGCCGACCGCTTCCGAGGTGGCAGTGTTTATCGTCACCTTTACTACAGAGGAAATACATAAGATATTGGGACACATTTCTCTCCGTCGCCTCGCTAGCCAGGAGCGGTTTGTCGTTTTTGGTCTAGCGGTTAGTGTTTCGACAAAAGATATATTATGATCTAGAACATCTATAATGAAACAGACATACAGAAAGGATACTTGGTATAATACTAACTAGTTATGTGACCAAGCCTGCTGGTATCATTGTCCCATATCTTTCATTGATCCAATTCAGTAAGTTCCTGCCGCCAGCGGTTAACCTCAACTTATAGCAGACTACCACACCACCATCTGTGTTTGCAAATTTCATTGATCCCAGACGGGTAACCTCATGTGGAAAGCGGTGCTCGCGTGGAATGTAGCGCGGCAGAGTCACGCCAATCGTTGCCCTGAATCGTCCATTTGAGGTTCAGGTATGCTTGAGCATGATAAGAAGTATTTGGCATATCTGTCTTAAATGACGCCACACCTTATTATGTTGAGATCGACGAAGGACTCCTTAGTTCACGGGTTCAGGCATGATTCAACATAGGAGGGGAGAATCGCTCTATTAGCATTCCGCAGCACGCGATAATGGTTCCCACCAAGTAGCACCCAGCCGTAAGATTTCGCTTGGTGCGCTCTCTATCATGGGGACTTGGTAATAAGGTGACTAGAAGTGCGCAAAAGAACCGAACCATTTGTTCTGCATCGGCGAGCAGGATCGACCATGGCATTGGTTGTGGAATCATTGACTCCTGCCTTTCCATGCAGCCCTGCAGCCCGCTGCTGACTGAGCAGACTCATTTCCAGCATTGTTTCGGCATAATTGGCCATAAAAGGTATTCATTGGCATAACTTCCCCCCCCCCCTGCATATTTGCATCACTGAGGAAAGATAAACGAGCATGTAAGGGCCTCTTTCGAGAACACGTGCATCGTCCTATTGGCTAACCTCATCACTATATCTTTATGTCCTTTGAGACCCTATGGCTCATCACCGCGGTATGTTGAGGTCGGAGATATTTGGCTACTTTTAGTTGTTCTTCGATCGCTTATACCACATTCCGTACATTCAAAGCTCCCAGAAGGTTTAAGAAAGGAGGCACCCCGTAGCCATGTTGCATAGTGCAAAGGAACTAGGCGCTATCGACGTCAAAGGGTGCTTTAGTTCTTGGTGACCACAAGCCTCGGTCGACTTTAACATTCGCTATAAGCCTTGGGGAAGGTTTTACAACGCAAAATGCATCTCAGGCGCATATTTGTCCTGACAGTCCTCAGCTATGTCACTGCCCTTCCGAGTGACATCAATCTCGGCGTCGCCTTGCGAGGTTGTGATGTCGAGGCTTGCGATATGGAAGTAAGAATATGTCTGATTGGGCGAACAGAATGCCAGGATGGGGGAGACTAGCTAACAATTCACAGTGCAGAATGGCAGGCAGCATTGGTGGCAACTGCGGGGGCAATCCAGCACTAAATCTTCTGGGGCTTCCTTTGCTTAGCACAAACACCCCGTATGTGTCCCGGAGTGTGTTGGTGGCTTGTACTAAATATTTGACCTGGACATCGCAGTAACTGCACTTGTTCTTGGAGCAATTCATCAAGCGCAGGCCCAGTCACACTTGCTGCTACCGAGACCCTCACCGACGTCGAATCTTCCACCACTACAAAGACTACTACCGACACGGAGTCAGTCACGGCTACAGAGACTACTACCGATATAGAGTCCACCACAGCTACACAGACCGTCACGGATACGCACTTGTTGACGGTTACCAAAAGTATTACCGAAAAGCAGCCTACAACAGCAACGCAGACTGCCACTGACACAAAATTCCTCAGAACCACACAAACTATCAACAACACACTCACAGCTACTCAGACTACTACTGATATAGAGTCATTAAGAGTGACGAAGACTAAGAACAATACTATCACAGCCACGCAAACTACGACTGATATAGAGCCTACCACAGCTACACAGACCATCAACAACACGCTCACGGCCACGCAGACAACTACAGATACCGAATCTTACACAGCTATTGAGATTATCACGGCCACTGCATCTTTTACGACCACCCAGACTACCACTGATACAGAATCCATCACGGCTACCCAAAACATTACGGATACGCAAACTATTCATCACACAGAGTCCCTCACAGCTACAAAGACTATTACCGATACAGAATCTGTCACAGCCACAGCTACACCAACTACTGTGACGGACACGCAAACATCCATATCGTCAACAACTGCCACCCAAACCGCTACCCCTACTCCAGAAGTCGGGGCCTGCTTCTGCTGTACCGAGCAGGTCCGACTGCCGTACGAACTAAATGGCAACTGTGATAACATTCCAGTCTCTAGTTCGACAGACGGCTGCCCCTCGGGCGATGATCCGAAGCGGAACCACTTGCTATGTTGCGACTCGAGTGGATATTGCACCCAGCTATCCTAGACATTAATACTTTACCTTCATTCTGATCTCAAGCTACCAATGAGGACTCGATGTTTTCAAAGGCATAATCGATGTGTTTCTTTCAAGAGAGAGTGTCTAGTCTCCTTAGATAATGTGCAACAATGATCTAGACGTGCCAGGGATCTGTGCGGTGACCATGATGGGCGTGATCCTCCGGGGAGATCTTGGGAGGAACTGCAGTGGGTATGGTCGAAATGCCCACCTGCGTCTGTCTAGGCAATGTTAACTACGTTCAATGCAGAACTCTATAGTCAAAATACCCGAGGAACGTCCATTAGTTCACCACGCGGGGATTAGGGCTTCAGAAAGGAAGGCATGCTAAAAAAACAATTGCGCCGTAGTTGCGTTCTGGTGTATGTATCAACGTGTATTAGTAAAGTGGAGAGAATGGCTTAGCTGTTATTTACACAACTCCCGCATTGGAAGAGCCGCGCCAATGACGAGGCGAGATCATGGTTCCGAGGCCTGAACCCTTAACCATGTAAGCCGGACTAACGCAGCTGCCTGTCAGACCCTTTTCTCGCCATGTTGGTGCATCGGTACCCAACTGACTAGTTAACTTAGACAATGTGACTAAGCGGTATGGAGCGACTAACAGATGGTATCATCTGCTGCAAGTCTTATAGTTAGCGAGGGAACCAATGAATCGACCTCCCAATGCTCCCTTGACCAGAGCTATTCGGGTCACATCGTCTTAGTGCTTACCGTCGCAACTCAACAAACGGCGCTGTAGTGAAGATCAAGGACGATGTTAGCCACTAAGGTCATTAATGTCTCCCATACTAACGGTTGCGACGGTCAATCAACTTCTAGCTCCTTGCCCTTCTCCAGCGATAGAGCGGATGGGGGCTAAAAGGTGCCTTGTAGTGAATGGCGTCACGAGTAAGCAGGTATTATGGGCGCAATATAAATACGGAGGAAGCCAGCCGTCCTCCACATCGACGCCCCGGATCCCTTTAATTCCCTTCACAGTTGGCCCAGCCAAATTCCCATAATTTACCACATATATATTCCTCCTGCCGTGCTCATCTTTCCAAACGTTCCATAATGGCTCAGACCATCGCCGACGTAACTGCCACTGTCAAGGCTGCACTATCCAAGCTTTCGCCCACCGACGATATCCCAGATTCAGCACGGTTCGAGCTTCTCGATGTGCTGGATCAATTGCGTGCCGCCATTGAACCCCCTATCCAGACAGTGCTGAATATCTGCTGGGCAGTAAGGAGCCTAATACCCAGGTGGTCTGAAAGACAATCAAATTGGCTGACCCATTGCTCACGGGAGCTTGTTGCAGCACCATCCCCTAGTTGCAATCCGCACTGCTATTGGAATGGGAGTCTTTGATGCATTTGTCGCTTCCGGCGGCGCTGAATTGTCGCTTGAGCAGTTAAATGAAAAGACCAAAGGCGACAAGGACCTTCTTGGTAAGATGCTCTTCCTTTTAAGCAGCACAATTCACTCAACTATCTTCAATTTTCCGCTACCCATGTATTAATGATATTTTGTCCACGTTACAGCCAGAATCATGCGCCTCCTCGTCGCTAATCGCCTGTTCACTGAAACTGGTGTTGACAAATACCAACCCCAGCCTTTGGCTTTGGCGTTCGCAACAGGCGCTCCGCCTAGTGAGGTCATTAAAAATTTGTACGTGATGCAGTCCCCAATTTCGAGATTGAAAGTGAAACACTGTGTGACTGATGGAACGAACCCCCGGGTAGCCATGTTAACTTCCGTGCCTCCGCATTCACCCATGACTTCCTCGAAGCCCGAGGATACCGTAGCCCAGATGACGCCTACGACACGCCCTTCCAGCTGGCGTACGGGACCAAGCTGCACCACTTCGAGTGGCTCGCACAGGACCCAGCCGAGCAGCACGCTTTCAATACAGTTATGGAGACCAGCAATCGAGCAGTCGAGGGCGCTCAGTGGTATGACTTTTACCCATGGCAAGAGCGGTTGTCACTAGCCACCGGTGACAAGGCGCAGGAAAGTCGCGTACTCCTAGTCGACATTGGTGGCGGCAAGGGTCACGACCTGCAAGCCTTCAAGCAGAAGAAGAGCCCTGCTGGCCGCCTGGTCCTGCAGGACCTCCCCGAGGTTATTCGGGACATTAAGGGTCCACTTGCCGAGGGTGTTGAGGCTGTGAGCTACAGCATGTTCGATGTGCAGCCTGTGCGTGGCGCCAAGGCGTACTATATGCGGACGGTCCTGCATGACTGGCCGGATAAGCAGGCTCTGCAAGCCCTCCATCGGGTTCGGGAAGCAATGGCTGATGATTCGGTGCTGCTGATTAATGAGAATACCATTCCTGAAACAGGAGCACCCAAGTTCAATGCAAGCGTCGATCTTATTATGATGAACATGTTCTCTTCGCTGGAGCGCACGGATAAGCAGTGGTTGAGCCTTTTGGAGCGTGCCGGATTCAAGGTTGTCAAGGTGTGGCGGTCGGATGATCAAGGAACGGGGTCAAATGCTTTGTTTGAGGCTGTTCGCGTTTAGTGGGTGTCGATTTTAGTACAACGACTGAATGGCGGTGAGAAAGATTAAAACTAGAGAAGATTGACATGCTTTGTATAAATCCATATCAGCAATCATGTTCCCGTTTGGGACCACGAAGAGGTCTTTATAGAGATAATTTAAAACCTGCATACTAGTAGTCAGAGTCACATAGATTTATCGAGAATGGTATGACTATCCTAATTGTAAAGGGGGTCAGTCAGTGTGGGAATGGAGCCTTGTAACGCTACCGGCTATAACACACATTGACTCAAATGTCAGACAGTTAGGTCTGACAATGAACCAGTAATGCAAGCCGTTATGATTCGACCAGTCGCATATTTATTGCTAACTTAGGAAAGAGCCAAGGTTATCACACCAAAGTTAGGTCCATGATTTTAGCCTGTGGTCAGACCCACTTCTGCCCCTCGAGGCTCGGGAGGGCCAAAAATATTCTCCCACCGCACACTTTACTCAGAAGAACAAATTCTTGGAGTTCAGCCATTGTGACGGCCGTAGTGTACATCCGCGTCCACCTCTCCACACAGCACTCCTGTCATTCATTGTTTACTGACTGCTTCACTGAGTGCACAATATTGAATTATTCCTTTTTGCACCAACGCACTCACCTTCTACAAGAAAGCGAGAGGCCTTTGAAAAAAATGTATATCATGGACAACTGCCTATTGCCTCACAAGGGTCATATTCATTAAGTTTATTCCGCTTAACATTGTCCCTTTGGATAGCATCAACGCCGACAAAGCACGTAGGGGCATACTGGCACATGACGTCTTGGTCCAAATCTATCCCTCCCAGACTCTAGTTCATTATCTAAATCCACTAGACTCCATATGTACCACGTCTGTGCACATTCTTGCTCACGACATGATTTCATCGCACTCATAAATGCCATGAGTGCGGCGAGAGAAGGGCTCATCTGACAAGCTTATTTTGGCCTGCTCTGACCGAATATTGTTAACGGACATTTATGAGGAGGAGCATGACCCACAATGCGTGAGTGGGTCATTGCTTACAGTGACTTACAGGCCCCCATTGTATACATACTTTCAGTTGGAATCAGACTTGTTATTTCCAAATTATTTACACGCAAGATTGAACAAATCACCAGAGTAAACTGACCCTTGTTGTGCGCAAACCGGACATGTTGAAGGAGAGGAAGGGGGCCCGCTTCGAAGAGATGATCTGACCACTCTAGTAGGACTTACTCTCCTATGATTTGATTCGAGTGAGAGGAGGCTATGGGAAGCCCTGGCATGTCAGTCTGGTAATGGTTTAGATGCAGTTGTAACGTACTTCGTTACATATATGTATCTTTCCCTCATTGATACAGACCCCAGACATAGTTATTGTCTCCTAAAATACAAAACCTATTACTAGTAGCATACGGTTGTAAGATTGTATCCATATATTTTCAGGAATACCTTGATGGCCAAGAAACATATTATATCAGCCTCGAAGGGGATAGCCCTTAGATTAAGGACGCATCAAAATCCAAAATCCGGTATGAAACCTCGTTTTTGGCATTTGTACAACAAACCTACCAGCTGTATTATTTTAACGTCCCTCCTCATCGCTGGTATATATAACCTTGGCCCCAATTTCACTAGGAGCCAATTTGGCCAACGTCCGCTCCCTTAACCTATCACCAAACAGCATCAACATAACCACGAACCCAAAAGCAAAAATCGAAAAGAAAGCCATCATCCCATATACCCAACCGAAGCCCACCTGTGCCACCCACTGATCGATGAAGAACGGCACGACCAACCCCAGCGTAAGACGGTAAGCACCCATGAACGCACCCACCTCGGTGGGCTGCGAGGCGACACATTCGATCATGTAAGTTACAGCGATTGGGACAGAGCTCATCGAGGCGAAGGTGATGAGGTAGGCACCTAGGGCGAGGATCATGTAGTGGAGATGGTATTGCAGAGCAGATCCGACAATGCCGAGGCCGATGGGGAGAATAATGAGGGATGGGACCCAGAGGGCATGTAGCCGACACTCAGGCTTCCATACACCCTTCTCGCGCGTGCAGCAGATCCATAGAGCGATGCGGTCGTTACAGAGGTAGCCCCATAGTTCGGCTGTCAGAAGGCCGACCCAGAGGGAGAAGATGACTTCGTGGTGGTTAGCCATGAGCATAAGAAATTTGGAGGGGAGGGGCGAAGGCGTACAGAAGGCGTTCCGCTGGGGACTAAATCCCCATCCGCCGACGGAGACAGGTTTCTCCAGCCAGACAGTCAAGAGGCTGTGCGTTGCGACGAACCAGCCAAAAGATGCTAGTTGGAAGATGCCAATAAGCAGACCAACGGGCGAGAGACCAATCCGGAAGGGTAGCCAAGCGATGCGACCCTGCATTTTGAGTCAGAATTGGTTGATAGAGGTGAGGAAATTACGGCTACCAGTTCTGCGCGGGAAATTCCCATCTTATGAGGAAGCAGTGTGCCCATTCGCTTTGCCCAGAAGCTCTTAGGCATGACAACTGGTAACATCTTCCCGTCACGAGGGTAGCTGGTCTCTTCCAAGAAAAAGAATGCTAAAGTAGAATAAGACCACTGCCAAGCTGCATATTACTCTACGGGCTCTGCACTTACCAAGGATGAGAACAAGTCCCTGCGCGATCACGATCCACCAGAACACCCAGGGCCAGTTCGTATGTTGGACGATGAACCCCCCAAAGGTTGGACCCGCAACCGTGCCAAACAGGAAGGAGACATGAAAGATGGCATATGCCTTGCCACGCTCATGCAAGAAAAACATGTCATACACGGCTCCCACGCCAACGATGGAGGGGATTGATCCGAATATACCGTCAAACAGACGCGATGCAACAAAACGCTCATAGTCGCCTTTGCTTGTCATGCAAGCTGACCATATAGCACACGCCATCGCAAACACCAGGCACCAGAATATGATAGCAGTGCGACCAAATGCTTGCGCCACCGGGTTAATCAGCAATGGCCCATAGGCAATACCTGCGATCGAGGCAGAAATGGTGTAAGTAATTTCTATAAGTTCCTTATCCCAACTTTTCGCCTGGTCCTTCATAGCGAGTTGGTTCGCCAGATCTAGTGCGGTCCCTGCGAACCCTGCCATACAGAGGATAGTCAGGTTTCTCAACTTTCGACTTCTGGCCCAATTCTAGGCGGCAGTCAGTACTCAGCCGGCACAGAATGGGTGATGTATGGAAAGAAACAACATGCCAATGGGTCTTCAGGATCCTGGGATGGTTGAGGAACTAAGACAACGCCGTCTTTTGTCCGTAGCCCGTCACTTGATAGGTCCAAGGATTTAAACGCCGCATGGTCTTTGGTGTCCAAAGGAGTAGGTAAATCATCCGTAGGCTTTTCCATGGTACTGATTCCTCGAGCCGGGGCCTGTGAATAATTTTTTATTGATGACAGGGATTGCGACCGCGTACGCGCAAGAGTCTGGGAAAAGCAAAAGTTTGGACAGCACATTGACAGGGGGGTAGTGAGCTCACTATATGCTAGATCCTGTGGGAAGAACGGTTTCTTCATTGTGGGACATGCTAAGCTCTAGACCATTCTGATTGCTGGATTAGACCGGGCTTGGCCCGAATGCCTGCATCCGCCGGCCTTTCTGTCCTACAATAGCGTCTCAGAGTGACCGGGGCGTTTTATGAGGCATGTCTCATGCCCTGTTTGACTTTATTATAATCCTAGTAACATATAAGTATTTTATCTGGCCGCTTTTGACGCAGAAAAGATGTTGCGAGTTCTGTCACACCAAGCACATCATGGGGCTGACGTTGACGGGCGCGTACAACACCAGACAGCTACAGATCGTCATCATAAACAGCATTCTCGTTGTACTCTCAATTTTAGCAGTCGTTCTGAGAATCTGGGCACGCAGGCTACAGGGTCTGAGTCTGTTCATAGAAGACTATCTGAGTATTATCGCTTTGGTAAGAAACTTGGCCGTTCCTTCCGACGAAGACAGGCTGATATGCCTCAAGGCCCTAGCACTTGCGGTTAATGCACTTCTTTTCCAAAGTGATTGCTTCTCTATAGCCCCCATTTCTCGGTAAGTGACCGCTGACAGAGTAACGAAGGTCTTCATGCAGGTGTTGGGGAACATGTCGATACACTTTCAGCCGCTACTGTTCAGGAGTATTCCTTGGTATCTCCCTTATTTCCCTGAAAAAGAGACAAGTGAGGCTGGGACTGACCAGGACCGGGACAAATAGAACCTGTATGTGATGCAGCTCTTCTGGAATACCTGCCTTCCGGTTATCAAGCTCTCTATCGTCCTCTTCTACCAGCGCATCTTCCCCGTGCCTTCCATGATATTTGCGTGTCGCTCGATCATGCTGTTTTTGGCTGTGTGGTACATTGCATTTCAAACAACTGCCATTTTTCAATGTATCCCAATACATCACGAGTGGCAGAAGAAGACCACTAAAGGGCACTGCATAGACTTTGTCCCTTTTGTGACCACTTTAGCTGCGACCAATTTGTGCACCGATGTCCTTTTGCTGGTTTTGCCCACACGAGAGATTTGGAGGCTACAAATACCCTGGGCTAGGAAGATCGGTTTGTCTATCTTTACTCTTGGGGTCATGTAAGATGTCTGCAGCGCAGTTTTTCATAGGTCCAGCGAACTGACATTTTGCAACGGTAGTGTCTGTGCCATCTCGATTGTCCGCCTCGAAAACCTGATTGCAATCAGTGATTCGGATATCACTTGTACGATTTCCATTCCTTGTCAATTGTTGTGAGCCATACTAATCAAATTTGGTCTGATAGGGTCAGATACGTATTCCCACCTTTGGACTGCAATCGAGAGCAGCCTCGGAGTAGTGGTATCTTGCCTGCCCAGCCTGATGCCAATTGTACGCCTACTTAGGGACAGAAAAGTCCGGCACAGCGGAAAATCCTTTAGACGCCCACGGGATGGGTCATCATCCTACCCCAGTTACGTGCGACCGCCATACGAGCTGTCAAAGCTGTCAAATCAGGTTACCTCGGGAGCGAGCCGGACAAGACATCGGTCAGGAAGTAGTCGCTCAGACTTAATCCAGAAGCCTGTTGGGGATATTGAGATCGTCACTGAGATTAATCAACAGGTAGAGTCGGCCAGTCAGTGTGGCTTCGAGACTTAGCCTTAGCCTACATCTAGTGGCTCGACCAGCCGCGCGATCTTTTCCAGGCCTCGTCATGCGTGGCTCCAACTTTGAACACACCAATTCCTTTGCTCTGAATTCCTATGTTGGGAAGCTTCCTGTAGAGGACAAACGGCGATGGGAGATGTAATTTTTCATGTCACTTACTCCCAGTCCCCCTCCTGACGGCATAGCCGACCGTGGTTTCAGTGTGCTTACGGTCGCGAAGGATGATAGGCCGATATGCGTAGGCCGCTGATGCAGTCCCCTGCTAGGATGGCTCTTAGCGGCATCGCTATATCCTATCCCCGGTCTCGCAACGAGTCAGAGTGAGCGTCCTTGCGCGCACGCCGCGTATGTCAAAAATTTCACCCGTTGTGAGTTAGATACATACTGTAATCAGACTTGGGATATAAACTTTTCTTTGCCAACGTCTGTGGTGGCTCTCACTAGGACTTATCATCGATCATCGCAACAAGCTTTGGGGTCCCCTTGGCAGGCTTGGGGAACGGCCGCGGAACGGGGGAGCCCGACCCGGTGTGCTTAGCAGCCTCACTATAGCATCCTAGCGCAGACACTATCAAGCGACTTTTAGCTCGCGACGCTAGAGAGCAAGCATTCCGAAGCAGTTTACCCCTCCTTCTAAACCGGTTGCCGTTCTACCATGTCAGGAAACTACCCCTGCGTATGTCAATGTAGCGCACGAACAGGATCGCCTGTGAAGATCTGCCCAGCATTTGCATACAACAAGAACGCATCCAGAAATGACTGTGTCCAACAATGACAAACCTCTCCGAGTCGCCATTGTCGGTGGCGGTATCGCAGGCGTCACCCTCCTCCTAGCACTGCTAAAGCACACCTCCCGTCAGAACATCGCACCGCACCTCTATGAAGCCACACCAGAGTTCTCGGAGATTGGCGCAGGGATTGCCTTCGGTTCAAACTCCATTCGTGCCATGGAGCTCATTGACAGCGGACTAGCAGCGGCCTATAACCAACATGCGACGTTTCAGCCAGATACAGGTGCCTTAGATTAGAAGCTTTGGTCCAGTTATCGGATGGGCATGGATGGGAGAGGCCCACCATCCAACAGTCTGAAAGCAGGTGATTACCTGCACGAGGTGCATGCGCCAGTTGCAAGGAGTAGCGTTCATCGCGCTCGATTTCTCGAGGCCATGACGGCACTACTTCCACCCGAAGGGGGCTTCGTGAGCTTTGGCAAAAGACTGGTCTCGATCGAAGAGGGAGCGGATGGAGCCACAGTGCACTTCGCGGATGGAACTTCCGCCGTGGCAGATGCAGTGCTGGGATGTGATGGCATCAAATCGCGAGTGCGACAAATATTGCTTGAAGGTGAAGAGGCAGCTAACGCTGTTTTTACGGGTAAATATGCCTATCGAGGCCTGATCCCGATGGATGAAGCAGTTGCCGCTCTGGGCGAGTACACAGCACGCAATAATCACTTCCACTGGGGATACGGCGGCCATCTCCTAACGTTTCCGATCGAGCACGGCCGGACAATGAACGTCGTGGCCTTCCGAACAAAGGACAATGGGGTCTGGGAGCACGGGTCCCAGTGGGTGCTGCCAGGGAATAAAAAACAGATGTTGCGGGACTTTGAAGGCTGGGGACCAGATGTCAGAGCCATCCTCTCCCTGATGAGGAATGCAGATATATGGGCCATGTTCGAACATGCGCCCGCCAGTACCTATCACCGGGGTGGCCGCATCTGCCTCGTTGGAGATGCAGCTCATGCGAGCACGCCGCATCAGGGTGCTGGAGCGGGTATGGCAGTGGAGGATGTCTTTGTCTTGTCACGTCTCCTGGGAGCGGTCCGCGAGAAGAATGACTTGGACCGAGCGTTCGTAGCATATGATGCCGTACGACGGCCCCGGACCCAGGAATTGGTACGCACTAGTCGAGATGCTGGCATGCTTTATGAGTGCCAGAAGGAGGGAGTGTGGGATGATGTTGACAAGATTCGCGAGAATCTAGATATGCGCATGCGCTGGATCTGGGACCTGGATGTGGAGCAGCATCTGCAAGATGCGTTGGACATTTTTCATGCTAGTTCTAGATCGAGTGAATAGATTCCTTAGTGTAACCGCTCCCTCTCTTTGCCTAGTCTGGGTAGGATGAATGGAAACTACAAAACCCGTTAGCTCTCATGCGATGTTAAGGTTTATTACAAGGTTTCTTTCCAGGATCATGCATATACCTATTTACGCCACAGTGCTCTATCCTAGAGAGCATTTATGAATAAGACACCGTGGCCATATCAGCAGCTCCCCTCATGTCATCATTCAACACAATATGATATTCCAGCCACGTGGATGCTACTACCTGCCCGTCAGTCTAACAGCAATCATGTCTCACATTAGGGTCCAATAAGGGCCCATCCAGGGTCCCATGAAGGGCTAAAGTAGATACGCCCCACCATAGAAAGATCCAATGACGTACCGTGTTCTATTGGGGATTTGCGCTTCTGCCTAGGCTAAGTAGTTTGGATCCATCAATCGATTAGGAACTATATGGCCCTGATCCTGGTACAGGATGACATATATAATCCCCGTCGTCCTGTTGTTTCCGATGGCATTCTCTCTTCCCAAACTTATTGTTCGTGGCACGATGACATATGCTCCATCCCCGCACTTTTGGGTAACCCTCTTTCGCACACTGCTCAATACTTTTATCCATTCCGCTGGGGGCGATCCACTACTTGCACAAGCTCATGCGATCTGGCAAAATGAACCTGCACGTACCGATAATTTATTCCTGCTAGTGCCTATTGCTTTCGGGATCATTCTGGACTTTCTAGTATGTGAGGAAACTAATGGCAGTCCGTGAGCATCGCAGACTGATAGGTTTCAGATTCGGTATATTCTTGGGCATGTCTTAATGTCTATATTGATACTCGAGAGCTTGGATAGGCAAGCTACCAGCTATGATTCTGAACTCAGGCACAAAAGACCTGGTCCATCCAGCCGTCACCTAACTCAAACCATCGCCACTCTCTACCACAAGGGCAATCTCCATCTCCTCCTGAATGGCATTGGCCCTGCCTGTAGCTACTGGATGAAGCATTTGTGCGCGAGAAGTATGTTGAAGACAGCATTATTCCTTCCTAGCCCGGTCGCATATATCTTAGCCTCGGTCCTGCTCGCTGAAAATCGATTCTTGTGGACCGCGCGAACTATACTTCCGCGCGACCAGCAGCCCTTTGTGCCGACCTCCAGCGATCGCCAACGATGGAAAGCTTTGGTGCCAGCCACCGCACTGCATGCGGTCGTTGAATCGCTCATGATGCATTTGCCTGCCCTGTTTGACGGCGACCTCGCCCTGCCCACTGAAACAGAGATCACGAAATCGTATTTGTCGGGTATTGTGGGATCCGACATCTTAGTGTCTGGAGTCATGCTCGCTGCACAGTTGCTGCTCCTGTTTCCTTCGTTTATAGCGTTGATTCTCAATCAGGCCAGTCTGTTGCCGTCTGCTTGTGAGACATTGGTCTCTGCGCCGGTGAACCAAGGACGGCAGCAGCAGCATCATCGTGGTAGACGGTTAGGGGAGATTTTCTCGGTGTTCAAGACAGGCCCGCTTCAGGTTCAGGACGCGGTGAGTATCATTGGAGCGAGACATGTACTGTGGTGTTTGGAACTGCATGGAAAGATGTGCTTGTGTCTCGTTGGGGTTTCCACCGTGGTGCATTTGGCGGTTTATATTATGAGGTAACGCCGTAAGCCTGACAGAGCAGCAGAGACGGTGGTTCGCCTCAAGAGTCTTCTTTCGTCGATATCTGTTTGACACGAGCGACTTTTGTCTGGAATCCGGTTCATATGCGACTACCTGTCCTTTCCGCTGTGATTTCTCGTGCATTGGAGATAGACCCCTGCTGCACTACTCCTTGTCAGTCTGGCTGTATATAAGGGTACTTTGTGGCAAAATTCTGATAGCCAGGTACCATCCGATATGAACCCCTGAGAATCCTCCGTATCATGTCCACGACCACACGAGATATGCCCAGAAATGCTGCACAGAGAAGAAATATCTCAATCAAAATGCCCCGCAACATGATGCGCAACAGCAACTTCATCGCCCTCAAACACCTCACAAACCGGACACCGAATGACCCCTGCATCCCCACTACCTGCTCCATCCACCCCAGCAACCACCTCACCCGCCTCACCTGCATCCTGTACTCCCTCACCAGCATCCCTCCCTCTCCCCTTCTTCCCTCTCTGCCTTCCCCCATACCCAGGAGTAACATACGCATCCAACCCCACACTCTCCGCCGGTACCTCCCCTTCATCCCCCACACCACCCCGGTAGCCTCTCCCTCCACCCCTCCTACCACCTCTCCTTCCACCTCTACCTTCTCCCCAACTTCCCTGCTCCAGTTCCCCTAGGTCAACAGAACCCACACCGTCAGTACCAACCAAATTGTCGTTAGAGTTAGTATTAGTATTCATAGCCTGCACTCTCCCCACTCTCCCATCCGTCAAACGGACTTTAATTCCCCTCGGATGATTACCCCGCGTCAATACCTCGCCCACGATGCCGCTGACTGTGCGGCCCGTGGGTTGGTCTTTTTTCAGGACAATGTGGACGCCTGCACCGGGGCGAACTTGCTGGGTTGTGGGGGGCATTCTCCTTTCACTATATGGGAAGAAGTTATGGGTGTCGATGAGTGTTGATGGGTGACTTTGTGATGATAAGATTGCGGTAAAAAGAGTGGAGGTGGATGCTGTGGGTAAGCACGTGATTTGTAGACTGTGATTGGTTAATTGAAGTACGATTTATTTTTGAGGTAATGAATAGATTAGAATGAAGTGCCATAGTGGTGGAAATGGTTCAAACGACCTATCTCCGGTGTGTCTGTTGCATGTGTGTGAGTTGTATCACGTTTGTTGTTGGTGACACTACTTCGAGTACAAGAATGCCCTCGAACACCTTCTGTTGCGTACTACGCTATGGGAGAGCTAGTACTATCGCCTCAAGTGGATTTGCCTAGCCAGCTTACAGACCAGAGGGATCTCATCTCACTACAGTTCCAGGAGATTGTATTTCTAAATCACTGTACCACTACATCTACCACGGCCCCTCTCCCCTCCTCCAGCACAACCCTAACCCCTTCCCTCAACGCCTCGTCCAAATCTTTTACACTCCTCACTCTCGTCGCCCATAAATTCCCATTCGCCGCTGCCTTCGCAATCCCCCCATAATCCGGTCCATCCTCCACCAACGAAATGCCCAGATCTTTACTCGACAACCTCGCCGCCTCACCACCAGGATGCACGTCCACCAAGCACTGCCGAGTCGCATTCCATCCACCGTTGTTCAAAATCACAGTCAGGAATGGACACCCATACCTATGGCTAGCCCAGTATACTGCTGAAGGAACGGAGAAGATAAAACTGCCGTCACCGGTGATGTTACAGATGAAAGGTGAGTTGGTGTCCGCTTTGACGCGCACATCTGGACGATCCGAAGTATCGTACCGCGTCGTGGCCAGTTTCACGCCGATAGAGGCGCCTCCAGCCCAGCCGAGACCGCTGCCTCCTTTGGTTAGGTGGGAACCTGGGCGGGTCAATTGCAACTGCTCGGTCATGGCGACTTGGTTGGTGACGGAGTCGGTGACGAAGATGGTGTCGTCTGGCACAAGCTCGCGGATGCGGCTGCAGAGGAAGTCCACGCTGCAGGGTGCATCTGGGGTCTCGAGGAGTTTAGTTGCTCGGGCGTGGATGCGAGCGCGACCTTCGGCGTGGGCTGTGCGCAGGGCCTCGTGTCGATCAGTCCAGTTGGTCTGGAGATCGGCGAGACGGGCCGAAGAGGTAATGTGTGCGTTGATCTGCGTTAGTGCTAGCCCCGTATCGGCGTGAAAGGTGGCTGCTGCGCCAATGTCGAACATGTTCATGCGCTCTTTGCGCGGGTCGAGGTCGATGTGGTAGATGACTGCGTCAGGGGAGGGATGGATCCGGCGGGGAATCCAGGGGACGTCGGCGTCGAGGACGAGGATCACGTCTGCAGATTGGACAGCCGGTGCGGCACCAGTTCCTCGCGTTACGCAAGCTGGATGGGTAGCTGGGAAGCATACTTCGCGAAGCTCGGAATCGAATACCCGCAGGCCGTGAATAGTGTCGGCTAGCTTGATCAGCTCCTGGACAGCGCTGTGGTTTCTGCCCAGATACCCGGTCACTATTAGGGGGGACTTTGCATTGAGCAGTGCGCTTCCGATGAGTTCCACTGCTTGTGGGGATAGAGAGCCCAGCTGACAGGAGGGGATAGGCTTGAGGCGGGCCTGTGGGCTCGGCAGCGGTGTGGCGAGGATCTCTCGAGTGGCCGTAAGATATACTGGGCCAGGGGAGCCAGTGGTAGCCATTAGGACGGCGCGATGCACTAGACTGCCAACGTTATGCGGCGACTTGATCTCCGCGCTGAAGCGACTGTAGGGTGCTACGAGGGCGGCTTGGTCGCGGATGTCCTGGTACCATTGGACGTGCTCGGAGCGCGAGCCCGGGGCTTCGCCCAGCAGGGTGGATGGAGCAACACCTGCGAAGATCACGACTGGGGCGCGTCCGCTAGATGCATTGTGCAGGCCTTGACCGAGCGCTGCAGTCCCCACGTCCACGTGGGCGATCACACAGGCCGGCTTGTGGCTCATTCGAGCGTATCCATCGGCGGCGGACATGGCCACGAACTGGGGGATCAGTATGACAGCTGCTTATCAAGATAGGGGCTAACGTACTTCGTGCTGGAACAGTACCATCTTGGGATACTGTCTGGCTGGGTCATTTTGGCGGCGGACATAGGCTTCAATAATGCTGGGATGATCCGACCCAAGAACGGTGAAGAGGTAGTCGACGCCAGCCTGTCGGTGTCAGACCAGATCTCAGAGACAGTAAAGGGCAATCTACCTCGGCCAGGGCCTCTAGAAAGGCATCCGCCACAGTATGGGGAGCAGTCTCGATTGTGGTGTCCTGTGACATTTTGGGCTCAGAAGTGCTGGTATTCAGGATCTGCAAATGCCCAGTTAGCCCCTCTTTATGCTGCCACATGATGGATTAATGCATGTCCACCCATGTCAACAAGGAGGGGTCATGTATTGGTATTACACGAGGATAAATACGCATCCTGACAAATATCTCCACTGACTAGGATTGTCCTGGTCTCTTGGCGCTGGCCATTGACCCGTCGATATAAGCCTTCAGGGCTAGTGGACGCTAGGGATGGCCGAGGGGCAGGCTAAGTCCCCACTAACGGAGGACCGGAAAACCTCCGGACAACCTCCGGACCACAAGATGGACTGTGGCTGCAGCTCAGCCGGTGCCAAGAGCGAGGGTCAGCATTAGATGAAGCTAATAAGAGTGAAACCAATGGTCTGGGTGATGAACAAGACAATGACAACCAAGTACGCTTTGTGTGTATAAGGACTCGGACGTGTCAATACCAGCACCTGGCAATCCACGAGTCTCATGGATATGCCGCTTCACTGTGCATGGAAATGCCCGTCTTCACGATAATCTGGTTCTTCGCAATAGGCCCCTGGCTTCCAATGCTCTCTGTATCATCTCCATCTCCGCCAATATCAGCATCAACATCCCGCGTGCCATTCCCCGACCGCGACCCCAATCGACTCATCCGATAGCTCGGCCTCGTCCGACTCCGACTCTTCCTGGATCCATTCGACAATGACCCAAATAGACCAGGCAAGACCTTCTGAATGGGGTGTTTTAGGAACGGCAAGCAAGCACAGATGATTCCCGTGCTGGCCTCAATGGCACTCCACAACAACGCATCAAACGACCCCCAAGTCTGATCCGTAGTGGTCGTACTTTTCTCCATCGCCCACATGCGAATGATACTCGTCACACAGACAAACAACCCCATACAGAACACCAGTATGACTCCGATTTTCCTGATCCGATCAAGCTGTAGCTGCGCCAACACCGGCAGTGGCATCAGACACACCCAAATGTCCATTGCCGTATTATAGCCCGCCCAGGACCAACGAAATGGGGCATTCTGAACACACTTCTTGGGTATGTGCTTATACCAGCTGGCGCGAACGGGGAGGCATTGGAAAATGGTGGCTATGACGAAGCCGAAGGTGCTAGCGAGGACGAGAGCGATGGTAATCCAACAGATTATGCGGAAGATGCGGTTGGGAAAGACCCGGAGGTAGAAGGTGAGAAAGGAAAGTTTGTTGAGGCATAGGACAAGTTTGTAGAAGATCTGGAAGAGCCAGAAATACTAGCCGCAAGTTAGCTAAGAGTGATTGATTGAGTGAACACATCTCGCACCTTCAGAGCAAGGACGACGTTACCGCCCGTTCTGACGATATCGGCTTTGTGTCGGCCAAAGGCGTAGTGGCAGGCTGGATAGAGTTTAGTATTGATGGCGTCTACATTATGGAAAATCATACCTAAATCACCCATAACAGTGTTGACGATTTGCATACCCTGGCTGTGGGTGAGTAAACGTTTAGTATTGGGGCTCAGGATAGCCTACCATTGAGAATGCAATGATCCCATCGTCTACGGCGAATCGGCCTTGAACATAGCCCTTCCATGTCAGGCGACAGACCACCAGGACGAACGCAATGCATGTCAAAACGGCGGTTACTTTGACGAATTCGGGGCCTCTATTCGGAACATCCAGCGGACTAACCGCCATGGCGACGCCCCCGTGTCCTCTCTAATAGCAGATAATAGCTGGTAGAAAAGATAAAAAATGAAAGATAAAACGAGTGACAACTAGCAGCGAACGTAGGTGGATATTAAGGAATGAAAGCGCCAGCCTACGACACGGAGTCAATAGGGTTGCGAATAACGACAGACTGCATTAGAAAGTGGCTGGTACATAGGAAACTCGGCATTGGGCTCGAAGACTTATTAACAGTTTAATCAAAACATTATAGTGGTACAGGGATCTTTGATTCATGTGCCAAGCTCTTCCATCTGTCTGGGTGATCCAACACTATGCACAGTATACAGCTCCTGGCGTTATACTGTGGCCACTGGAAGGGTTCGAAAAATTTCATAGGTACCACCGAGTACCCTGGACCACAAACCGCGTTCATTTGTCCTATTAGTGCTGAATTCTGCGGTCTTGAAGGATCTGGTTATTCCCATAGAAGCATTCCCACCGATCCATCGTTCTACTCGGCCGGGTATTCGGATGCTCTATGGTTCGTAAGCACGTACAAAACCTTACCTCTGGCATTTCCCAGTGACATAGTATGTGTGTAATTCACGTACACCTAGTTAAACTTGCGTAATAGCTTTGAAAGTGATGATAAAGCCACGGTGGGCCATAAGTGAGACCAGCTCATCGTAGCGCATCTTTAGGGCCGGAACGGCCCCGATACGAGAATCCACGAGCGGAACAGTAGCCACTCGACGCTCTGAAAGAAAGACACAATATAGTATGTCAGGCCACGCTAGATCATGATCCCTGTCTGAATAGTGTACGATGACTGAGTTATTTGCTCAACTGATTGTTGGTTTTCGGTTAATCTAGGTGCTTAGTACATGCTCTGCCGGTCGCGGGTTCGAAGTGTAAAACCGGAGAATTCGCCCGCCGCACAGATCCCTGTCCAGGGACTTGAGGTTGTACAAATTATGAGAAGGTACCAGAGTACCAACGGTAAGTAGACTAAGCGGAATGCTTCAAGAAAAGGGCTCCTTGGAGTGTTGGGGGATGCGCTAGCTACGGGTGTCCATTACCGTAGACTGGAGCTGTAAGAACTAACACATATTGACTTGGGCGACTCTTCTGTGCTCCGGCGCGGAAGGAATTGAAATACACGCAATCACGCCAGTTCAGCTGAAGTTACGCATCACAAGACTAGATCCCAGGGTGTATTTCGCTACGATAACATTGGCCACATGATGTTGAGACCTAGCCTTTATAGTAGTACAAGGCAGTACCTTGCTGACCATGCCAAGGTGGAGCCAATCAATTAAGCTGGGTCCGTCTAAGCCAGATCGTGTTAACCTATAGAGATTAAGCCTATAGCTGAAACCGGAAATCCGGATGCGCATCCCCGAGGTCATCTTCCTCCGGCGCCATCTCTGGCGTTCCCTCCTTGGCGGGCTGGCTGTCCCTGCGGCGATTCTCCGCTTGCAAGGCGAAAAAGTAAACCGTGCACGCCAGCCCGGCCACCACCGCAAAGGCCAGCCCAACACCAAATCCTGTCGGGTACTTCGGCGATTCACTGCTGATGAAAACATTGCCAGACACAAAGGCGCCGCAGTTGCCGAACGCAGGAAGCAGACCCATTCCAACACTACGCTTCACGCCTTTGCCTAGGTTGACGCATAACCACACCACGATCGTAGACATCATGATGAACGCTCCCGATGCCACAAAAAAGATGCCCATATAGCGAACGCCGGCTGAATGTACCTGCGAGAGCTCGACGCTCCACCCGATAATGGTCAAAATTGAGCCAACCACGGTGAACAAATACCGGTGTCGCAGATGGTCACTCAGCCAGGCGCAGGAGAGGGTTAGGACAAAGGCAACGGCATAGACAGGAATGGTGTGTTCCTGAGCGGAGCGGCTAGTCCATCCAAGATCCTTCAGGATGGTCGGCTGAAAGTTCACGAGAGAGCTGGCGCTCTCTTCGGCCCCGAGGTAGGCCAATACGCTATTAAGAGTCCAGTTAGCAAAAAGCGGAATCCCAGAAAAACAGATACCTACCATATCCATATCTTCCAGTCAGCGGTCATGCTGATCACGCGTTTAAATGAGATAGGGTCATCGCGAACGCTTCCTCCGTCAGCCTTCAGCCGCGCAAGGAGCAGTGTCTTCTCTTCGGCTGTCAGGAATGTGGCGTCTTCGGGGAACGGAACCACAATCCAGTAGCAGATGAGGCTAACACCCATGGTAATGATGGACTCGATCAAGAAGAGCCTAGGTTGTAAGAAACGTGGACCAACTTTGTACCTGGACAAACTTACCAACGCCATCCCTTATATCCGTCCAGGTTCAATGGTGTTAAAAGACTCGAGAAGAGCTATGAGCGCGTCAGTAATTGTCGCGATACATCTGGGAGGCCGTTACTGACCCCATTGAAAGCTCCTGCGGCCATGTTGGCACTGAAGAAGATGGCATATCGTCGAAGAAACTCATCGCGCTTGTAGTAACTTCCAATCAAGTATGCGCAGCCTAATCACTCCTGTATCAGCGACCGTCCTCCAAGCGTTCAACTCGAGTTTTGCACCAACCTGGGACAAACCCAGCCTCACACATTCCCATGAAGAAGCGGCAAGCGATTAGTCCACTCGCGGTCTTGACGAGACCCTGGCCCATCACGAAAAGTCCTGCCATAAGCACCGCATTAGCAGACACAATAATTAGCAATTGCTGGTCGTCTTACCCCATGTAAACATATACAGCACCAGCATCTTAGGCCCAAACTTCTTAACCAGTAAGTTGGCCGGCATGCCAAAAATCACGTATGCGACAGTAAACATTGTGACAGCCAGATTGTAGTCATTGCCGACGAGGTGCAGTTCCTTGCTCATGCCTGCAATTTTCGCATTTCTACCATCGTCATCGTTAGCACTCCTGGCTTAAAATTTGGTCGCACAAGAGGGGTCCTCACCCGATATTCGATCGGTCCATGAAGGACACCAGAAACAGAAACCATAAAGCAGGGATGACTCTCCAGTCCAGCTTTCGCAGGAGCTTTTTCTCCAGAGCCGGGTCTATGTTATCGCCAGACGAGGCTTCCAGTACCCGCGGCTCAATTTCAGACTTCTCCATCTCCATGGTTGTCTCGTTCCTTGTGTAGTCGAAGGGGAAGGATGCAAAGGAAGAGTCTCGGCCTCCACACTGCGGGACACCCCTGTTTTTGTAAAGGACGCAGCAGGGATAATTCTCGGAAAATCCGAGCGGGAAAGGAAGAAAAAGAAATTAATCTGCCGGCAAAACTGCAATAAAATAAAGCCAGTCCTGATGAAAATGCATCCCTGGCTGGGAGTAGGGTAAAGATTGGCCCATTGGTCGGTACAGCTAACGGCGTGATGTGGTACGGTATTGTTGCTGTTCAGCTGGTAAAAGTGGCTCCGCTTAGCGCGCCCCACGCCAATATACTAAGTGCAAGATAGCAGTTTTGGATGCGCGGAATAAACCCTAATTTAGTTTAGCAATTACCAAGGCTCTAGAGGGGGGGAGACTACTGGTGGACAAGGTTAGTAATATGTCACTCCCCTGATTAGGAAGGTGACCGGAGCCTTTTCCACCGCGAACCTACCTATGACCATCGACCTTCCTGCATGATGAATTTCAGCAGGGACGCCTTAATGCATCTCCTTCCAGGATCATGGACAGTTGGCAGGATGGGTGGGTGGCCTTACAGCAGATATGTGCACGGCACTGCATTTAGAAGACAATGATGGACCCGTTCATCTTGCCAAGATCTCGATAGTAATCAGTAGGCTGTGTTCAGAAATAAATTTTATCTGGTCACTGTTGTTAAGTAATAATCAGCTGCATGATGTGGGTGTCATCTCCACGTGCTGCAGGGCATTTCAAATTTTAACCGCCTAGTGTACCTTAGAGCAGCACGATCGGGTGAGACTGAATACATGTATCTCTAACACGTGGTGCATGTATTAGGCTCACTGAAGAAAGTGGATACTGTTCTATGCAACGGAAACATTTAGTATACTGCTTTTAGCACGGTCTTCCGAAGTTTGAGCAACCATTTTCCCACTCCTCATCCTTCTCATCGCTGTCTTCTTTCTTCTGTTATTTCTTCCTTGTTCTTCAGCCTGAAACGAAACAAGTGTGTCACAATGAAGAACAGAGAACAGCTGTTCCGTTATTCTGATCCTACCTTCAGGTGTAGTTTAGTCTTCCACCCTCTCAGCGCCGAAACTCATAACAGTAAATTCATACGAGAAGAGTGTCTCCACTGCAGGATCTATGCACCAAGATGCATAGGCATAGATAGAAGATTAGTCTCAGTGAATCGAAGATTCCCATAGATTAGTAGACCCAACACGCCAAACGACAGAAATGAGGTACGGCTTAGTGAGTGAATGCATCCCTCACTAAGCTGTACTACAGCAGATTGCCCAGATGAGTCAAATAGCATGATCTGGGAGGCAAAGCCATAGAGCCATAGGAGCTCCACTGGAGAGTGATATCGCAGTCTATTTTATTTCACCAGATACTGTTGTCATTAACTCTAGTCAAGATACATCGATCAGTAGCAACTCAGCATGACCCATGAAAAAAGTCATGACCTAACAGTATTATCTGCAGCTCACGACGTAGACATTGAAGACACTAGTCTAAAACAAATTGCACGCCGGCGACAAACCTTAGTTCATAAGAGCTTAATCACCAAGTCTATATCATGACGTTAGTGTCTTCGGCGCCTGGGATAACTCGCCGAGCTCCATGCTCGGCGAAGAATTGCGATAGCCCGCGCAGCAGTCACCACCCATCTGGCGCGTCCGATCATCCCCAAACGTAACTCCAAACTTCGTCGAAACCAAGATTGAACCACCTACAACACCATGGCCGCCAAGTTCGCTGTCAAATCTCTAGACCACCTGGTCTTGACAGTCCGGTCCATTCCGGCATCCGTCGCATTCTATACGAATCACCTGGGAATGAAACATGAAGTCTTTACTTCACCCAGCAACCCGGATATTCAGCGGTAAGGCTGAGATCTATAGACCTTTCATTCTTCAGCCACCCTGATCAATCTCATTCTTCAGACACGCTCTTCGATTCGGATCCCAGAAAATCAACCTACACCAGAGCGGGAAGGAATTCGAGCCCAAGGCTGAAAACGTCATGCCAGGAAGCGCAGACCTGTGCTTCCTGACGGATACGAAAGTGGAGAATGTTCTTAAAGCTTTCGAGGAAGCTAAGATCGATGTTCTCGAAGGTAACAAAGTCGTGGAACGCACGGGTGCGGTGGGGAAGATCCGGAGTGTTTATGTGCGCGATCCGGACGGCAACTTGATTGAGTACGTATCCAATAATTGGGTTATCATCTCCTGAATCTCTATTAATGATGACAGGATATCGAACTACTCTTGAGACAGAGAAGTCTTATATCCTCCAGCAGTGGGATCAAATCTTGATCCCTGCTGATAGCGGGGTAATTCATCCACATGCATATGATTAGTCATGTAATGTACAGCCACAAATTGTGCATACATATGAAATTTGTTGACAATTTCCTTTCTTTGTTCCTCTTCAATGTAGTTTTTACATCAAACTCTTACTGTAACTAGCGGGATTATGAACATCGCTTAAAATGCCATTCTAATAGGCTAAGTCAGGTACACACATGGCTTCGTAACAAATTTTCAGTCCGTTCGATCTCAGTCCAGCCCATCATTTCTTAGGGGCCTCCACAAAGTTGGGGAAGCAGTCCTGCAGGGTCTTGTTGTGCTTGTTGGCAGCATGCTCAGTCAAGGCCGGCGCACGAGTAGTCTTGAGGAAAGTCGTCCTGCAAGTCTGGCAGATGATGTCCTTTGCAGCTTCGTTCTGTAGTCCCTGCGTAAGCATGATCGCCGCAGATTTCCCCTCCACTCCACTTATACACTTCTGTCTACACAAGTTGCGACACCACCCTACAAAAGCTACCCCTTTCTTCAAGTTTCAAAACGATCAATCAAAACACAGACAGAGGATACATACGGTCTTCAACTGCGACTTGCCACCAGCCTTGGTGTCCTTGGCGTTGCGCTCGCGCTTGGAGGCGGCTTTGGCTCCCTGTGGATAAGTCCATGTTAAGTCTGATAAGGCGCAATCAAGTCGCTGGTCACTTCACAGCAGGAGGAAGGACTTCGCGTGGAGTCAGCAACAGCAAGAGGCTTACGTTTCCCATGATGAATGTGGTGGTTAGTGGATAGGATGATCGAGATCGGTGTTTATGATGTGGGGGAAGATTGTCAAGGAGGGGAAATTTTCAGATTTATATCTGCGTCCCTTTTTTTGCCTCAGTTTTTTTTGGGCGGCCGCTTTGACACGCTAAGCCCGGCCGGGTCTGGACCGTGAGTGGTCTCTTTGCCGTTCTTTGATTGGCTAGTGCCTGGCACGTGTTTTGATGGGTTTGCATGTTATGCCTCAGGCCACAATCATGAGCCGTGGATTGCGACAAGCCATCCCAATGAAGTCACTTTACTTGCACATGCCAATTTCCATCGGCATTGTAATTCTGGTCAAGGGGTCCTTTAATATTACTAGCCTTCTATATTTATCTGCAGTCTCTTCGACTATTCATAACGAACGTCCAGGTCCTCATAGTCACCACCAGGGAATATATATATGGTCGGAGATAACACCACATAGCTATGAGATGACAGTCGCAACAGTTTCAGCCCAAAATCATTGGTAGCAATTTACAGAACAACCGACGATGTCTGATCATGGTTCTGTCAAGCTCGATGCCAAAAACCTCGAGCTTTTCCCCAACTAGCTTCCCCGTGGTGATTATGGAGAATCACAGACCCGTCAAGTGACCACTTGCTGCACGTGGAAGCGCCGCTATTCCTTCCCGTCTCCCGTTCCTTATCACCCCATACAATCACTTTCCCGCGTCATCTGTCTTACTGACGAAAGACACTTGCGACATAACATCGTTCAAGGTATTGAAAAGCATTCGGATTAGACACTAATAAGGTGTTGCCCAAGCGTCATACTTGATCTCGCGCGATTTCAACCCGCGCGAATCTCTTTTCTGTACAAGAAATCTCTCCGTTCAGTGAGCACACCTATCGACAGTCTGACAGTCTCATCAATCCAACTGCATTAATTGGAGTTCACAAAGATAGCAAACTCTAATGAATTCGTTAAACTCTAATATCTCACCCAAGCTCACTTGGCGGGTATAGCGCCATTCTAGTCATGATAAACGCTCAATGCACCGGCCAATCTGCGGTGGGGAGAGGCCAGCGGCGCCCGGGCCATCTCCGCATCCCGAGCCTTTACCTATCCATGATAACCCTCCATCAGCAGAGATAAAATACCCGCATCCTGACGCTGACGGGAGGGGAAAATATATTAATCTTACTCTTCGTCGCTTATAATTAGTACTGCTGTCGTCTGAACACCCCAACCCGCTCCCTGGTACTGTCACCATGATGTTGCCATCAAGAGATGATATCGCCAAATTCATCTCCATCGCCCCAGAGGCTACTGAAGGGAAGGCCCTTATCTTCTTGCAGGTATGTACAACAAGCAGCTAACTAACTTGGCCATGCGATTGACCTCGAACCCAAAGGAGGCGAGCTCTTTAGATGAGGCAATCAATCAGTTTTACGAGAATCCCAACAGATACCCCAATAACGCGGTTGCTGGAAGGCCCGATCCGAGGGTCCAAAGCGATGTTACTGACGCGCAAGCACTACCCCCGTCATATGATTCGCACATCAGCTCCGTGCACAGAGCTGAACATGCTCCCCACAAGAATATTGTCACTGAGGCTGGGGATGTTCGAGCTCGGGATGAGGTACGCCTCGAACGTCAGAACATGTGCGATCCATCTAACATCCCCGGCTACTTAGCAAGAGATGCAAAACATGCTTTTGGACATTCAAATAAAATGCCAAATCTACAATACCGACATTGAGCCGGAACACGAATCCAGTGAATACATGGCCTGTACTTGCGAAGTCCATCAATACAGGCGGAGGAAAGCTGGACGCGTCGATGTGCAGGAGATGTGGTCCAAAGCAGTGATGTATCCCGGTTTGTCCCGTCACTCTCCGGCTTAGACGTACTACAACCACTAATGTTTCGGATATCGTGCCGAGTAGGAGAGAAGGCTTATCACGATTGCTACCAGACGTCTGTTTTCTCTAATAATCCGTATATCCGGATCCCCTCAGCATATGGTATTGCCTACTCAGCCCTGCAACGTCCAGATGCAACACGATACACCAACTCCGTCCAGCAGACCATTTCCCTGAATGTGGCACTGAACAAGAAGGCGCAGGCCACAATTGATGCCATGGAGCCACAATGCGATATCTGGGCATTAGATGAACCGAACAATGCCTCCGCTACCTCACGCCCCTTAGAAGACAGAACTGCTCCCACAGCAAGCAGCATAGGACCATTGAAATCGTCCAAGTTCTCGAACTTTAGGAGGGCTCTGTCTATCTCGTCATTGCAAAAATCAGGTTCCAAAACAGAGGATATGTTTACTCGCGCCCGGGAGCTCCGACGGGCGATTCTGGAGGAGGAAAATGGTCGCTGGCCAGACTTAGAGTGGCGAAAGATCGTAGTCGCCTATCAAGAAAAGGTGGGCATGAAGCGGGAAGTTGCCGAACTACGAGCCAAACGCCCGATCCAGTACCTGCACCTGCTTCGAGCAGGATATTTTGAACCAATCCCAATAGCTTGGGCAACTCGTGCTTCGAACCCCTTGAAATTCCGCATCGACGGACTTTCTGGGTGGAGAGGCATTACTCCGGCTTGGAGAGGGTATGAGAATACGGCCGAGGAGCGTCTATATTGGGTCCTCAACCATAGAGAGGGAAGCACGGGCCCTCGCATGAAGCCCGACGTTATATCAGCCTTGGAAATGGCTCGTGCGCGAATGGCCAGTGCCGTTGAGCCACCCCCGGCATACTACTCCATGGATGATACCTTCCGCCTTCAGCGTTTGCCAGAAAGTTACTCTTTGCAGGTGATGCCGCCTCCCTTTATACCATTTGACCAGCCCGAAACGGCTACCGATAATACTATGATCCTACTGGATGTTTCAGGCTCGATGGACTTTGACCCTCTTCGACCACTTTACACTCAATACCTAGTAACAGGGTTCGCTCGTTCTAATCAACCTAAAAACAAGGGTAAGTCAATTTGAGCTTACACCATTCAAAGGTGTCTGACCCGGTATCATAGATGTTGCCAAAGCAATTATCCGCCGTTTCACAGATGCAATGTCTATCCATGACCAGAATCTTCATGGCTACCAGCTCGTTACTTTTGCTAACAAGGCGGATTATATCGGCTTTATCAACCACTCGAACTTCAATGATATGTGGAGAAATGTCAAGTTAGGGGGAGGGACCCGCGTTATGACAGGATGGCAGAAAATCAAGGATTTGCATTTCCAGAGACATTCTGAATCCGCTACCTACCACCCTGTTTATGGCTGGCAAGCAGGTCCGCAAACACCAATGCTGAGGTTGCTGCTTCTGCTTGACGGTGAAGCCACAGACATGGACGAGTTTGAACTTGATCTGCTAGGTCTCTCTTGGGTTCATGTCACCATTTTTCTGATTGGCGTGGATGGGTGTCCGCACCACCACCGGCATGCTAACGAGCTGCAAAGGATCAGCGAAGTGAATCCACATGTGTCATTTGTGGATGCGCAGGGTAATGCGCCAGAGCGGTATGTCACACATGAGCTACTGAAGCGGCATCTGGGGTATGATGTGCCAATGGCCGAGTTTGAGCGACTGGAACAGTGGCCGGGAAATGCAGAACCACCAGTATATGAAGCGTAACTTGGCATCATCATCGTCATCTCTAGTCAGAATGAATAATTCCATGCAAATTAAATAAGCAGCGCTCTCTATAGCTAAGTACATGCAATAACAGTCTATGATGCATGAATACAGGGGAATCCAAACAATGTCTCGCTCAATAGAATCATGCTCGTAACCCGCTCCACCAAAAAGTAAACGTGAGCCACCCAACTCCACAGTAGAACCCTCTATCGCCACTCAGGGTGCTGATGACCCTGCTGCTGCTGCTGCTCGGACCGCCGTACCGGCGCGTGCCCCTCGTAGTGGACCGGAGGATGCTGATATTGCGGACCGGGGTTGGCATAATGGGGTCCATTGTTCGCATACTGAGGGGCACCCTGAGGAGGGTACATCTGTGGGTTGTTATATCCGTACTCGTGGTGTGGGACTTGTTGGAGGGGAGCTTGTTGGTGAGGAGGGAATTGTTGTGGGTAGGGAGGTTGCTGGTGGTGATGGCAGCAGGAGCATTGATGACCCTGGTTGTCTTGCTTGGATTGCTTCTTCTCTTGAAAGTCATTGGCAGCCCTAGGAATGGAGTATTAGTATAAAGATCTGACGATCCAAAATGATGCACGATTGGGATTATAATACATACTTGGATCCTGCGCGGAGGAGGCCGTAGGCACCGGCGAGTTGGATACCGGTTTTGATGAGACCCATGGTGATTGATTGATTGTGTTGTAGATGGAAGAGTAATGGAATGAAATATAATGAAGACTTTTGATCTCAGAGAGATGCCTTTGAATGCAATTGAAGGCTTGCTGTTGATTTTCTAGGGAAAAACTTCCACTCTTTATCTCCCAAACACCCGCCAATCCCTGCCCGAAGCGGTATACTAACACTAACCCTACAAGTTGAAGGATCCGAATCCGCCCCCAAACTGCGGCTCTTTAGTGGAAACAGTGGACACTTCACAGCCTGACACAGCCCAGTTCACTAGAAATTAAGCTACGATAAGTCAAGCTTTGATACCCCTAAGGTCTCAAGTCCTGCAAACACCTCTATCCCAGCTACCCGAATCCGAAATTGAACCTGCACCGCACCTCTAACCAAGTCAAACTAGCCATGCCCCCACGACTCAACCACCGCAAATCCACCCGCGGATGTCGGCGGTGCAAAGCTAGGAAAGTCAAGGTAATCAATCTCCCCCCTTTACTACCCCACCGAAAGGATCAATTTCCCATATCCGGTATCTAACCGAAGTGCTAAGCTAATGTGGACCTCTCAAACGAAAAAAACAGTGCAGCGAAACCCGCCCTAAATGCCAGCACTGCGATCGTCACAACCTCCCCTGTGAATATGCGCCTCTCGAACCGCGCATGTACACATACCGAGATGATTCCAGCAATAGAAGCACAAGCACTGCCAGCACCACCACAGCCCTCCTGTCCTCACCCACATCCACATCCACATCTCTATCCATCCCCAGCACGTCACTATACACCAACAACCTCCAACCCCCCCACCTGACTCCCCTAAACACTACCTCCCTCCGCCTCCTTCACCTGTACATCACCTCCACCTCGCACACAATGGGCACAGCGCAGATCCCTTCCGTGCGTGAAATGTGGGAACTCTCCGTCCCCGAAATGGCCTTTGAGTACCAGCCCCTCCTGTCCACCCTGCTCGCTGTGGCTGCGGCGCATCGCGCACGGCTTGTCCCCTCTGAAGCGGAGGAGTTGAGGCGTGTACAAGGGGGGTTTATTGCTCAGGCGGTTGGGGGACATAGGGCTGAGACAGCCAAGTTGGCGGTGTCTTCGTCGTCTGGGGCCGGGGGTAGAGCTGGTGGGGTGACGGAGACGTTGTGTATGAATGCTATTTTAATCTCGCTGTATACGCTTGCGTGCAGGATGGATGGAGGTGGGGTGGGTGAGTACGAGCCTCCGAATCTGTGGTTGAATATGGCGAGGGGAGTGCGGACCGTTGTGTCGATGGTATACTTTAGGCTTGTGGAGGAGAGGGCCCGGATTGCGCCGTTGTTGGTTGCCAAGCCGGTTGTGCATCGGAAGGATGTGGAGGTGCAGGATGGGGGGCCGAAGGGGAGTAGTGGTGTAGAAGGGGCGTTGAGGTTCTTGGTAGATATGTTTCCCGGTAGTGAGGAGGGTGGAGAGGAGGTGATGGGGATTTATGCGCAGTGTGTTGGGTATCTGGAGGGGTTGTTGATGGCGGTTAGGATGGGGGAGTCGGAGTATGATATTCGGAAGAGGTTCTCGTCGTTTCCGAGTATGGTTCCGGGGGAGTTCTTGGGATTGGTGAGTGAACGGAGACCGAGGGCCTTGGTAATTCTGGCGTATTTGTTTGCGTTGGTTAAGGGTGCGGAGGGGGTGTGGTGGTTGAGGGGCATTCCGGAGATGGAGGTCCGTGGGATTGATTCTATCTTGCCTGAGGAGTGGAGGGGGGTTATGGAGTGGCCGGTGGGGGTGGTTATGGGAGTGGTGGATGTTAATGAATCGGTGTTATGATTATGATTATGCAATGATGAAACATTATATTCAGGTAGTCTATAGTTATACATTAAGGATCATAAGCTCGTAATACTGGTAATTAGACAGGCACTTGCGACTGGTTCATCGGCTGGATATATTCAACCCGACTGCGCACCAGGTTTCTGGTGACGATACCAACTCCCACGTAGATGAGCATGACGAGGTACTCGGGGATGGTACCGAAGATGACGCGCACGGCTAGACTGCCACCTTCAAGATTGGAGCTGGTGAATGCAGTGACGATGGCATAGACGATGCGAACACCAATCAAAGGCATAGCGACAGTGATAGCAAAAAGAAGCTGTGTCTGTTAGTGATCTGATCTTTATGAAAGATGAGAAGATACTAACCTGTCTCTCTTCTCCCAGTCGACGGCTGTGGGCATTAGCCCCATAAGAGAACCAAATCAGAACAGCCACCAACGTCCATCCCGTCGCAAAGACAATCATTCCCACGCGAAGGAGTGTCTCGTCCCCACTGCTAGCCGCAGCAAGGCCAATTCCACCTGCGACAACCATGTGTGTGATGAGGAACCCCCAGAGGTTCAAGAAAGGAGGGAGGAATCGATGGATGGAGTGGTTTCTATGAGGCGGTTAGCTGTGAAGTAAAGACATAAACTGAATACATACGCTTCATGCAGAAGGCCCATGGCAGCCATAAGAAGAGGAGATAGCCCGATGCCGTTGAGGATCGCGGCCGTCGTGTTGACTTCGTCGTGGTGAATAGCGTTGAGGGACATTGCGCTGCCGGCTATACGCAGACCACACATGGCGAGAACGTAAGCCCAGCTGAGTAGGCCATGTTTGCCGTGCACGACAAGGCAGTAGATCGCTGGAAGAGAGAATAGAGCATAGACGGCCAGGTTGGCTACGTCAAGGTGTTCAGTTGCGGACATTGCGTCTGATCTGATGTGGTGTTGGAGTAAATGAATATAAAACGATGGAGTGTATAGTTAAATCGATTGTAAGAGAGATAGGGATAGAACTGGGTTTCCATCAATTTAGCAAGAGATCCCATCGCCCTTTATAACTACAATATTCCTGCTAGGACATCTTGTGCGACATAGCCCTATGTCGATTAAGCAGCGAAACCGAAACCGAGGAGGCGCGGCAGGACAGCCACGTTTTAGTGGCTCCAGTGATCCTCACTGCTGGGGCCAAAGCGGTATCCACCACGCTAGTTCGTCGACGGTATGCTTGAGAATGAGCAATTTCTTCTTTTTGTTGACGTTGGGTTGACCAACTGGTTGATCATCCAAGCGATGGACAGGCTGCGCAGTGTTTTACTGCTGGACTTTCCGGTAACAAGTCCTCGTTGACTGAAAATAGCAACATTGTTCAGAGACTGCCATTGATGAAGGAGCGAAGTGCGCACAGCAACCTAATGGTGAAGTGGACCCAATCCGCATGGATAAGCTTTTGCAAAAGAAGGTCAATGTTGCCGTTGATGTTGATGTTGTTTCACGGTCGCAATCCTACCAGAGTTTATGCCTTAATGCCTTAATCCTTCATGCCTTTTTGCCTTAAAATATGTTGATGCCTTGTAGCCATGTAGCCTTATGGCCTTGTCGCCTGAGCTCCCCGCACGTGGCGGGCCCAGCCGCAGGTTCCTTTGCGGCTTCGTTCTTCCCCGCACATTCTGGTCTTCCACCGGCAAACATAATCACTTTCTCTCCACTACCCCGGATCCTGTTTATCACAGCCCAGAAATCTCCATCCGTTGCTTTCCCCCTCGCTCGTGACGTATTCTGCAGCCCTTAGTCCACTTGCTACATGCAGAAAGCCTCCAGGAGGTCGACTCCCCGGTCGCGAATATCCAAGGCTTGCGACCGTTGTCGTCGACAGAAGCTCAAGGTAGACTCCGACATTGGGAATAAGCTGGGATTAACCAACCGTGCACTATACTAATTGATTTCAGTGTGACTCAGTTCGTCCATGTGTCCTATGCACCCGTGCTGGCCACATATGCGAGACAACTACAGTATCACGTCGTCGTGTTTCCGAATACCAAACACCGGCCACTCCAGCGGCTTCCGCCGGATCTGAGACGCCGCAGGTCTTACCGCGCAGAGCGTCCGAGGACCACCAACAATATGCAACGGGCACTTCAGCGATTGGTTTTGCCAGACAAGTTTATAATGAAGAGGAGACAGGCCGGACCTTGACTGAAGCTGCTGTGCCGGGTGATGTTGGCATGGCGGGTACTGATAATTCCCTCTGGGGCCTCAAGGAGACATCCATGCCACCAAGGACTGTGATGCTAGCATTGATCAATGCCTACTTTGACCGAATGCAGTGGTTTATCTTGGTACTCCACGAGCCGTCATTCAGAGAAATGGCCCAGCCAATTATCTCTCAACATCAATGGCAACGCCAGGATCTTGGTGCAGTCATGACTGTGCTTGCCGTCGCTGTCATCAGCTTACAATCTGTCCTGCCAGACGCAGATTGGCCTGGTCATATCCTCCTGGCTAGGCATTCGATCGACGCCCAGGATTTGCTGAACAAATTTTTGACCGAGATTCGTTCCCGTGTGCTTGACATCTTGGAGGACCGCCGTATCGAAGGAGTCCAAGTCTGTCTCTTACTCTGTTGCTATTACATGTTCCACAGCTCCCCTAACATGGCGTGGACCACGTGTGGTATGGCTTTCAGAGCTGCATATGCCCTGAACCTTCAAGAAACCAGTACATTGTCACAACCTTCTGTCGCTAATGAGACACGCTCTCGTTGTTGGAACCAGATCATCATCTCGGATACATTCTGTTCCATTCTCTATGGACGTCCCGCTTCTCTGCCTTCTGCCAATGTTCGTCACCTACAGCTCGTCGACGACCTGGCCATTGATCACTCGTTGTTAAACGATCTCTCGGTGGACAATAGCGACGGACTAACGTCGCGCGCCCCATTTCACGTCTTGAAGACAGATGTGTATGCGATTGCTCGCGAAATTCTTATCCGATTCCGTCGGCTTGACCTGACATCTGGAATAGAAGAACAGGACTTGGAAGCTATCATTCGTATTACCGAAGAGTCCAACGCACTTCTCACTGACTGGTGGAAGTCCGTCCCGAAACTGTATGACTTCGATTACTGGAAAGCAGACGGTCGCTGGGAAATGATTGAAGGCCAGCTGCAAAGACTTCCATCCGAAGCAAGGCAACAGGTGGAGACAATATATCTACAGGCTGCTGTTCTCCAGTTGACGTATGACGGCATGGTCATCCAAGCAAATAGACCACTGTTGGAGCGAAGAATCAACAGGCTAACATCTTCGCGGGCGATCATGGATGCGATGCATAGGGCGCTTGACCGAGCCACGGCTGCTGCTCTCCGTATATCCCGTGTCCCAGTTCAAAAGTTGAAAAACCATTTTGCTATAGCAGTCGTATCGATGCAAGAGTTCACTGCTGGTGTGATCCTCTGCATACCTCCAACGGTGAAGCCTTTAACAAGCACCGCTCATGAGGCGAAGGACGGGGTGGTAAGAATAATACGCGCCAGTCGAAGTCTCAAGAGCCACGATCGAATAGCAAGGCAAACTGAACAACTTCTGACAGAGCTACTCAAAGTCACCACCCAACGCGAGATAACGCACGCCTTGGCCGATAATCTCGACACCAATTCCCCCTCCGATACGCGGCTAACAGGCTCCGCTGTTGCCGGCGCCTCGAATGACCCCTTGGGTGCAGGACGCTCCAGGCTGGTTCCCGGATCCGCAGCGCAGGCAGTTGTAGATCCTGTTCAAGGAGCCTGGGACTCAGAATTCAATGCCCTCCCTGCCGTAACGGGACCTTATGATTTCCTCCCTGCTCAAGCCTTTCAACAGCTGGACGATACATTTGGTGCCTTCGGAGAATGTAATGTCCCTTGATCACCCCAGACTCACACCCAAATTTTGACTGACCTCGTGCATAGCCATGTTTAACTTGGTCCCTGATGATCAAAACAGTACATGGAACTGGGGCCGAACATTTCCCTAGCCAAAGGAGCATCAGGGAGTCAACGTGATCAGTGCAGCCTTGTAGCTCGCTGAAACTGCCCTGGAGCCAAGCCAAACACTAGAGAGCAAGGTGCACGGGCGAGCTTCGCGACAGTTTTAGTTGTTATTTAGTATGCCAAGAGTAAGCCACGCAGGATGGCTTATGGCCACACTAGCAACAATGGCCACGGGGATGCGGAAAGCCGCCGGATATTTGGGGTCCCGGCATCCATGGGTGGGCGTGATTGTTCCGGTGGCTATCTTTCCGGTGGAGATAACGGCGGTGACCATCAAAACTCCTCAGCCCGGATGGCTCGGACTCCGCATCGTCAAGTATCGGTTTCATGACAGCCATTCGACTACTTATCCAACTTACCCCGACCTTTGATAATAATTTTCAGCAGATCTATCGATCTCAGAGATAATAATGCCACTGTTCTGTGTGGAAAGCACTGCGCCGTGGCTTAACAATAATAAAACTCCAAATTGCCCAAAAGCTAGAGCGAAGGAAAGTCGAGAAGCCCAGTCTAGACTGGCAGGCTGATCGTCCGGTTCACAACCTGATTGACAAATCATCTGTGACCCTTGATGTTCCGCGGCGTTGAGCCGGTGAGAATGTGGATCCTAGTGGGGAAGACCCAATTGCCGCCGGAAGAGGTGAGCTTGTGCTGCACATGTCCGGTGGCTCAATTTAGGGCCATGCCAGGACATTGCTCTTCAAAGGGATGCGATTGCTATCCCCTATTTACTTCTTTAACCCGCTGACGGGCCTGTCTGGACCGAGATTTCTTGGTCAAGTTTCAGTGGAGCGATCCAGGAAAGAACATCCGACATGGACAGTTTCCCTCGATCTCAGGTCTGTAGTCGTGTGACACAGCGGCCTCTACTGGCTTGCCTTGCATGTCGGAGCTCAAAGGTGCGATGTGAATTAACACGAGGAGCGACTGTCTGTCGCAGATGCAACACGAGAAATTTGAAGTGTGTCTACACAAAATCACGAAGGTATCCCGTCTATCTTTCCGTGCGTATTATTAGCCGAGAGTCACGCAATGCTCTTTGTATACAATGAAATAATGTTGGAGCTAGAGAATGATTTCTGATAGTTATATGTTACAGGGCACTCAGGAGGTCGTCAACTAGTCCGAACACGGCGTCCTCTCCTGACACTAATGCCTCATCTTCGCCATGCTCGGACTCTAGTGGGACCCATGCTGGCATTTCCATTCCCCACTCAGATAGTCCCGCCAGTGTGGACGAGTGTGGGAACAACGGGCTTTTCGACGGGGGTAGGTAATATGTCATGCTTACCTGCGACACTTACTCACCTTTCTTCTAGAATCTCTAACCCAATTATTGGTCTCTGGAAGCAAAGCCATATCAGGCCAACCACATATCGCCATTAAGCCACATGTTCTGTCTACCTATCCCCTTGACAACCTCCTCTCAGACATTGAGGGACTCCTCGAGCAGCCAGTCTCTCATTTGGCTCAAAGCAAAGAAGATCTAACAAAACCGGACCGGATGTTTCGAACTCGCCTTCCAGCGGTCTCAGGTGAGGACAATGAGTATCTGCTAAGGAAAGGAGCTCTGCTGCTCTTGCCACCAGCCTTGCGCAACGAACTATTGGCGGCATATGTCAACTACGTCCATCCGCTATTACCGATTCTTGATCTTGGAGACTTTCTCTCACAAGTCATTGTTGGAGATGATGCTCTATTCAAGTCACCACTATTATACCAAGCTGTCATGTTCGCGGGCAGTATTTTTGCTCAGCGAGACGGCACAGACGAACCTGAACAGCTAACGGGGGCTTTATTTGAACGTACAAAAGTCAGTAATGGTTACAATTAGACATATCTTAGTTATACTGATCGATTTCCAGGTTCTATACGAGTTTGAATCCGAACCATGTGCCTACACTCAAATTCAAGCTCTCTTATTGATGACTCTCTGGCATGGAGATATGTCACGCCACAAAGGCCCGTCTTACTGGCTTGACGTCGCTTTCTCCACTGCGGAAAGAATTGGCCTACTCCATGATGAAGACTGGCCATGCGATAGCCGTTCCTTCCGATCCGCTATGTGGTGTTGCCTTTACGTACGTGATCGAACAATCTCGCTTGGGTCTCGTCGGCCTCCACGGATGCCAGTCAATAAATATCCGGACTCAATTCTCCATCTTATGAGCGACGCACCTCGGGAATATGACGAAATAATTCTTGAGAGTCTAGGTAGCGCTTCTCTGATGCTTACAAGCACTTACCAAGAACAATCGACCATGCTCTTCAAGGAACTTGTCAAACTCTCCTACTGCGTTGGGGCAATCCTAGATTATCTATACGAAGGAGCCTGGGTCCGAATACCAACACGTCGCAGCAGCTTTTATTCACTCGCCCCTAAATGCAGCATCTCGCCATCCATCAGACCAAGCTGTGAGAAACTACTTTACTCTTGGATTCAATTCCTCCCTCTCAACGCAGTCTACCATCCGCCACAGTTGCCCGCCGATGCGGAAGGGGAGTCAGCCGAAACAGTCTTCCTTGTCCACAAAGCCTTCCTTTACTTGCTGTACCTAGCCTCCATGGCAGTCATATACCGCACAGGAACTCATAGCCAACAAACCAGCACGGCAACTCCGAACATGGAAGGTCTACGGGCATCGACGTCACAAATAAAAAAGGTCCTTGCGGAGCTGCAGGGTCTGGGACTGCTTCAGTTCCTTCCAGGGGCATCAGTCACTATACTGATGTTCGCTGTGGAGGCTAGTCTGTTGGATCTCCAGGGCTCGGATACCATGGTCCGAAGGCAGGCTATGTCAAATCTATATGCCTGTGAGGAGGCTGCGTTACACTTGATGCAGGCTTATCCTACGGCTGAGATGGCGGTATTGAAGACTAGGACAGCCCGTGCAAACCTTCTTGGGTTGGTTGAGACATGAAGAGCAATCATAGACGCAGAGCTTTCATCGAAGCGATGATCGTGCCTTTGCTTAATGAGTGAATGGATTATGAGCCTTTAGCAATCTTTAGTTTTAATGCAGCTACATAATAGAGCATAAACAGAGGTCCAGAAATATATAATTTGGCTAGGAACCCGGTTGCAAGCAGGCAAGTCACGAGGTGCAGAACATACCATCAAGTTTATAGATTATTGTAGGGGATATTCTCAACAATATCTTACTTCCACCATTACGTACTGAAGATCGAGGTTATCGGGGACCATGCTGTCGTGTTAATAGGTACGACTCGTTAAGTCCGCGGAGATAAGTCACGTGCACCGAGCTTATCCTCAAGCGGGGTGATCCTGCTCCCATCGCCATGGACTTAACCAACTTCATACTATTCCACCCCTTGAATACAGTCACTATGGGATCAAATGGTGGGACAAAGCCCACTGGGATCGCCAAAGGATCGAATCAATCGAGACGGCGCCATCGGATCCCCTTGTCATGTGATCCCTGCCGCGCTAGGAAGTGTGTAGATCCACCACCATTGACAATATATCCCCACAAGTTAGCTGCTAACGGACCAGGCTGAGATGCAATCGCGAGAGACCATGTCAAAACTGTACTGCTCGCAATGAACAGCCATCCTGCAGATTCAGAGGCCCTAGCAATGGGTCCGCCTCTATAGCCCGTCGGGATGGTGGGGATGAAATGATGAATCGGATCGATCAGTTGGAGAATTTGGTCAAGAGACTCATTGCTGAGCGGCAGGATGGATCTAGGAACGCGCATAATACGCCAGAGAGCTCTACACTCGACGATAATAAGGCTGTGCAAGGTGCGCATTTGAATGCTTCGGAGGTCGCATGTGCTGGGACGACGATGATTGATGGCACTCGCTCGGTGTATCGAGGAGGTGATGAGTGGTATGACGTTTTGGAAGAGGTAAAAACCACGATCTTCTTTTTGTCTTTGCTACGAAATATTTTGCTTTCCCACGCTTGCCCAGTTGGAGTTTGCTCTTTGCTACACCGTGTCTCCCTTCTATCATGTTGGCGAACAGCTGCCTCTTTTTTGACGTCACGTGGACTTCCTTGACGAAATCAAGGGCACCTTCGGCTAATAGTCCATAGATAAATGCACTCAAGCAGACGTGGGCCGAAAATCATGATGAAACAGCCGACGAGGTCGTTCAGTCTCCTCCCTCACACATTGCCGACGGCTCGAGCTTGCTTTTTGGTCAGGTCAAGCCATTGGAGCGAATAGAGATAATTTCAACATTACCGCCAAAGCATCAAGTCGATAAGCTCGTAGCTAAATTCTTTGACACAGAGAATTTTAGGATAGCTGTGCCTCGTGAGTGTCCTCGTCCAGTGATTGTCAAACAAGTTAACTTACCAATGTGAAGCAATCCTACACAAGCCGACCTTCATGCGCGAGGTATCAATCTCTTTACTGCCAGATCAATTACCTTACTAACCTCTTGTCAGTATAATGAGCATTGGAAAGACCCATCCCGCACAAATTTCATATGGCTAGGCCTCCTCTTCTCAATCCTCGGCCTCACAATGCTCTCTTTTCACCAATTCGGGGAACCGCCAGAGTACGAAGGCGTCTCGGAGTCTCTCTTTCAACTTTACCGCATCCGTACAGCACAGTGCTTACTTAACGGCGACATTGCCAAATGCTTTCCTTATACCATTGAAACCCTGCGGTTCAATGCGACAGCCGAGCTCAACAGAAAGGACGATAACCGTCGCGGTTTATGGATAATGACAGGAGTTATTGTTCGAGCTGCAATAAACATGGGCTATCATCGTGACCCTTCCCACTCGCCGTCTATCTCACCATTTCATGCAGAATATCGACGTCGTGTCTGGCTATCAGTGCTTATCATGGACGATATGGCTTCATTTCTTGGTGGCTTTCCTCGAATGGGCTCGGCAGTATTCTCGGACACAATGGAGCCACGAAACATACACGACTGGGAGTTGTCGGAACATAGTACGTCTCTCCCGCCATCCAGGCCCATGGAAGAGCCTACAGCAACAACCTACCTAATAGCAAAGACACGCCTCTTCCGTGCGATCGGACGCATCGCAGATTTTAACAATACTCCAAACTTTGTTTCCTATGACACTGTAAGAGAAATCGACCAGGCTCTCTATAACAGTTATGACAGCTTTCCTTCACACCTGAAGGTCCACAAGGAGGGAAGCACCATTCCAGTCAAGACTGCAGCAGATGTTTCTAGATTTAGTCTCTGCTCCATGTATCACAGGGCTATGTGCGCTCTTCATCGGAAATTCATGGCTAAAGGGCGACTCAATGGCCGATTCAAACTATCCCACGATCGGTGCCTATCCTCCGCGCTGACCATACTGGACTACCAAGTGGCACTAGAACCGTCATGGTATAAGTCCTCATTAACCAGACAAGTGTTGACTCTAGCTGCTATGATTCTGTTGCTGGACCTGGAACTCGCGCGACGGTTCAACAATACAGATACATCTAGTAGCATCGATGTACTGCAGATACTCGAAAGGTCTTGCGATCTCTGGAGACGCGCGAAGGACTCATATGAAGAGGCTGGGAGGGTGCATGAGATTCTTGCGCCGATGATTTCAAGCTTCCGGCCCGTAACTGCAACTACTTCCGCTCAGACTGAAGTCCGGACAGCCTTTGACCTTCAAAGATTCAGTCCCTCATTTACCTCCTTCGATGGCGTCGAGCACTCGCTTGAAAAGGAAATGTCAGATATGGATATTGATTGGGTTCGTATCTCCTATTACTAGACTTGTTTCATACTGACCAGAACAGACAACGTGGGATGCCTTCATCCAGGATACCGAGTTGCAGGACGGGCCTATATATTAATTCTTCGCTTACAGTAATCTAATTTCAAAGGATGTTATCTACTCAGAAGTCGATTTCGTACATTGCCAACCAATAACTGATAAATCGACCAAGCATCTAGATATCACAGAGATTCACAAAGAGATTCCTGTCTGCCAGCATGTTGCATTGAACACCACGCCTTCTTCTGGTGACGATCTCGCTCAGTGTCATAGTATTGCAGGGGTCAATATGGCGGCACAACGCCCAATTATGACGTGCCACCGTAGCTCAACTGGTCATTGGCTGCACGCCTAGCGTGTAATATAATGTGAGACATAAGGCTGCGCTATCGACACACCACAAAAAACACTTCGTGTGGAGCTCGGTCCCCTCGTGGCCTCACGTGCATCAGTCTTCCTTATCAGCATATCGCCAGTCCCAGCTCCCTGCACATTGTGTATCGGAATTTGTCCTGATAGCAACTTATAAAGTCTCCTTATATGGGCCAGTGGCCTAAAATCCGCAATATCGAGATCTCATTTGGTGGTATATTCCCAATAATAATGGCTTCCACTCAAGCCATCAACAGTGAATGGGGGTCAATCGTTCTATCGTTAGCTTTTCTCCTTGCGTTGGCTCGCAGAGTCCGCGCCATTTGCAACTCACGAAAGAGTATAGCATCTGCTCCTAGAGGGTACACGCACATAGTAAGTATCTTTAACAGCTCAAAGTTGCAATTGTCTAAGTTTTGTATCGCAGATATTTGCAGCGGCGCTTTGCGTAGTTCAATTGACGTTTCGCTTTTCTGGGTCGTACGCGGACTTGTATAATCACTTAGCTGCATTGGACAAATTTCTCTCGACTGTTATAGTATCAGGGCTGCTTGCTATATCGATCCTTGAACATGGTCGAGGAGTTCAATCATCGCACCTGGTACCGGCATACCTTGCTGTTGCACTAGCACAGGATATGCATGGGACATGGAACATGGCATGTCGAACGGTGTTTGAATGCAGCGGAAAGAAGCTAAGATTATGCTTGGAAACACTATGGCTAGTCTCCTGTATCTGTACTTGGGGATGGGAAGGATACCTAAATTTACAGATGCCAGCTTCAGAGGATGCCGCTGGGCTCTTTAGCTTTGTTCCTTTCTTTTGGATGAGTCCGGTTCTGAAGGAAGGCTATATATCGACGCTTAATACTGCAGGGTTGCCTGGGATTCATCACATGCTGTCATCAAGAACTCTCCGCACGAGAGCCATCAAAGCGTGGACTTCAAGAAGTGAGAGCATTAATCTACATTTTACTATCGTGCTAATATTTATCAGCCGGGTCTCACAAACGGAGCCTTCCTCTCACTTTGGCTCGCTGTCTCAAATCTGCTTTTCTGTTTCCTATTATTCCTCGCCTCTTCGTCATTGTATTCCGTTACGCTCAACCATTGATCATGGATGCTGTTATCCGTTTCGTCAAGGATACAACTACCGACAGCAATAGTGGCCTTTGGCTTATTATCTTTGCTGGGATCATTTACCTAGGAATGACGATCTCTGCAGCAATTTATCAACGCTGCATTGATCGGCTGCGCATTATGGTTAGAGGAGCCTTGGTTGGCTTGATACACGATCAAGCGATGAAACTTCCTGGCAAAGAGGCTGATTCGGAAGCCGTGACATTAATGAGCTCCGACGTTGATAGTGTTGAGTCAGTGGGGGAGATTCTACATGACACATGGGCCTACCTCTTGGAGGTAGTTATTGGCACAATGCTGCTGGCTGCCCGGCTTCAATGGTTTGCGTTCTTTCCACTGGTCATTATATTTGGTACGGCCTTCGTCCCTATTCCAAACTCTTTACTGATAAACGTCATACAGCTTGTTCAAGAATGAGTGCCTACGTAGCTAAGCACTTGGAAGGTAGACAAAAGGACTGGAATGTTGCAACTCAGGCGCGCATTTCCGCAATCACGAGTGTGCTTGGTGGGATCAAGAGCTTGAAGATGATGGGTATGGAGGATGCAGGACAATCTCGTATCTCTCAATTACGTGAGGAGGAGCTACGCCTGTCTGAGCGCTTAAGGTGGATTCTCGTCGTCTATAATGCCAGTGGTAAGTGATCATTATCATATCAATGGCTCTAAGCTAATGATGCAAAGCAAACTCACTTGGTATATTTGCCCCGGTATTGACCTTGGTATTCTATGCCCTATCACCTGGAACTGATAGCTTGCACGCCAATGAGGTATTCACGTCTATCGCTCTCCTTTCTTTGGTCACGCATCCGGCCAATATGGTGATGACTTTGGTCCCTCGTGCCGTTGGTATAATGGCAAACTTTGCACGCATCGAGGCATACATTAGTCGGTCATCGGTTGTGGATACTCGACAGATTGCTGGCAAAGATAAGGCCCAACACTTGGCATTACTAGATCACGTCTCCATCAGGAATTCTTCAATAACGGATGCGCCAATACTTCGAGACGTCTCCTTCAGTATTGCTAAAGGGGAGCTTATCGTCTGTACTGGTGCGGTTGGAAGTGGAAAGACCACATTAGCCATGGCCCTGCTTGGAGAGTCAGCCTCAGGAGGGTCAATGTTCCTGGCTTCGAAGAAAATCGCATACTGTGATCAGGCGCCTTGGCTTCCTAGCGTTACTATTCGGGATGCTATACTTGGTGGCTCTGATTTTGACGAAGAGTGGTACAAGCTGGTCATAGATGCATGCTGCCTGGGTCTTGACTTGGAAGCCCTTCCAGACAGTGACTCGACAGTTATCGAGAACAACGGCATCAACCTGTCCGGAGGACAACGTCAGCGTATAGTATGTTCAATATTATTGCGGGTCATTCATTATAAGCGGCTAATCGAAGAAGGCTCTTGCACGCGCTGTATACTCGCGATACGATATGTTTGTTCTCGATGATCCATTCAGTGCCCTTGACAAAACCGTTGGAGAGCACATCGTAGATAGGCTCCTTGGACCGAAGGGCTTGTTTAAAGCAACGAAAGCAGGGGTCTTTCTCCTTACCAATTCGGGTGAGCCAATCTCTATCTCTGGTATCTCACTATTCTGACGCGCAATAGCACAACTCTATCCCCTGGCGGATAGGCTATTGACTTTGCAGGGCTCGGGGGCACGTCTAGAGGATTCTAGCAACGTTCTTAAAGGAGGACAATTAGGTAGTATCGTCGCCTCTACCGCAGGCGTCGTCCAGAATACTCAGCCCTCCGAGTTGCATGACAAGAAGACGCCTGGTCAAAACGATCGACTGAATGAGGCCGCCATGGACTTATTACGGAAGACAGGAGACGTTGCTGTCTATGGTATGTCATCTCTGTCGACCCATCCAACGCGTGCTGACACTTGCGCAGGGTACTATGTTAATGCTGTTGGCCATAGGAATGCCTTACTGATGACAGCCTGTACCGCCACGTATTCATTCTGCCTGACCTTCTCACAGTTTGTCCTGAGATGGGCAACAGAGTCTTCACTTGGAGAACGTAATGAATATATGGGTCTCTATGCAGGGATTTCATTCATCGCGTGGGCAGCGACCAGTGGCGCTATGTGGTTGGTTACCCTGTCTACTAACCTGGGTTCACTGACATCTAACATATTGAAGGTTTACGCAGTTGAAAGTTGCCATTCGCTCGGGGGTAGTATTACATTCCCAGCTGCTTGAGCGGGTTCTCCGGTCAGTCTTAGCTCCCCTCCGCCATACTACCTTACTGACTGAATAAAACTTATCTAGAGCCCCATTGTCCTATTTTGCTGAAACTCATATTGGCGTCACTTTAAACAGGTTCTCCCAAGACATCGCGTTAATCGACAAGCAACTACCCTCCGCTCTCGCCAATCTAAGTACCCGTAAGCTGCCAATGTCATGCTCTGTGTTTATTCACTGACCGGCCATCTCCCACACCAGAAATATTCAAGCTGCTAATGCAGGCAGCCTTGATTGTGTACGTACAGCCGGTGATGCTAGTCACGATACCACCATGTTACATACTCGTTTACCTCATCCAAAAAGTCTACCTTCGTACCTCTCGCCAGTTACGGTTCCTCGACATCGATTCGAGGTCGCAATTGTACACAAATTTCTTGGATACAGTACGCTAACATACCCCTTAATCTCTATATCCCCTCTCTCAATAATTCTTCTAATGGATACCAGACCAGCGGCGTAACTACAATACGCGCGTTCGGCTGGCAGGACAAATTCGCAACCGACAACATCCAGGCATTGGATATGTCACAGAAGCCATACTACCTGCTCCTCTGCTTACAATGCTGGCTTAAGGTGGTTCTGGACTGTATAATGGCGATCATTGCCATAGGTCTGATAACGCTTACTGTCGTATACCGGAACTCCACAGGGGCCGATATTGGACTGGCTTTGAATTTGATGATCGGAGCGACTACCACGCTTTTACGTTTAATTCAAAACTGGACGTCCTTGGAGACCTCGCTCGGGGCGGTTTCTCGCCTGAAGTATGTGCAGGAACGTGTCTGTAGCGAAGATGATGCTAGGGGTGCTATAGAGCCAGGTCCACGGTGGCCGTCCGGGGGAGAATTGCGGATGCAGCATGTCACGGTGTCATACTCCGAGAACTCAGAGCCTGCTCTGCGAGACGTATGTCTTGTGATTAAACCCGGACAGAAACTCGTTGTCATGGGTCGGACAGGAAGGTAGGTGGTATCCAGTAAATCGAGCGTTTCATGCACGAGCTGACATATTTATTCATTGACTGTAGCGGCAAAAGCACTCTCATGCTCTCCTTACTCCGTCTTCTGGAAACTATGCACGGAGACATTTACATTGACGACATCAACATCGCACATGTACCTTTACAGGTCCTTCGACATCGGGGCATCATCGCCGTACCACAAGATGGCTTCAACATCCCGACCGCGAGTATCCGCTTTAACCTGGACCCGTATAATAAATGTACGGATGATGACATTGTGCAAACACTGAAGAGGACTCACCTCTGGGACAAGATTTCCGCCTCTTCCACAGGCGTTGATGACACACTGGACCTTCCCATGTCAACAATTCTCCCCTTATCCGCCGGTCAGATGCAACTCTTCGCGCTCTGTCGGATGCTTCTCCGTGTGGAGATAAATCGGTCGTCCAAACCGATCATCATCCTCGATGAAGCTAGCTCGTCATTGGATCTTCAGACGGAGGCTATTCTGGGAGATATTCTGCGTGAGGATCTCAAATATCACACAGTCATCATGATTGCTCATCGAGCTGAGGGGATCATGGGTGCATTGAGGGCAGGAGTAGATGCCATTGCTACGATGAAGGATGGAAGGCTACGGGTATCTGTTATTGGCACATCGATGGATCGTGTTGATGAGAAATAGGTCGCTTTGCTGCGTGCATCTTAAGACTTGTGTGCCAGCTGACATTTAAAGTGCCCATTATCAACGAAATGGAAAAAGAATGAGAGCTGTACTGAATCGAATGTATCTACATGGTGCTTCAAACTAACTATGTTATTGATCCTGCGCGGATATCTCGGGATTGGAGTCAGCAGGGAGTAACTCATCAACGAACCGCTTGTCGTCTTCTCGATCTTTCTCCTATCCAGGATTAGCAAGATAACCTGGTGGCTTAGATTCTGCGCTCGAAGTGTCACCCACAATCATTTCCACAAGTTTATCTCCCAGGCGTTCCACGAAAAATCCCTGGCCACTTGAGATTAGTAGTTTAGTCCAACTCTTACCATGTGTTTTTAAGAACACGAATGCTTTACTGTCTCGTGGCAGCGATTCCTCCCCATCAGAAAGATGATCTACCCACATGGTGCACGCATACTGCAGCGCTTGGGACACTTTCTGTGTCTTCGGCTCTGCTCCATTCTGATGAATATATTGTAGCTTGCCACTATCTTGCCCACATGCTTCATTGAGGAGGTCAAGGCAACTATCCGCCAGCATAGAATGGCTCTGTTGTGGCGTTAAATAAAGGCTTGGATGCTCCATGGTGGTAACAAACTTGTAAAGGGACCCATGAAGGAAGCGTATTTGTTTGTTATTATCCTCAGGTATTCTGATAACAGAATGCAAGTCTTCCAACATGGAGTCAATGTCATCCATTTGTATCAAATTTGCCAAAGCAGCTTTCGGTAACATGTGACGATTATAAGTAATAGCGCATAGTATTCGTCGAATAGAGTTCCAGTAGGTGGCTTTCTCATTTTCATCCCAGGCAATGTTGACGGAGTCATCCAAGACGCTAGTATATATTTTGTACAGCACTTCAATTGGAGTTCCTTTTTCAGGCCGTCCTGCCTCTATGTTTCTCAGTCTCTGCATGATTATTTGGGGGTTTTTAGCATCTCGGATGTATTGACAAGCAGTGGCAGCCCAAAGAAAGAGGCCACGAGCAAAAATGACGAAAGTCGGAATGATTCCTGAGCCCCATAGATACTTTGCTTGGTACGGTTCGAAGGGGGCCAAAATCTTGCCAATTTCATGGTCCAATAACAAGTTTATATCCGAGTCAACGATCCTGCTATTAATATCCTGTAATTTTAACATCTTATGAGGTATTCCGGAAAGCTCTGACCGAATGGCGGACTCTGGTCTACTCGCCAGAAACACGAGCACTTTGTTGTCGCAAGCTTGGGTAATGCCAGAGAGAAGACGAAGAATCAAGCGTTGATCATCCTTAGCCGGGCACAAATCCAAACTATCGACCACAATAATCATCGGATTTTGATCGGGTTTCTTGATGAATGCCGTAAGTGGCTCCTTCACGAGCCGCGTCCACTGTTCCAACAACCCTTGATAGGGTAAAAGAGGGCATCGTTCCAACACCTCCTGAATAGCATTTTTCATACTTGTATCGAAGTTGGCCAGCTGACAAGCAACGGTTGATGCAAAGAAGTCCGCACTATTAGCATCACCATTCTCATCTGTAAAGAAAAAGCTCGCAGCCAGCCGCGACTGCTGATCATAGTTTCGAGCCACCGTGCGAGCAACTGTGGTCTTTCCAGTTCCTACCATTCCACTCAGCCAAAAGATGCCCTCGTCATGGTCCGCATCAATCCATTCTGCTATGTCCTTTAGTAAATCCATGCGGGTGCCCTCCAGGCAGAACGAGTCGTGCTCCCTTTGCCGGGAGTTGAAGCAAGCGCTTTTCGCAAAGGGTAAAGTCGAGAACACCTGGACATCTCCTGTCTGGTCTCAGCCCACTGTCCTGCTAGGTGGAGTCGCAATGTACCCCCCAGTACCCATGTAGATCTTCTCTCCCGATACGCTGCCGAAGTTGTACTGCTTTCCGGTTCCAGCATAGAACTGGCCTGAAAGGGCGGGTCCGACAATTGCTTCCCCTCCCATAGTTCCAAGCGATATGAGATGTTTGGGGGAATTGGTGAACACACCTGATAGCCTGGCGGAGATTATAAGCAGATTTGCAAGCGCCAGGCTAGAAATCTACCCCTCAGCAAGTGCATTAGTTTGGCCAATAACTGCCCGATCTCTAGCGCCTGGATGCTGATCCCGGACACTTGTTCCACGAGCCTTGTCTGCTCGGCTGAAATGATACTTAAACAAGCAAATGATAATGACGATTGTTGCAGTAGGATCGCGTGGTTTTTCTTGCCCGCTGTTGACAGTTATCAGCCCAATGGCTCTGTCGCGAGACTACACCGTCGGCATCTTCTGCCCACTTGAGGTCGAAATATGCGCCATTCACTATATGCTAGATGACGTACACAGGCAAACAAAATCCCGAACAACTCGGTATGTGTTGGGTAACCTCAGCGGGCACAATGTCGTAATTGCCACAATGCCCTACACGTTCCGGGGCAAGATCTCCACAGCGACCGCTGTCAGTCAGCTGAAGCGCGACTTTCCCAAGATCTCATATCTCCTACTTATCGGTATTGGCGGTGGCATACCCACACAAGGTATCGATGTTCGTCTAGGAGATGTAGTGATCAGTACCCCAACTGGAACGAATCCTGGGGTGGTCCAGTACGACTTGGGCACAGCATATCATGACAAGTTTGTGCGCGCCGAGCAGCATCTGCTACCTCCTCCGCTCGAATGGCTACATGCTATATCTAGGATGAAGGTTGCACATCGAATGGAAGGTGGCAATGTTGATCACTTCATCGAAGAGCTACATACACGCTGTGCGCATCAGGCTTTTGTCCGCCCATCACCTGATACAGACACCCTTTTCGAGCCGACATATGACCATGTTGAGGGTGAAGCAACCTGTAATCAATGCAGTCGAGACAGAGTTACCCAGAGGCCACCACGCTCTGATCCTACCAAGCCAGTCATACATTACGGACTCATCCTTTCCGGTGACTCAGTGATAAAAGACGCAACAACAAGGGATCAAATCGCCAGGGATGAAGGCGGGGCCATTTGTTTCGAAATGGAGGCTGCAGCCATGATGAATGACTTCCCCTGTCTGGTCATCCGGGGAATCTGCGATTACGCGGATTCGCATAAGAACGATGTGTGGCATGAGTATGCCGCTGCAGCTGCCGCGGCGGTGGCTAAGGAAATTCTTCGGTTCATTGAGCCTAGTAAGTGGATCTTTGTCCGAGTTTATTGCGCAACTGGTAACCTTTTCAATTCAATACAGTTATTCCTCGAATAGAAGATGATCACAACTGCCCATCCAAAGGTGCAGCGTCGTCGAATGGGGCGATCACGGGCACATTCTATGCACAGAATGGCACGATCACCAACATCCAGACTATGACAGCGGCAGGGAATATCTATCTCGGATGAATCGATTGTCTTATTCCGCCTTAGTACCGAGTGTCAAAAATTAGCTCTACCATTCCAGGGTTTCAGTCCATAAGGTTGCAGCCGCACATCTACAATTCAGGGTCAGCGTTAACCAGGTACGGTGACATCATCACATACTCACATTCCAGACCTCAACGTCAATCCTGCACACGATCCTCACATCCAACATCTACCTTAAGCCATGCTCAATTGACTCAATTCACCCACTTCAACTCCTCCTGAAGACATGCCCCCCCAATCCGCACCCACCGTCATATTCTGGCACCGCACCGACCTCCGCCTGCACGATAACCCAGCCCTGCAGGCTGCCCTCTCACTCAACCCATCGACCTTCATCCCGATCTTCACCTGGGACCCGCACTATGCGTATCGGGTCCGCGTAGGCCCAAATCGCTGGCGCTTCCTGTTGGAATGCCAGAATGACCTTTCGCAATCCTACAGCAAGCTGAACCCGAAGCAGAAGCTCTGGGTGGTTCGCGAAGCACCTCAAACCGTTTTCCCCAAGTTATTCAAAGCATTGGATGTCACGCATCTTGTATTCGAGAGTGACACGGATGGATATGCGCGGGAGCGCGATGAGACAGTTACGAAGTTGGCAAAGGAGGCAGGGGTGGAGGTTATAGTGAAGTCTGGACGGACATTGTTCGATTCCGAGGAGGTGGTGAAACGGAACAAGGGCGAGCCGACGATGAGTATTCATCAGGTCGAGAAGGCGATTGAGCAGATAAACAATGGGGTGCCGGATAGGCCTGTTGACGCGCCGGAGACGATACCTGATCCGTTGGGGGAGGAGAAGATGAGGGATATAAGTGGGCTTGAGCATGAGGTTCCATATCAGGAGGATGACATAAATGCTGCGCATCGAACCATGCACAACGACAATCAGTACAACAACATAGCAGGTCCCAAGGGCGACTTCTCCGTTCCCACGCTGGACGAACTCTCCATCGATCCCAGCCAAGCAACAAGCCCCCATCACGGCGGCGAATCCATCGCCCTGGAGATGCTACGCACCTACCTCCAGCAAAACGAAGACTTCATCGCCACATTCGAAAAACCCAAGACTTCCCCCGCGGCCTTCCATCCACAGGCTACGACCCTCCTCTCGCCGCATCTGCACTTCGGCTCTCTTTCCGTGCGCAAATTCTGGCATGACGTGCAGGATACCCTCCAGCAGCGCGAAACAGCCCACAAGCCTACCTCAGACCTCCCTACTAATCTCCCTGGACAACTCCTCTTCCGGGAAATGTTCTTCGCTGCGCAAGCGGCCCTGGGACCAGTGTATGCGCAGACGCGCGGGAACAAGATCGTGCGGTTCATTCCGTGGCATTTACAATCTAATCACGATAAGGAGACGGGATTAGTTGACAGGACGTATACGGTTGACGATGAGCAAGCGGAGGTGTGGTTCCGACGATGGAAGGAAGGGCGGACGGGATTTCCGTGGATCGATGCGTTGATGAGACAGTTGAAGAATGAGGGGTGGATTCATCATCTAGGGAGACATAGTGTGGCGTGCTTTTTGACAAGGGGGGGTTGCTATGTGCATTGGGAGAGGGGGGCGGAGGTGTTTGAGGAGTGGTTGATTGATCGTATGTATATCTATTTCATTCTGTGGAATTATGAAGGTGATGATGCTAATAGGAGCGAAACAGATGAAACAGCTTCTAATGTCGGGAACTGGATGTGGTTATCCTGCACGGCGTTCTTCACACAGTATAATAGATGCTATTCGCCGGTGGCATTTGGGAAGAAGTGGGATCCAGAAGGGCGGTTCGTAAGACACTATATTCCGGAGCTGGAACACTATGATAAGAAGTATATCTATGAGCCGTGGAAGGCGCCGTTAGAAGATCAGAAGCGGTGGAAGTGTCGGGTAGCTGGGGATGGGATGGTCGAGAAGGACGAAGAGACTGGGTTAAGAGCTTACCCGGAGCCGATGTTCGACTTTGATGAGAGGAGACAGACGTGTATTGCGCAGATGAAGGAGGCATATGGGGTGCATTTAATGGGGAATGATGAGAAGGTTATGGATGGGTCGTGGAAGGAGATATTTGAGTACGAGGTTAAGGATGGGGGGGTAGTGGATGAGACGAATGTGAAGGTGGATGGGGACGGTGGTGATCATAAGGGAGGAGAGAAACGGGGCCGACAAGCAGGAGATCAGGATGGTAAAGATGAAGATGGAGGACATGGTTCGAAGAAGAAAAAATAGACTACTGAGTGCTGTTTATATCAAGTCATCCAAGACGCAGTCTCCTCCAAATAATATACACATCTTCCCACTCACTGCTTTTCATGCCTCCTTCGACCTAAGCATCATTGAACAGATATTCAGTTCAATTCAATTCGTTCCATTTCCATCATGCACATGCTTAGTGCGCTCTAACCCCTTCCCAGAAGGTAAAAGAAAATATATCCATGTAGTCACCCTCAGTCAAGTTGTATCTATCTATGTGTCCCCAAAGCAACAAAAGATCAAAGATATGTAACCGCCTCTTTAGTCGCCGGAAAGACAAGAGTAATCAGTCCCCTTGTCCAAGACCTTATCCGCCTCATCTAGGTGGGCGTGGAACTTGCCCCGTTTTGAAGCTCTTACCACCAACCCGGGCCCAATTGCCCACAACATACTGGGCAGTCGAAAGTGAGGTTCCAGTGAGAGTAACGGCGCCCATCGTTCTCAAAGACACCCTGGCGCAGCTCAGGAATGTAATCCAGGGACTGGGAGACACCACTCACTTAGGTATCAACTGATCTTACTACTCAGTATACTTGCTCACAATGACAGGGGTATGGATGGGTTGTGGAGGGAGGTGTTTGCATCCGAGGAAATCGATGAGAATAATGGGAAGGTGCATTCGAGTACCACTATCATCACATCATCGTGACTGCCTCTTCCTAGAAAGGTCCCTCTCTTCAATTCCCACCATTTCTCATTCTTCCTCACTTTTCCTTTCACCATCCCCCGCTTACTTCCAACTCGTGCCTCCCCCTCGATCACAACTTCGTCTTCTGTCAGTTTGATCTTCGTTTAGCCGCCCCGTGGCACACGGCGTAAGCTGGTGCCAGTATTCCTGCCCCTGTTCTCTCGCTCGCCCGGTACACGGCGTAAGCTGGTACCGGTATCCCCTCATCCTCTCGTCCGGCCTCCTCGTCTCCTTGTCTGGCTGGCACACGGCGTAAGCTGGTGCCGATAGCCCCTTGTCGTCTCGTTTGTCGTCCGCCTCCTCCCCTCGTCGTCTCTCGACCGGCTGGTACACGGCGTAAGCTGGTGCCAATAGCCCCTCGTCTTCTCGTCCCGCCTCCTCGTCCCCTCGTCTGGCTGGCACACGGCGTAAGCTGGTACCGATAGCCTCTCGTTGTTTCGTCCGCCTCCTCCCCTCATCGTCTCGTTCGACTGATCCCCTCGTCCCCTCGTGCGGCTGGCACACGGCGTAAGCTGGTGCCAATAGCCCCTCGTCTTCTCGTCCCGCCTCTTCGTCTCGTCCTTTCTCGACCGGCTGGTACACGGCGTAAGCTGGTGCCAATTTTTTCGTGATGTCGACATCCACTCCTACCTCGCAATCTACCTATCCTTCTCCCAACCAGCCCTTGTCGACCATGGGCCCTGCCGACGAGCTCCTTGATCCACGGCGACGTGATCTTATCGCACGACTCTCTCGATTTATGGAAAATCCAGAAACTGATTCGATCGGATGGGCTTGCTTGTGGTTTGCAGATCTCTCTACAATGGAGGATCTTATCAAAGCCTGTGAACAGAATCCGCCAACCGTCTCCCGTCATATATCCGCTGCTCTGAAGAAGAATGACCAGAGAGCACAAGCTATCAGAGCTTGTAAGTGAATCGACTGACCATGTAATCGATCTTGCGCTGATCCAGTACCAGGGGCATCTGCACGGTCCAGTGAAGACTCGGGAGAGCCTTCTGCAGACGAAGAATCAGACACAGAAGAGCCTCCAACTAAGAAGCGCCGGCTTACTTCGGATCCTTGTCGTGCAAAAGAGCTAGTAAGTTGAACAGACATAATATCCGATTGAGTCACTGTTTTACTAATACTACCAAGTGCGAGGAGCGAGATGATGAGAAGTGTGTTCTCACCGGTTGCACTGTTCCAGTCGAAGTGGTGCACATAATCCCCAGAAGCCTCGGCAAGGGTGAAGAGGGACTCAGCGACTTTTGGGAAGCTTTAGAGTGTTACTGGTCCTCAGAAAATGTCAGCGCCTGGAAGGAACAGGTCTTAGACCCAGATGGAGTCGACACCTGTTCTAATCTCATGTGTCTGGTGAATGTGGCCCGCAGATTATGGGAACTTGCGGTGTTTGCCTTGAAACCTCTGTCCCTGAGTGAGGATAAAAGGCAACTTGAAGTACAATTCTATTGGCTGCCGATGAACAGGTACCGACAGACAATGCCAGTAACGGCCATCCCCAGTCCTTTCCCTCACGATCTTTCCAGCACGAATGCTGGATATACAACCGTGCTACGTAATATTGTCACGCACTCGACGATATGCTCTGGGGACATCTTTACCTTTAAGACTGATGACCCAGTGGGTCACCCCCTTCCATCCATGCAGCTACTGAACATGCAGTGGATTCTAACTCGGGTCCTTGCCCTCAGCGGCGCCGCCTGGGTGACCGAGGAAGAGGAAGACCAATAAAGCGCTCTCTTGAGAAGGTCTTGCGAATCGTGCAGCCAGCTTGTTTCTGAGAGAAACCCATTAGCTTCGAGGAGAATGTGGGCTTTTTTTATACGGGTTGCACGGCTTTATTTGTCGGTATTGATAGCCAATAGCCAATAGCCAATAGCTGTGTAGGTGTGTTACGTCACATATTCTTTACTTCATTGCTGTTTGCCTTCAAATAGTAAAGACCTGAGCCACTCCGTAGGATAATCCTCTACAAGATCAAGGCGCGGGACAGTGACTGCTGCAGCTGCGGGAAGGCGTCCCAGACCGGTGAAGCACCTGCATAGCTAGCATCTTCCAGTAGCAGGCTCGATCAGATATAAGAAATCAAAAGGACTATACAGAGTCTAAAAGAACGGAAACTGACACGGACGGCCGCCGCGCGGATGGAGGACGTGCTGAGAGAGCTAACCCGTCTGAAGCTGCTGACAAGGCGAAACCGTCGGGCACTGGCGGTCGCTACCGCACTGGTCCATCACGACCCTCACGGCCTTGCCGACACTGCAGAGGCGATCACTTTGACCAAGAATATGACAAACGCGATCAACACGATCGTTGTATATACCTAATAAAATGAAGAGTCAAGTTGGATGATAACGAGTCCGACGCTGACTTAAAGGGTCTGTCAGAGCCCAGCTCAGACTCTGACTCCGAGACAGAAAACTAGTGCCTCCCTCAGGGGTGGAGGACCCTGAGGATAAAGCAGAGCCTCTGATGTCTATTCTTAACAAGAATAAGCATGTTTTATATACTATCTCTGTAAAGCAGTTATCACAGGTGCTTACTTTATATATGGTAATATCTAAGTTATATAATAAGATGCCTATTTGCCTAGACACAGGATCCGATTTGATTTGTATCTCACGAGACTACCTGAACCGATACTTCCCAGGTGCGACCGTCTGATGTCAGACTGCAGTACTGAACACGCTTGGCTTGAATATTACTGCTGATAGAGTGGTCTTCTTGTGTATCCCCTTAGCGGAAGGACATATAGAGACGAACGTACTGGTGCTGGAACGAGTCCTGACCGGCATTTTGATTGGCACAGATGCTTGCAATGCGAACAGCATTATTATCAACTTCCCTAAGTCGCGTGTCCGATTTAATTGAATTATCAAAGCAAAGTTTCTTAAACTGAGTGATACACGAGCGAGTCTCACTGATATTGGGCAAGTCCTTTGTCACATTCGAATCTCTCTCTCGCAGATAAACAGCAGATGGTCGCGAGACGAGTCATGCATGATGTGGATAGTAGTAGTAGTAGTAGTAGTAGTAGTAGTAGTAATATACCTGATATAGCTGGTCTTACTAGTGGCCTTACTGTGCAGGTGTTCCCTAGGCCCCTAGAAAGATTATTTATCATGTATATATAAAGTATAGATATAATACAAAGCATGGTATTGACCCTGCGCCACCCGCCCCGGGTTTTAATACTATTGCTAAGACATCACGTGCTCGAAAAGCTTACTGAAAAGTGTATTATACCTTTGGTTTTATCCCCCTGTTCCCCTTAACCTCCCGTAGAGCTGTACCTGGCTCTGCTTGGTGTTCTCTGTATGGCAACTATATAAGTTATTGCGCTAGCGCAGGCAGCACCTGGCCTCTGCAGATTACCGCGGATCTTTCTCGTGGCTGTAATTAACATGGCCTGCTCGCGGGGTGATACCCGCTTGCAGCCTGCCTGATCTGTATACACAATGTCTTTTCCCTTCCATCTTGTACTCGTTGGTAATCAGCGGGTCTTTATCAAACTGGTTCAAGAGCCCCGTTTTAATCGATAAAGTCAGCGACGTAGTGAGCCGCGGCGGGCTCGCTTACCAACGCGTCAAAGTCATCCCACTTGACTGCGATCCTCTGCTCCCTGGGCCTCTGTCGGAGCTCTAGCTGAGCCCGCGAAGCCTCTCGCAGTCAAACAGGACATTCTTCGATGTGGATAGCAATAAGGTGGATACAGTAAGCGATTACCACTTTCACAGACCATTTGTGTATCCCTACTCGATAAGGAAAGAGACTTGGCTAGGCAGAGATGGCCTTGCAAGAAATAAGCTACCAAAAGAAAAGCCACTTTTTAATTCACTTTATCATGTAGAGAGATACACTGAGCACTCAGCTAAGGCTAAGTACTATTGCTATAATTTGGTTTCTTCTTGGCGGGTGTATAATCATAGTATAAATCATGTCATGAGATACTTGGGCGGCAGCTACTTACTAGTACCAGCAATCGGGAGTTGCGGCTGGCAGTGCGGCTGTTTATATGTTTTCCGTGTCGACTTCGCAGGTTCTCTCACGTTAGCTCATGTAATAAACTGTCAAAGAAACTGGGGGGTGCACTACTCATCCGAGTATGAAATGATATTACTACACAATATACCTGAACTAATTGACAAGGCTATGAATGGGTCACGCAGGGAAGTGTTTAAACTTAGAAAAAAGATAAGAGGACTGTAATTTCATCTATAATCGTCTCCGTTTAAATTTATATTCCCTTTCAAGGAATGAACAGTCATACCTATCCTCCCACTCACTACTACCAGTACTAGTATCACCCCGTCTCTTCACTGTCTGTCTCATACCAGGATCATAAGAGGAAAAGCAATAGACTCTCTCCTCTTCACATCCCCTTCCACCTAAGACCCAATAAGCACACACATATCCCAATCAAACCCATCTCCAAAAAGAAAAAGAGAACATACCTATACCCGCACCACCCATATCCAAACTATGCCTATATCTATGTCCCAAAAGAAACAATAGATCACGAATATGTAACCGCCTCCTTAATCCCTCCCGAAGCAGCGCATGCTGATATCGTCGATGATGGAGTCTATTTCTTAGGTCGTGGGTTATTTGCTCATATATCGGGGATGGTCTTTGTTGGTTTATGGTGTTATTCTGATAGGTATGATATGCTTTGTGTTGTGTAGATTGGTTTGGACGGGCATGTGTGTATTGATGTTCATTTGGGAGTGGGTAGCCGTAGGCTGGATATGCAATAACGGAAGGATGTTTCTGATTGTGAGCCATTATTGGAATTTGTAGGTAGGATATGGAGATGTCATGATGGTGGTATTGAGGGATATAGTATATCCTTTGTTCATGGGGGTGGTAATATGAGGACGACATGATTATGAGAATCAGATTGGAGAAGTTTGGTTTGTAGACTACAGGAATCGGATCGGGTATATCCATATTTTAAGTACCATTAATGCTAGTACTCCGTATCGCTACTCAACATACTATCTATACTATAAGGTTGACTGGCTAGTACGCAAGTCTTTAGCTTTACTCACGCGTCATATGGGATCTCAGCGCTAGATCTCCTCGCTTACAGCACTCCGGCCATCTCATTGGATCATTCTCTATGGGGTACTACTACATGCCACGACATGGCGTGCGTCAGCTTCCAGCTAGCCAAGCGCCAGCAGCCGTTTCAGCTTTGAGGATCCACTTCTGATTTCAAGAATATTCTACAACCAAGAATATCTGCAGATATCTTCAATTATCTCTTTCAACCGCTGTGTCATGCTTTTCACTATTGCCATCCATCGAGTCGTCTACTGTACATGATTCATAAGAAGATACGGCCCAGGCCGAACAATCCAACCAGGATTAAAGGTGGAAAAGTGAAGAAGAATGAGAAGAAAAGATGGCTCTAAGAATAATACACACCACACTCCCACAGTATAGACAGAGATGACGGTGACTGTGCAGCGATAATGCAATCAAAGATGAAACTGTCAACACCTTCCACTGCAAGTCTATCGAGGTGGGTGCTGTGACATTGGCCCGGGCAATGGCCCGGCATTAGAACCCTGGCTGTACACTCGGTGGTGGCCTGAATTAGGATGACCACCGGGAACCGTCTCCACAAGCGCTCCAGGGCCCCCAGGTCGTGCTTGCAGGGGGTGCATCGATCCAACGGCCGCAGGTCCACTGGGCGCATAGCTTAGCCCTCCGCCGGGACTTGGCTGCAGAATTGCTGGGGGTGTATAGGAGCGGCCCATCGACATCGACTGTGGCCCCGGTCCAGGCAAGCCCGCTGCCCGGGAGACCGATGCCTGCGGGGGTGGAGTGTTGTGGCCGTACGGCCCACTGGCCAAGCCAAGCGTCTGGCGGTGCGCGGCCTGCTGATGAGCTCCATTGACCATGGTCTGCACATGCTGCTGATATGACTGATGCGCCGCATGCTGTTGCGCGGACAGATGGCTGGATCCAGGCGTGGCTGGTGCGGGTGAGGCATACGAAACCGTGGCTGGTGGCTGTCGCGACCCCATCCCGAGCAGATTCGCGGGGGACTGTATCGGCGTCGGCGGACCTTGACGGGTACCATAAGCGAGGCTGCTGGTACGTTGGGTGGGTGAACCGATGCTCTGGCGATACATTTGGCTTTGTGCCGCCAGTTCGCGCGACGACGCAGTAGCCTGTGCGTGAGACACCGGTGAAGGGGCATATGCGGATCCATGATACGCTGGACGCTGCGCAGTCACTGATGCGGGAGTTGGAACAGGAGATGGAGCGGTGAGGTTCGGCAAGGGAGGATTAGACAAAGATTGGGTGGACGTATAAGGGGAGTAGGGTGGCTGAGACGCAAGTGTGGTGGTAGGACGGCTACTAGATTGCGACGGAGCCTGGGGTGGTTGTGGGGGTGGCTGTCCGCGAGGGTCGAACCGAGCCATCCAATCGTTATTCGCAGGCGCTGCCGAGCCTCCCGGTACAGAACTGTAGGACTGGTAATCTGCATAAGCGCGCGACGGCGGCAGATACTGGCTTGGGGGACCGTAGGCCGGAGCTCTCTGCTGAGATGACAGAACAGTCTCCTCTTGACGCGGGGGTGGCTGTTGCGGGATTGACTGCATCCCATTGTAGACAGGCCGAGAGGGTGACCCAGTGTGCCCTGCGGGTGCCGAAGACGACGGGTCGCCAGCGAATCGTTTGCGCGGCTGAGGTTCTTCCGGCTCGTCATTCAGGAT